CTGTAGATAGTGGTTTAAGAGTCGCCAATATGTAAGAAAAAAATAGATGTAGGTAAAATGTAAATTTAAAAATACTAACACAAGAAAAAAATCAATTGTACAATCTTCAGCAATAAAGGCTTTATTATTATTATTATTATTATTATAATCAATTAAAAAAGTCGGTCAATGTGGTTTACTATTGCCTTGTTACCCCTAGCTTAGGGTAAACTCCGAGCCCTTCAGTGTAGATGTATAGTGAACTGATAATGATGCTGATTCGTATAGAGTCAAAAAAAATGGTGTCTAGCCAATTAACGTCATTTAATATAATAGGTAATTTTGACAGATTCAGATTTTACCTTTTTGCCTTTATCTCATGCGTGTATTACTTTATCCATCATAATCAATTGTTGTGTTCTGTAGGGTAAATTTAAAAAGGTATCCTTTGTCGCAATTAACTGATACATGAATGATTTAGAGACATTTAGGGCCTGTCCCACTACTAACTGATAGAGGCTCAGATAGCTTTAAAATGACGTCACTCTTACATCATATATTTTACATGTTGGATTGTTATTAGACAATTTGCAATTTGGTGAGACAGGCCCTTAGAGTTGATTTGTTCAGTCTCAGTCGAACGCGAGCGTATGTGTGTCGGAGTGCGGTGCGGGCGCGGCGGCGGCGGGGGCGGGGGCGGGGGCGGGGCGCGGGCGCGCGCTCGGCAAGTGCGTGTCCGCGGGTCAGTTGGCGCGCGCCGCCCGCAGCCAGCGGTCGCGCTCGCACCACGCGCTCGCACCGGGATACATACTCAGCGCCAGTGGACGACACATCAATATTACGAAGGTATTGTGCAATGTCATACGTTTTTTTTTCTTACTTTTTTTGTTAATTTACTAATATGACAATATTCCAATTAACCTCTAGGCTTGTGCTAGAAATGACGGGATGAGAAACATTTATCACTTGATCGGAAAGCCATAACTATGAGGCTATTATAACTTTCTGTCTGTGTCTATATTAATATAATGAAGTGTGAACACACACTTCTTAGTCATGTAGGATGTTAGCAATAACACCATATTTTTGATTTTCTTATTTTTTAAATAGCACTACACTTACTTCACGCTTTAGACTATAATTTTTCACATTATTAAACGTAGGGGTATAAGTAAATTAGAAAAAGGGACAAAAACTACAAGCCAACTGACATTGGCTTGTAGTTTTTGTAGAAGAGTTTTATTTTTTAAGTTAGATGATATCCATGGTAACTAATTAGAATATATGATGCAGAATTAATCGCATTGTGTAAATTAAATTTGCCTTTTCATGTCTCGAGCATGACTAATGTAATATATTTTTCAAGGTGGACGATATCAACGAATGGTTAGAACCACCACAACCTCTCAAACGAACCAGCCCAGACTACCAGCTCAACAATATACTATCAGAGCATCCAAAGACAAGGAAAGTCGAGGAGTCAGTAGACTCCCTCGATGGGAACCTCCCGTCTTTTCTCAGAAACCAATCAGTCGAGGGTCTGGAGTCCAAGTTCAAGCATGATGTGGACGCTCCCCTACCCTTCTGCAGACATTATAGTATCCCAGATAACTGCGAAAATGCTGACGATAGCAACAGCGAATCATCCGACGACGATCTCACTGATATCAGCGATTGGTATCGAAATATCCCATACCAGAAAGTAGATGACACGAAGAATATACTCGCAGGAATCGTCAAGAAAGGAGAAAGCATCTTAGCAAAGAAAGCAAGTTATGACGTCACAGATGCACCAAGAAATACAGACTGTCCAAAATCAAGAGTAGAAGATGTCAAAAATAATGACAAAAACTCCACCAAACAGGAGACAAACGTCCGAAACATTCCAAAGACTTTAGATGTACAGAAACCAGTGGAGAAACCCAATTTCTTCGCAAAGAAACTACTTTCCCCCAAATTGAGTAGACTGTTTAAGAATAACAGTGGTGAAGTTGTTAGAAATAAGAATAGTGCTAGTGAGGTTAAAGAAGAGAAGTCGAGAAGTAACTTCTTCGTTCAGAAGCCTTCTTCTCCGGGTATCGTGCGGTCTTCTTACAGAGTGAGACCTGCTGAGGAAGAGAGGAAGAACAGCGTAAATGATGTGATTAAAAGTGATTTGAAATTAGCGAGTTTGGGCAAACCGATGACGCCGATATTTCGACGACATTTGGCTACAGAAAAACCAGATTTTGTCGACTGTAGGTACAGCTGTAGAGATCGTAAAAAGAATAATAAAAATGAAGAGAAATTTGTAGAAATCGGTAGGAACAGAATTAAAACACCTGTTAGTACAGACAAGAATTTAACGCTAATAAATGGACATGTAAATAATTTACTATCAGTACAAGAGAAACAGGTTTCCGAAAAAGTTAAGACGGAAAAAGAAGTACCAAAAAAACGTGAATTAGGTATATCGAGGAGTAATTACGTAAGTTTGGCGAATTTAAAGATAAATAGTAAACAAGAGTTGGGACAGATAGCTAAAGAGAAAGCTAAGAACTCTTTGAACGGAAGCCCACCAGTGGAAAAGGTGATTTAGATAAAAACTTTGGTCTATCGAGTACCATTTGTGCCACAGATTAAGTACAAAACTTAGGAGAAATATTAGAAAATAAGAATTTAGAATAAATATTTTTCTATATTTGGTTGTGGAACGTAAACGTATGGACCGATTAAAAAATACAGTATAAATATTGCTTTTTTTGTGGACGTAGTCTTTAACTTTGCTAGAAGTGATATTTAAGTCAGATTTGTATGTTTTGTGTACTTAGTACGTTAAAAATGGTCCTTCAAGTCGGATATCTGTTGGTCGACAGGGCTCGATGGACCAACAGTTGGTCGGACCGTTGATGCATCGTGTTTTTAAACATTACTTCTACGGTATATATAAAATGCAAATTATTTTATTCCATAGCGTTGTAATTTGTAGTGCTGAAGAATCAATTAAAATGAAACAAATCGTTACATACTCAGAGTAACTAACTAAGGCAGTCTTTAGTGACCTTTAACCAGCGTTTACTCACTAAAGAGCCTTAGATCACGACTCTGAGTACGGTAAGTTTGGTAGTTTCAAAATGTTAGATGTTTTCTCTTGCCATGTTGTATTTGATATACATTTGTTGAACTGTTATGTACTTATATACTCGTAAGGCTCAAGGCTTACTAACGTAAATTGATTCATGGACACTGTCGCCTTTAAAAGTTTCAATTTATTTGTTTATGAGGAAAGCATAAAAGATAGACCTTATGTAGTCTGTTCCAAAGTTGAATTTCGTATGTTCAAGTTCTTTCTAAAGTATTTACCGTCTCTTTCGTTTTCTTTTAAGAAACGGAGATAGCAAGCAAGGCAAAGGAATCTCATATTGAGAAATAATTACAATAGCTTTTAATAAAAGTATTTTATACAGTGCCAAAACTAATTATATAGAAAAATATACTTTAATAGCTTTTCAATACGATCTAATTTTGCTTAACAGTGTTCATGAATTCAAATTATTAGTGCTTAATTTTGATCCATTTTTACAATAGACTGGTTACTGTTAAAGAAATTAAGGTAAACGAGCCAATAGTCGTCATATTGAAAGAAGAATATTGCACCACTTTTTGGTGATGTCATCGACCATTTTGAGAAATTTATTAGTTTATAATCTCATTAGATATATTGTAAACTGTCGCAAAATTATAATCAAAAAAAAATCAAAATATTAAAAAAATGTTTCTTTTGACATTAGTAAAAGTGTCAATTGCTCCTTTAAAGTTTGCTAGCAGTTTATAATATGCCTAGTCCGATTATGAACTGTAAAGTTGGCCATCCCCTCAACAAAACCGCGGCGGTGCCTTTATTAAAGACTGCGTAGTCACCGATAGAAACATCTAGAGCTAGCAGTAGTTATAAATGAAAACAACATAGTCACTTAAATGTCTTTCCATAAAATAGTTATTTCTAAAATTCTATTTAATTCTAGATAGAATTCTATCTAGATTTAAATAGAATTATAGCATATTAAAGTAATGTATAGTTAAAAATATATGGAAAATGTTTTTATTTGCACTATTTTGGCGACTTTACGCGTGGTTTGAAATTGGGTACGAAGCCTAAGCAGTTTTGCTTTGAGAATATCGCTAGTTACATTTGCTTACAATTGTAACACATTGTCCTGAAAGCGAACTGAAATCGAAGCGAATTCAAAAGAGTGTCGGTGACTCAGTGGTTAAGGCACTTGACTTGTAATCCAGGTCTTAGGTTCGAATCCCGCAATGTACCAATGTGATTTTCGATTTTTCATATGTACATAATTTACCCGACGTTCTTACGGTGAAGGAAACATCGTGATGCAATCTGCACATATAGGCGAAGAAATTCAAAGATATGTGTGAAGTCAACCAACCCGCACTTGGCCAGCGTGGTTGACTATGGCCTAGTCACCCTAACTCTAGGGTAGGCTCTGAGCCTCTCGGTGGTGACGTATAGTGAGCTGGTGATGATGATTATGATTATGTGTATTCAATACCATAGGTGGTTGGGTGACCGCCCAAGGCTTTGAACATAAAAGGGGGGTCACATCCAGCCCAGGGCGCTGAACATAAAAGGGCGACACATCCCGCCCAGGGCGCAGAGTTCGCATCATATTAAATTAAATTTCACACTTATTATTACACTAATCGTTGCTATCGGTTTCGTTTCGCTTTCGCGATAGTGTGTTAGAGGTTATTATATTGCAGTTTAGAGTTTTTAAAATAGAATCAAAGCTAAGTATTTGTAGCAATGTTTATATGTGTCGTATACAATTGTTGATGGCATATACAATTTTTGTAACACAATTTTTGATTAGGTAATGTCTAGAATATGTCGCGTTGTATGAAAATTGAAGAAAATATTTTCCCAAAAATAATGTCTATTTAATATGTTTTCTCATGTTATTTACCGTACAATTCCGTCTCCGTTATGTGTTATAGCTTTATATAATAAAATTTTATTGTGCCATTATAATTTTAAATGCTCGAATAATCTACGTATTTTGTGTAATCGGTTATTTTCAATAATTTGGCTTTAAAATTGAAACGATATTAATGATCTAATTTATTAACAATAATTTTAATTACATTTTATTTCGATATTTTTAAGGATGAATATTATTTCGTGACACAGGGTGCCATTTCGGTTTTTTTTATTTTTTACTGTCATTAATGCTTTGACTGAAGTTGTAGAAAACTAGCTAAAACTACGCAGTACTTTTAGTATTAACTTGTAGGAAGTTGTCAGTCAAAGTATTGATGACGTTCTCGGAGTAAATCTCAGTGTGTGTTTGTATGACTTTGGTCGTGCTCATATTTTCGTCTATCTGTGATACATTTTGTTTGTAAAATGTTGCAATAACAAGTATTATATAGGGTTCTTAGTTTAAATTAGATTTTTTCGTATCCTGTATTTGGTAGGCTTTACGTGGAAGGTGCTAGACGTCAAGTAATTTCGTTTTGTTTAGTATTGCTATAGAAGTTAATGACACAAATGGTCACTAAATGACTTACTGACGTACGTACAGTCGGTGATTAGTCACTAAGGAGCCCACTTAAGGACTCTGGGTACGACAGTATTGTTTTTGAGATTGTTTAAATGACCATTAGTTATTCGTGTTCAGTGAGTACAGTTATTTGGCGACTTTCACGTGATGCAAGCTATCTACAGGATGCTCTATTATATTATAAGTACGTTTTGTTCGGTTAAAAATTCCAGTCCAAAAATTTGTAACACATTAACCGCTGTAACAACGAGTGTCCGTCTCCTTGCATTCCAGACGCCTTTATATCTATTTGTTAAGTACAAAATAATAAATGATATATTAAACAAGGTTTTTGTTTTATTTACTGTTGCTTTTTTTTACGAAATTCTACCTGTATTCAGACATCTTTGTTTTAATCCACCAAAAATATTAAAACAATTCTTTTTTTTTATAACATAAGGTGGCAAACGAGCAAGCGGCCACCTCAATCCTCCAAAAACGGCCAAGCGACCGCTGCCCATAGACATCCGCAATTGCAGATGCGTTGCCTACCCTTATCCGACGGAGGAGGAGACGCACATAAAGAGGATATTTCCCCTTCCTATGCATCTCCCCCACTGTCAAATCCACTTCACCTTTTCAACCTCTCCTTATAAGAAAAGGGTAGTAAAGAGAAAGGGACTTAAATTAGGCCTCCGGCACCACACTCATCAGACGAAACACGGAATTGCTTCCATTTCACGCCTGTCTTCTGTGTGGTCGTGGTATTACACCGGACGTGCCGGCCCATTCGTGCTAAGATGTTAAAGCGGGCACTACCACTGTTAACCATATTTTTGCAACCTCCTGTACATTACTGTCAAGGGTTTTTCTTCGATAGTCTGTAATTAAAAAGATTTTTGGTCTCCGTTTTAATTTGAATTTAGCGAACTCAGTCAACTTTGACTCCGTGGGTTTTATTAAAAATTAAACTACAATTAATTGTAAAATATTCTTTATTTGATAACATAATGAAGAGACAAACACACGACAGTGTTATTGTTAATAAAAAAAAGTGTAATCAAAAATATATATATCGGGTAAAGTAGTGAGTATTTTGACGGAAAACGTTTGGATTTATTTAGCTACTTAAAGATAGGAATAGAGTGCAGTATTGTCTTTATTGGACATTAGAAGTTATCAGTAAAAATTCAAAATAAACTACTACAAAAATGAGCGACTGATTCTATCCAAAAATGGATATTACAATAAAGTAATAAATAATTAAATACAAGTTAAATTCTTACAAATTTTAACAGAAAATACGCCATTGAAAAACTAATGGATAACGAACGAGTATTGGAAAATTCAAACTCAGGGTAACACGAAATAACATCTACCCACAAAATACGATGCGGGTAGTTAAGAATTATACATAGCACCGCAGTAAAATAAAGTGAATTTTAATATAGTATAGAGATTGTGCCATGAATATGGACGTGACCTTTAAAATATATTAAAACAATTACAATAAATGTTTCAAGTGCATACTACCTACCAATTTTCGTGCTCTATTTTAATTGATTTTGCATTTTATTTTTATTTAGAATTTAATTGTAAGTACTACCTTTATCCTATTATAATAAAAGTACAGTCACAAACACAACTTTGACATAAACATTGGAAATTCAACGTCAAAGTTTTAGGAACACTAGTGTAAAAATTATATCAAAAATTATAAAGGGCATCACAACTAATCTAGTCTAGATAAATCAGGTATACTTGGTAATTTAGAAATTACGACTTAACATAGTTTCAGACATGTATTTTCCTTACTACTACTGTGAATTACGTACAAATAAGACGAATGGCCATCAACAAAGAAATATAGCAAAAATAATAAACATTAATGTCAAATTTATATTTTCCACAACATCGCTGTTACCTAATCTACTAGAAAAATTTCAGAACGATTTGCAAAAAAAAGAATAAAAAAATAGTGTTTGACGTAAAAACAAGATGGCCTCCGCCTCATTTCCCGCCAAATGAGTGCTTACATTAACATGCAGTACGATATGTGCGTTATTACGATAAAATTTTAAATTTAAAGCGTAAAATAAACTAACTACACGTGAAAAATAAATGCAATAAATTATACTACGAATAGTGTTTTTTTATATTAAATTTATAAAGAACAGCCTCATTGCGAAGCGTCAAGAAATTGGTAAACAAAACCCGCTACAACTTTTTTTGGAAAAGTGATTGCTTAAACTTTTTTATCTACAAAAATACCATTTAAAAAAGCTATATAACCGTATTTGTTTTATTTCTGCATATTACAGTGTTTACTTTCTACGTACTTCCTTCAAACAAGTACGAAGACAATTTTTATTCCGCCTTTTTATACAAATTATTAACTAAAATAAATCTGGGACTCCAAAGAGAATATCAATCTTATTACGTTACATGCAACATAATTTAAACTAGATTTACTATGAATTTTAAACCGAGATAAAGTGCTGTATCTATGTTTCTAACAATAAATATAATTTTCTACACAATTTAGTACACGACTGTACTCGTAAATTCGACCCATATCCGACAGTATGAATTGACTTGTTTAGCAATTTACATTGCTTTTTTAGTATTTCACACAATATTTATTTAGTCACAAAGTGTCCAATTATCGAATACATCTAAAATCAGCGTGAGAGAAAGGGACAGATATCTGTCCTTCTGTTGCTATATTATTTTTCATATTGTAAGTATATTTTAGATGACAGTTATTCTCAGAGTCGTTTACTTAATAGTCACTAAAGCCCTAAGGACACATTTCTCATACTAAATAATGGTAAGGAGACTCTGAGAGTGAATTGTGGATATTTCTAACACATTAATGTATGTTTTAAAACTGTGTGACTAAACAAAAATTGTTTTTCAAAAACTGTATCGTATTCGAATATTCAAACCTCATTCCTTTAGCACCAATTTACGATTTTGGGTAAATTCTAAACGATTAATTGAATTAACGCTTTATTCTATTATTAAATAAATCGACTAAACAGTCAGATGTGCTGAGCAGACTAGTTCTTAATCTAGACTTAAGAAAGTCCTACACGAGACTAGTTTTAAGTTAGGTTTATAATGTAACATCTATTGTTATATCAGACTACCAAAAAAAATTATTATTTCTGTATCTAATAGTGTTTATAGAAAACAGAAGTTTGACTCCTATTTTTTGGCACAAAAATTGGTGCAACATTCGAGTAGTTTAATGGCACCAACAAAAAACAACGTTAGTCCTATTTACACAAAAAAGACAATAAAACTATTCGTTGTTCAAATACATTTTAAAATTAGCCTCCAGCTTTTTCAATAAAACGAGTAAATTTTAACTATATTAAAAGAATCGAGATAAAAGTGCCGAGCTATTTGTACAACTGATATAATATTCAAACTAGACCGTTGTAATTTTGAATTTTCAAAGAGCTTCATTCAGTTGGATGCGTTACCATGGCAACGAGCATTAAAATGGATCAAAACACACATGAGCGAGCTTAGAAGTGACAATTGACCAAAACAAAGGAATGGGGCAACTTTTTTCTAACTAGCGCGTAGTATCAGCTGCGGCGATTCGCTGCCGCAGTCGTGCAAACTTGCCGTGCACTAGGCGCAGCTGCGCGCGAAGCCTTGAGGATAGTTCCCGCTGCAGCGCTTGTACTTCTACCAGCTCTCGCCGCAACTGCTGGTACTCAGACCTCACCTATATCAACATTAACACTCACTATATTCTAATAAACAATACAACCCATTCCAAATGAAACTATATATTTGAAATTTACGAATGAGAAAATCCAATACATATCGGTTTATGTCTATACTAATGTTATAAAGAGGAAAGATTTGTATTTTTGTATGTATATAAGTAACTCCAAAACTACTACCGATTTAACCATTAAAAAGCTATGTTATCAGTAACATAGCTATATATTTTATTTTTTTAAATTCACGCAATCGAAATCGCTAGCAATAGCTAGTTATTCAGAATTTCATTTGGAACAAGATTATTGTAACACTCCATATTCATACAGTTTGACCGTAACCACAGGTTTTTAACACAAATAATTTTCTCAGCAAACTGTCAGAGTAGTGTACAAAGCGATCTGCTCTGAGCTATCAATTAAAATGGAATGATATGGCAACACCATTTGAAGTATATTATGAATCATGTGGATAAAAAAAATAGGTCAAACTAAAAATGTAGGAAGCAACAGTTTTTTGTGTCTGGTGACAGATAGTTTTTTTAACAATTAAATAAAATGTTAATAAAAAACTATCTTTATATCAAATTCTTAGCTGAGTCATAGATAACACAAAATCTATTAATGAATTATTAAAGAAAAAAGATGAACTACACTTTCACAGACAAAAATTCCAGCTTTTACTATGGTTATTTGTTAAAAAACTCAAAAAGTGACAGTTTTTGCACATCCAAAAAAATAAGTGTCACCATAATCACACAGTAATTAAGATCATACATAAATAAAATAAATTACTTGTGAACCTCTTCATTTTTTATCATTATTGGTTAAAAAAAAATTTACTTATTATTAAGTAAAGACTTTAAAATCCATTTACCTATGACCCAGCTATCAGACACAAGAAATACACAAATATTTTAAATACATATAACACTGAGAATCCATCAACTTATAAAGACATCCCTGAAAACAGGAAGCCATACTGATGAAGCACTTAATGCCCTGTTCAAAAGGTTTTCATACGACCGCTTAAATTCTGTACCACATTTAAGCCAGTCTACTTCAATAAGCATGACAGCTTCAACTTGAAGCCTTTCATTTTATTAAACCAAACTTTATAACTTGAATAAGTTCTCTATCACTGTAAATCTATAAGACTTCTTTAAGTGACTATGAGTATATAATATTTTGTGGAATGAAAAGCCTCAAATTGTGAGCAACTTGACACCTTGACATTAATATTTCTCTGACCTTTCATCAACCCTAAACCCAAGGAGCTGAAAATAAAACACAATCTTTTAGATATCTCTTATAGGAAACCTTAACTAACAAATATTCATTAGACATAGACATATGTCTATGTTATTAATTGTTTGAAAAATCAGTCACTTAACTGTAATATCACCCTGAAAGATTCACATCTCTTTGCTATACTATCTTCACAGCATTAGTATTTTAATCTGCTATTTGCATTTATTTTTTTATTTATTCTTACCTCAGAGACAGATTTGAGCAAATTCATTACACAGGCTTCCTGATTATCGACTGGCTCAGCAAGCTGCTTCTCTACAGCATCCATCTTCCATTCCATCATGTCTAGTTGTTGGTCTGTGCATTTCACCTATATAATGTACTTATTTTTAACAATTGATAACAGTCTAAAGTGCTACAAATGATACTGGCCATTAAATTAGAGTATCTTGAAGTCTTAATATAGTGAGAATATGAATAAAAGTGCTACCATACAAACAGTATTTTTATAACAGGCGTGTTTTAAATTATAAGAACATAAATGTAAGAATCTGAATTTGTTCAAGATGAATAGAGTGTAGATCATTAGCAAAAAATACTACTCAATGGGCATGCCTTCCTCAATGCCCTTTACAATTCGTTCGACCGTAATTATTTATATATAGAAGTCGGCTCATTGACCTAAATTAGGTCCCGCTAGCCCTGCCTATGTTTACTTAAGAAAGATTAATAAATTCTCACCGTTTCCTCCAACTCATCCATCGTCACCTCTTTTTGGGTCATGTTTGTTACAAATTTTAATGTTTTTATTAATAAAATTTAAGTAAATTATTAAAAAAGACTAGAAATAAAACGACCATTTTAACAAGGAATTGAATGACTAAAATTGACATTGACGTTCAATGTGACGTTTATGTACAAGTTTGGAAACTCTTTGACAACTCAATTTCTGAACGCTATTTGATATAACTTTTTTTCAACACGGCTTGCACCATTTTGTTTTCGCTTTCTATTAATGGATTCGGTAATCAAAAGTTTAACCGAATAACTATAGAATCCAGAAAAGAAAAAAACTGTAGTCCTGGATCCAACATTTTTGAAGCTACTACACATCTTAGCGATAACACCGAATTTGTAAACGTTCCGTAAAGTTTCAGCACCTTTCTAATATTGGTGAAAAAAATCAAGGGAATAGAAAAGATTCTGATATCTGGCTTAAAAGATGTGCCATTTATTTATCGATACATATAATAAAATTGGGAGCGTCTGAAATATTTAAAAAATGTAGATTTCGTGATTATGTATTTGCGTTGCTAATAACAAAAATCGTGTTTAATTTTTTTTTCTGGCTGTCCGCAAGCCGCGTTTGTTCCGGGTAATACAATAGCAGCTGCTGACAGACATTTTATAGGCTATTTTTTTTTATCTTAATACTGCGTGTACAAAGTCACGGGCAACAGCTAGTAATAAAAATTAGGTGCAATAAAAGGCAACATCAATATTTACATACATTTATTTGTCTTTATACACAAAAGACGTTCCATAAACATTAATTTGAGATGTGTTACGTTATATTTATAAATCGAGTTCATTACAAATGTCTACCTGTACCATCCGATCGTAGCCGTTTGCAGTATTTCAACCAACAATGTCCACTTATTTACTCACAATCTGAATCTATTATTACATAAAAACTAAGCTTCAAAAATAAGAATTTAAATAGACTGTGACTTGAGTATATTATTCAATTAAAGAAACTGCTTATCTGCCGTACCCAGAGTCATTAAGTCTCCCTTAGTTTCGATATTGTGAGAAACTTGTACTGAGGAACTCTTAGCGCTCACTTAAGGTCTCTGAGTGCGATAGTTAAAATTGTTTAATGTTTATTTCTACAAGTGACAATCTGCAACACACGAAATTCGGTCTATTACTTAGCTGTAGACGTTTTTGGCCACTCCGCCTCTCGCTAATTTCACATTTCATTTTAACTACATCTAATCATTAAAAATCGTTTTAATATACAATATGTTGCTTCTAATCTAAAACGTGAATATTTATTTGGTTAAAACATACTGATAATTTAGACTTCAAATAGTGCAAACATATTTCTGACTCGAAAACAATTGATTAAAAGTTCTTAGCTATTTTCAGATAAACATCACACAACACTAATTTAAAAAGTTTGTACAAATTATAAATTCGTGGGTCGATTTATTTATTAAACAAAAAAATCAACACTCCATAAAATTTATATGTGGCTAAGAAATTATCATTATCGTGTTTTTTTTTGTTTTATTTTGATAATAATTAGTGTCATAACTTTGAGAGATTACTAGAGACTAGGGTCTGGAACCTTAATATTAAATTTCATAAGAATACATATTAAAATTGAAATATGTATGTAAAACGACGTTATCAATACAAGTCAAGGTGTTTTAATTTTTAATAATAAGAATCATTTCTTAATCAAAAGACTAATTTTTTACAGCGACTGTTTCGCCCATAGTAAATTCTGTCGGTAAAACAGTCACGGTGTGGGCTATGTCGGTAAAACAGACACTGTAAGTTTGCTCTGTCGATAAAACAGTATGTTGTTTGTAGTTCTTTTCACCACATAGTGCCATTCTTACTCTAATATTGACGAAATAAAACATATTGCAAGAAAATACTTACAAAGTTAAACTTTTTAATTACCTCTGAAGCAATGTCAGTAGAATACCGTCGTAAACTTAACTTATAAAAAGCATATGATCTGATCACAATAAGCACATTGAATCAAACTATTTTTAAAACCGTTTAATTTTATAGCCGTTTTACTAAAAAACATATTAAAAAACGCCTACTTAAAAAAATCTATATAATTTTAATCAACCATAAGGTTTGGTAATATTTAATGCGGCAGGCAACTTCATAGTACTTAGAAAAATGTTGCCAGATGGTCGGTGTTGATTAATATGTTAAAAATTAAATGTTAACAAAATCCTTAACAAACAAAATAATTTCAGTCAATGTGTAAAATATCGCGTACAATAACAAGAAAAACAATCACATTGAACACATTGCTCTTAAATACATCACTTTCTCAAATGACTAATCACAAAACATAGGAAACGAAACCGGACCACTACTTATACCCTCATCCTAATATAAATAGAAGTTATTCTACAAATATTCTCTAAATAAGTTACCATCTCCATACTGAAGTCTTAAGACCATTTGAATATTCGGGTTATTGATGGGGCAAAATAAAATCAGTCGTACGGTCTTATCGTTGACCAAGTCCGGGACCACGCCCGGAGTTTGTTACCTCTAGGACCACTTTGGTCCTGAAATATGCGCTAAATGAAGAGAGAGGAACTGGTCGCGGGCTGCGCGCTAATCTAGTCTTTATATTGACGTCGCGAGGGTTCATTTTAGCGCGTCAGATGTGTCGAATTTCTGCTCGGTGACTGACACCGCGTCAGACGCGAGCGCCTCTTTAAGCGGCTCCACACAATTCTTTGGGATAACTGTTCCTGTGAAGAGAAATAATATTAAGTCATCATCAGCATATTCTATTACTCCACTGGCACACTGCGGCTTGACTTCACATATCTTTCAATTTAAGCAAATATGTGCAGGTTTCATCACGATGTTTTCCTCCTTAAGAACACGTGGTGAATGTAAATACGAAATTCACAAATAGAAAAAGACAATGGTACATGGCGAGAATCGATCCTTAACTTATAGATTACTAGCTTTCGCCCGCGACTCCGTCCGCGTGGAATTACAAAAAAAACAAAACTGAGTAGCCTATGTGTTAGTTCAGACTATCCTCTAAGTCTATGAAAGATTTCATCGAAATCCGTTCAGCAGTTTAGGCTACAAACTCTAACAAATATCCATCCATCTAAACTTTCGCATTTATAATATTAGTATGATGGTCCGGTTTGGTCAATCAATTAATAAAATATTTCTTTTTCTGTCATCAAGCCAGGCCATGCAGTCAAATGTTATTACACCAGACCTGCCTTTAAATAAGCAATATAATTTAATTATCGAGCAACTTACCAACAATCTTCCTGCCATCATCTGTCTTGATGCGCACGACCTGCATCTTGTGCAGCGCGGCGCGCGCCGCCAGCGCGGCCTCCATGCGCGCCCACACCGCCAGCACAGAGCCCGCCAGCACGTGGTGCGTGCGCACGCGCAGACCCACCTGCACACAATTACATGTACATTCAGCCAAAATGGCTATACTCCAGCGCTGTATTATTTTCTTAAAAGTACAGTTAAGATGAATATCGGGCAACACTAGAACATCGGCATAGACGTCCCTTCCCTATCTGACAGCTGTCAATGTCATTCAGACGTATCCAGCGCGCCATTCTGGTGGGAGTGACTTGAGTCTTTAAGTTAATTAGTTGTTTCAATTAATTAAGCGCCAATAGCCTAATGGTTTGTGATACGGACTACCGATGCAGCGGCCGAGGGTTCGAGTCCCACCATTCGACTGTTATCGTGAACCATATTCTAACACAAGCCTAGAGCTTAGTTGGAGTGGTAAAAGAAAATATTAGTAAATTATCAAAAATCTACTAAGGTTTTGGAAAAAAACATATATACACTAGCTTTCGGCCGCGACTCCGTTCGCGTGCAATTAGAAAAAAAGTAAGTAGCATATTTGTTCTTCAAGAGTATGCTCAGCCGTTTAGGCTACAAACTCTAACAAACATCCATCCATCTAAACTTTCGCATTTATAATATTAGTATGATAAATATCCTTATTAGTATTTACCTCGCATTCAGTGGCGTTCCTGCAGGCGGAGCGCCAGTAGGCGTGGCTGCAGACGCGCAGCGAGGCCGCGTACTGCGCCTTCCACGCTCCCTCCGCCTCCTCGCTCGTCACCTTCTTGTATTTCTTCTCGATCTCAGCCAGAGATTCTAGCCTCAACTGCAGGCCAGTGTTCGGTCTGGATTACAAACAGTAATATAAGTTATTGGCTTCATCTGCATGAAATTATAAATTTATTGTTTGCATTTGTCAAATTCTCAATTGCAAATGTCAACATACCTATTACCTTACTATGGCAATCTTGCTTCCTTGATGTTGGCAGCAACTTATGGTCTCTTTCCCACATTAGGGTTTTCATCCAAAATTTTTACCCCCTAAGTTTAAAAGCGTGAAAATATATAGCTTAAAGCGTGACGTATGTGTAGGGCTTTTTATTAAAAAAAAAGAATTATTATAATAAATGCTGTAATTGCTGACATCTTAGGCAACAAAGAAGTGTGTGTTTACGCTTTATTATAATAGTATAGATTAAGAATTATAACTCGAACCTATTACATCTATGCTACACTAAGTAGGATCGTGGTCAAGCGCTAGCTTGACATAAAAAACATACAATGAATTGTTCCTTCAACGTTTGCGTGGGTACCTGTAAATCTGGAACATGATCTCCTTCTTGGTAGGTCTGTCCTTCCTGTTGCTGGGCGTGTGCGCGGCCACGCACAGCACGGCGGTGTGCTTGTTGTTGCGCGCCGCCTGCGACAGGTAGAACCCCTCCTTGGGGCCCGTCAGCTCAGACTCCTTCTCCAACGCCTCCATCCAATCCATACCGCGCTGGAATCATTTAAAAACATTCAATTTGAATACTACTCCTTAATATCACCTTCCTGCTCATCCTACTCCCGTAGGGTCGTTCTCTCTATCAATACGTCATCTCAATCATCACTCCCTTCTTCATCATATCACCTTTCGTGCAATTCATAAATTCAATCTGTGATTTTTATTAGGAAACACTTATAAAAAGATTTCAATAAAATGAGTATTGTAACATATTAATATATCATGTTATTGTGTATTATTTGGTGAATAATTTGCCAGACATTCACGGTGACGGAAAACATCGTGAAGCCTGCAGGTATCGGCGAAGAAATTCAAAGATGTGTGAAGTCAATCAGCCCGAAGTGGGCCAGTGGTCGGAGTCACCCTTAAATTACGGTAGGCTCCGAACCCCACAGTAGGGATGTGAGCTGGCACTGATATGAATTTCTATGCGAATGTTTTTATAGTTATTTATATTGAAATAATACATTTGAGAGAAACCGATTAAACAAAAGAGGGAATGCAAATATATCAGGAAAGAGACAGGGAGTGCATACGCGTTCCAGTTAGAGCGAGACAAGTAGCTGATATCAGTGTACGCGGTGGCGGGACTGCGGGACAGAGAGAGCACGATGGCGTCAGTGCGTTAGAGCGAGACAGATGCCTGACCTCAGTCTGCACGGTGATGAGGTCGACGGGCGCGCGGCCGGTGGCGTGCCGGCGCAGGAAGCGCACGCAGGCGACGCGGCGCACGCTCTCGCCCGCGCTGCCCAAGTCCAGGATACCCAGGTCGAAGCGCCCGCTGCGTTTAGCTACACAAACACATGTATTTTAGTTATTGTCGGTTATAGTACACAAACTTCCTAAAATAAGACCATTCTTTTGAATTTACTTGCTTTTCTCATTGAATCTGTGCTACATTTTTGAGAATATTCATTTACAAATTCATATTCAAGCGTTATTCCGTTAAAACAAGCCGTACTCTATCTAGTTATTTATAAATGTACACACCTTGCTCCATAACAGCCGCTAGCGTGTCCGTAAAGTATTTAAACAGCCTGTTCTGCAACTCTACCGGCATTCCTAATATCCTGTTGAGGAACTTTGACATGTTGTTGTAGTCCTGAAATAGAATATTAAATAAAATTAAAGACAGGTATTAGAGTTATCAAATATGTTAGCAGCTCTAAACATAACATAAGAAAAAACACACTGTTAGGTGTAGGGTAAAGATTGTAGAGGGAGCCATTTTTGCAAAAATAAGAATAGCTGTCGACAATAGGTTATTGGTATAGCATAAAAATAAAAATATACTATATTGGACGTATTTCAATCGTCTTTTTTTACATTTCAATAAATGCAAAGAAATTAGGCATATATTTCCGAAACATTGCAAGGATTTTCACATTTCTTTTTAGGCTTAACATTTTAAGCAGAGTTTTCAAACTTGGTAGATTAACATCGCGCAAAATTCTGCGCAGAAGTTGTATGCGGGATGCCGAGCGGTCAAGATATTTGTAAGGAACTATACCTTGTCTAGCGAGAGTACTCCGGGCGCGCTCTCGCTGTTGACTATAAGGCCGACACCAACGAGCGCGACCGCCACGTCCTGGAAGAAGTCCCCGGCGTAGTCTCGCGGCGGCGACACCAGCGGCGTCTCGTACTTCATTATCGCCTTCATCACCGCCTCCAGCGCCGTGCGACCTACATACAAGTTCATATTTATATTATCATACTAGCTGTTGCTTGTGGTTTCTCATGCGTGAAATTAAAAAATAGCCTATGTTACAGACAAATTACATTTCTAATGGTGAAAGAATTATTAAAATCGGCTCAGTATATTTAAGTTACTTTAGTTTTTCAGTGGTAGAGCCAGCTTTAACATCTTCGCACGAATTGGCCGACTCGCCCGGTGTAATACCACGACCACACAGAAAACAGGCGTGAAGTGGAAGCAATTGCGCGTTTCGTCTGATGAGTGTGGTGCCAGAGGCCTAATTTTAGTCCCTTTCCCTTTCCACTCTTTTCTTAAGAGAATGGATGTGTGTGGAAAAGTGGATTTGACGGTGGAGGAGACGCATAGGAAGGGTAAATGTCCTCTTAATATGCGTCTTCTCCGTCAATTAAGGGTAGGCAACGCATCTGCAATAGCAAATGTCTACGGGCAGCGGTCGCTTTCCATTTCGGTGGATTCAGGTAGCCGCTTGCTCGTTTGCCTTATGATATATAGAAAAAAAGTTACTTTATAGAAAAATAAAAAACTTTTCTCATTACTGTATTTATACTCATTTTTAAATGAACGGGGTTTTTTTGGTCCATGTTTTATATTACCCTCACTCACTTATGCCCAGTTCACACTTTGGGCAGTACAGTTGGACAGTTGCAACAGCCAGTCATAGATATACTAGATTCCGCACACGTCTCCGTCCACGTGGAATTTAAAAATAGTAAAAACATAACCAATGTTACTCATTGATAACGTAGCTTTATAGTAGGGCAAGAATTTGAAATCTATCCAGTAGTTTTTAAGTTATTTCAATACATACAAAAATACAAAACTCCAAAAATTTTCTTAGATTTGTGTATTTTTGCTTTATTCCTTGTCTTTGGTAATACTGACCATATTTATTATCTATATTAAACTGGCTGAGGTCGCGTGTCTCGGTGGCGCGGCGGTCGCCGTGTGTGAGCGCGCCGAGGGACTCCAGGCGCTTGGCGACCGTGGAGGCGAAGCGCCGCTCGCCCGCGAGGTCCGAGATCAGGAATATATATTCTGGTGCGTTCACTTGATTAGAACGGTGAGTACGACCTGGGATGTAAGTTTTAATTAGCATTTAAGTACTAATGAACCTGCAACTTTTAAGTTTTTTAAGCATTTTAATGCGAGATTTTAAAAATTCGTTTACAGTAATCTCTTGTATCGGTTACTTTTAGCAGTTCTGGAGATTACTTGCTTGATACTTGGCTAGCAGACAGATATATGTGAATACATCATGTATGTGCAGTATGGATTTTTTTTTAGATATCACAAAACCTTAAATTTTATTAGCTATATAGATAAATTTATGTTGAGCTGTAAGTAAATATAAACAAATTTATTAAACTTTTATTGCTGTATCAAATATTTTCAATTGTTATAAGCATTAGATATATCTTATAATCGATACTGACTTCCCTATATATGGAGATATTGATTCCTTCAAACTACACAATTATTTAAAATATTTGTCAATATATGACACTCACCAAACTGTTGTATAGCTCTGTCCGCTGACCAGGGCAGCTCTAGTGTTATATGCACTCTCCGTCTTTGATTCCTCGCCCTGTTATAAACAAAATTAATTAATATTTGATTATTTTCTTGAACGGAATGTCTTTTAATTTAAATAAGTTCAAAATAACTGCGCAATTTGACCATATGACAAACGTTAAAGCGTTTTTTTTTCATACGATAAAGTTACATAACTAACGAAAACACCAAAATGTTCATCGACGTCCACGGACGCTGAAAATTCCGACTTTCTCATCAAACAAATCCGCGAACGACTTGTATATTTACCTCCTATCGCTTTGTAGTGAGATACCGCTAGATGCAGCTTCAGATATAATAGCGACATCCTTCTCCCCGTTCATGAAGCGCTGCTTCTCCGTTAGGTTGAGGGTCTCCAGCGGCACGTCCGCCTCCGACCGGCTCTCGTACAGGATCTGACCCTCCTCCGTCTGCACCACGCGCCCCTTGCGCCCAGTCATCTAACACGACACTCTGATTAATTCTCTTACATCAAAAAATAACAAATATGAAAAGCAAAAGAGAAAAAATTTATTTAAAACTAGCTGTTGCCCGCGACTTCGTCCACGTGGTACTATATAAATAACAAAAAGCTACGTATCCCTCGGGAACCAGACATTTCTAGGGGATGAACCTTATCACATGTGTACTCCAGACTTTGTTTTATATTTGTGCCAAATTTCAATAAGATAACTTGAACTGTTGCAGAATTATCGAGTAAACATTAGAAAACTAAATTAATGAATCCCACGGGAATCGTAACTATTCCCGGGATAAAAAGTAGCCTATGTGTTATACCAGAACATCCTCTTATTTATTTTTCTTTTATAAATTCATAATATTACCGAAACGCGGTAAGCGTAGGTTTTTAATAATTATTGTATAAAAATATTTTTCCTGCTGTTTTCGATGCCCACAATACAGGCATTGCCTAGTGAGGGCATCACTAGATCAATCGCATTTTATCCACTATTTGTATTTATCTTTGAATTGGTTATAACTTTTATTGTTAATTGTTAATCTGTTATTTTTCAATAAATTATTTCTATTTCTATTTCTCTACATCTAAGTCAAATTTCATCGAGATCCGTTCAGTACCTTAAGCTACAAACTTTAAAAACATCCATACATCCAAACTTTAGCATTTAAAATATTATTGAAATTAGTAAAAAGCAAGAAGTAAAATTCTATCTGTGATCGATGATTTCTTCTTCTTCTGAGAAAAAATTCTTTTCTTTTAAAATTGCTTCTTTTACACTATTACCCTACATTTAAAATCTAAATATTTTTTTAATTGTTAACATAAAATGTACCTTTTAGATATTAATACTATTGGATATTTAAAAAAGTAAAAAATAATCTAGCATCAACCATTGTAAGTTGATCCGTACCTCAGCGACATTCTCAGTGCCGCCCAGCTCATCCACCAGCTGGTCGAGTGTGTTGGGCGGCAGGCGGCGGCCCAGCTTCTCTATAGCTGCAAGGAGTTCCTCCTTCATGCTGCAGGCGCGCTCGATGGCGGACCGCGGCGGCGGCTGGTTGCGACTCGGTCCTGAAAACATCAGACAGTTCCGCACTTAGAAAGGTCACTAAGGGAGGACTTTAGTTTTATTGGCTCGAAACAATGTTAAGGGTGCTGAAGGAATACTAGAGACAACTAGAATAACTACATTTAAAGACACGTACAAGCTATAATATAGTGAACTAGTGACAATAAGCAGTAATAAAAAAAAACCACAGGAATTGTATTAAAAAACTTCAGTTAACTATTGTCTACGTAACTATTAAAACACTACATGTAGAAAAAAAATGTTTTTTCTATACAAAATTGCTTAGTTTAACAGACACTGGTTGAGATTGATGACAAAAGACTGTCATGGTTTACAGTCCCCTCCTCCCAATTTCATAGGTAAAAAAGGGGGGTGTTAGCGCCTGTGTCACCTTCATCTGGATCCCTATTGATCGATAACAGACATCACTAGCAACAGCGCCGCGTGGACATCCCTATTGCACAATAATTCCCTCTCTCGCTCTTTGTCTGTCACTGCGCGGCCATGCATCATATCTCGCGCTTATCAAGAGATTGTAAATACAACCAAAATGTAACGAATACTTATCAAACAACAAGCTAAGTACTAGCGTTTCATTATGTCCATATAAAAAGAGGCATAAACAGAGCGGATCTTTTTTTGTTTTGTTTTTTTTTTGTGTGGGTATTTGTATATTTAGTATGTTTTTACCTAGATATAGTCCGTTAGTCCCGACGGGCGTGCCGGTGAGGGAGTGGCCGCCGGCCGTGGTGACGGTGACGGTGGGGGGCGCGCTCGTCTTCCTCTCGAACATCGTTTCGATCTTGTCCTGCGTGCTCGCCGCCTTCTTCTTAGGTGATGCTGCTTTCTTCTTTTTAATTGGCTTCTTCTTGCGATTGATCCATGGATCTGTAATTTTGAATGTTAAATACTTTACACTATTCTGATACAAATGCACATAGTCTGCAAAAATACATAGGCTACTTAATAAGTTTTTATAATTGCGCGCGAACGGAGTCGCAGTCGAAAGTAATTTTAACTGAACCGATTCAACATATTTTTCGACATAATTAATTGCCTCTAACCGGGCTTTAAATCCTTATTTGACACTATTTTTAGATTATGATTGCCATTAACATATATAATTATGCAAAATTTTTCATAAAAACGTAATACAACGCCATCTTACGAAATTTCACAATACTTTTTTCGTATTATGCAATTTTTTTATAAAACATAAAACAGCGCCATCTAACGGAATTTCACAATACTACGTTACCATCATCACTGTCGCTCTCCCGTCCCGCTCTAAACGGATTGGAGTCACTCTGATCGGAATCCGAATGTCGGCCGTCGTCAGATTCGTCGGCCAACTCGTCTTCCAACTCGTCGTCGGAGCCGCGTATGAACTCATCGGAAGAGGAGCCGCCGCGGGCGCGCTTCGCAGCCACATTCGCTTGCTGACGGGGAGTTACTGTAAAAATCATATTATTACATTTAAAATGCTAGCTAAATTAGCTAAAGTTATTGCTTGTTGAATTTTGAATTTCAATCACACGTATGAATAAAGAAAACATGACTACATCAAATTAGCAAAATAAAGTCAACCTTACTGATGTTATCAATACGAAAGTTTCAGTGTATAGATGGATGGATGTTTTTTACTACGTATTACAACAGATTTCGCCGAATTAGATGTGAAACAGAGTCGTGAACGTAGCGTAAGCGACGGCTATTTTAGGATAATTTTAAAATGTTATATGTTTAATTCATATTTCCACACATCCGAAACATAAATAAAACTTACGTTTCCTCTTAGAGGTGTTAGCGTCATCACCATTCCGTCCGTTGTGTGCGGCCGCGTGCGTGATGGTGGCGGGCTTGGCCTCCAGCCCCAGCAGCCTATTAATGCGAGTCCGGTCCGGCGCGGGGAAGTGCTTCTCTACCAACGTTTGAAACACGCCCCTGATAACATCCAATTATATATAATACGAACTCAGTGTATGTGACAGTATTGTGTACTAGTATGTATCGTGTAATAACGTGTACTCGGTAGTATTCCGGTCCGTTATGTGTAATCTATACTAACATTACAAAGAGGAAAGATTTGTATGTATTGAAATAATTCAAACACTACTGGACCGATTTCAAAAATTCTTACAATATTATACAGCTATCTAAGGTATCAGTAACAGGCAGTAAAGATATAGCCTTTGTAATTTATAAATTATTAAGAATAATTTTTAAATTCACGCAGACGAAATCTGTAACAGCTAATATTATGTACAGGACTGTAGTGTGTAACATTGTGTACAGGTCTGTAGTGTGTAATATTGTGTGCAAGTCTGTATTAAGTAATATTGTGTACTGGTCTGTAGTGTGTAATTTGTACACACTTGGCGGTGGAGACGAAATCGCTGAGTTCGCCGTCGTCTCGCTCTAGCTGGTCGAGGGTGCGCGCTTCGCCCGTGCTCTGCAGACCGATCACCACACATTTGCCGCACTTTACCGCCTCGCGGGCAGTCACTACCGCATGGTTCACCTGTATCATACATACATACATACAAATATTTGCAATCATCAAGCACTATCCCTTACAGGTCGGCAATATGTACAACTCTTTCATACATTATTATCACAACATACATACACTTCTGGTTAATGTTGGTAAAGTAGAAAGCGGATCACCTGATATTAAAAAGATATTTCACCATTTACATCTGCAACAATCACAATAATTACATTTGCTTTGGCATCTTTTAGGCAAAATACTAAAATAAGAAAATCTCTCACTCAACATCATATTTGACTTATTTTTTTTTCTGTTATCAACCTTATTTCATGAACTGCAGAAGAAACATGAATATTTACGAAGTTATACCTTAGCAGCAATACACAGGTATTTGAAGAACCGTTGATGCGCAGACCAGAACTGTCCCCACATGGTCTTCTTCATGCGGGACTCCGCGTCTATCAGCTCAGCTGCTTCTGTGAAACGCTGCATTGCCTCCACCCACTATAAAAAAGAAATAAGATATTAATTATAGTAGACTAAGATTTAGGGCTTATCCCACAGAATTGTAAAATATGGGATGGAAATATCAAATTGTTCCCTTATCTGACAGTGACGTCATTTTTAAGCCTCTATCAGCCAGTGATGGGACAGGCCCTTAGTCTAGAATATTGGCTGGCGACGTCTATGCCAGTACATAACTTCATCATCATCCACTTGCCCTTATCCCTTAAGGAGGGTCGGCACAGTATGTGCTGCTCTTCCATACATCTCTATCAGCCGTCATATCTGAATCCACTCCTTTCTTAAGCATATCCCCTTTCACACAATCCATCCATACTTTCTTCGGTCTTCCTCTTCCACATTCAATCTTAACACTTTCTGTTTTAACATAACCGAACTCTGTTAAAATCTTATTGAATAGATTTAATGCAATAAGTAAATGCTACATTAGGCTCTTTGTGTTTGTTTTAACTAATATTAGGAATTTTTCGTCATACCAAAGCGACGGCTTTATCGTAAGTCTCCTTGAATGCATCAGAGAGCGGGACCTCTTCTATCTTGAAGGTGACGCCGTGGAAGGAGAGCTGGCGCGCGATGTACATCCCTCGCAGCTTCATGTCCATTGCCACTATCTCCATAGCGCCCACACCTCTGTTGAAAATAATAAATATCCACTTTTTACATATATTTAGTGTAGTTATTTAAATTGTGTAAAATTTTATTAAAATATTGTCTTGTACGACGATATAATAGAATAGATTCAAGCCTACGACCGCTAGATTATTACAGTACTTATTGTACCACTAGCTCTCGCCCACGAATCAATCCGCGTGTTTTTAAAAGCTTGTGTTCTTCCATGCTATCCTCTATATCTATGCCAAATATCAGAGATCCGTTCAGTCGTTTTGGTGGCAACCTCTAACAAACATCCATCTAAACTTTCGCATTTATAACATTAAAATAAGATTGATGCTTTAAATTACACTAAAACCAAACCTTTTAGTCTAAATGGACCATAAAAGAAAATTTTGCATATTTTTATTACTTATATTAACATAAAGAGGAAAGATTTGTATTTTTGTATTTGATTCACGTAAATCACTGGGCCCAATTTTTAAAAAAAATATTTTTTTAAGTATAATAGGCTACATTTTTTAATTTTTACGAAGGCGCGAGCAACGGCTAATTATAAAACTGTTGAATTTCAACAAACCTCTTTTCTACAGCATTAATGAAATCCATAAATGTAGGGAAGGGTGTCCCCTCCCCCCATATACCGAGACGGACCATGTACGCCATATTGCGAGGCTCGGAAGCGCCCGTCGCGGAGGCGTACACTACTCGTGCTTTTGGTAACTTGTTCTGCAACTCTAATGCAGTAAGACCCGTCTTTGTAGCTTTGCCCGACCCCACCGGGCAAAGATTCTTCGCTTTGTGACATTCGTCGAATACAATCTGTTTTTAGTTAAGGAATTTGGATATACATTTCTCGTGTAGTATTAGTCAATAGAGGAAAACAATTATCTTATGTTGATGCAGAAACCGGATTATATTTAGAACATGAGTATTATTCGTTTCCACGATGTATTTATTAGGAAGGGTTTTAAGTTTTTCGATTATCTGCGACCAATCTTTTAAACTTCAAACCGCTGAAGAACACGGTTTTTTTTCTCTTATATCATAAAGCTACAATCGTTGCATATGTAGATTTCCACATTATTTGTAACCGTCAAATAAATTTAATTCCACCAATTTTGTTCAAATTAATTTAGACGACACATTATGTTGGTTAATAGAACGCACGGTTTGTTAAGTAACAAGGTAAACTGACTGTTCGCGAGCGCCTGCCATATTTTTCACAGCAACGGCTTAATTTTGACACGGAGCATGATTTTTATTAATTACCATTCAAAATCTGTAACTGACGGAGTAAACGCATCCCTCTTGGCACAAAATCTGTTTTATTTAATTTTCTCCGAATTATCGACCAAATATTTACACTGACACTTAAATGAATTTTAGACATTAATATTATAAAAACGTAATTCAACACTCAGACCGAGATTCCCGCCAGAATAGCGCGCTAATACTTCTGAATGACATTGACAGCTGTCATAGGGATGGGACATATATGACTTAGTGTTGTGCCAATCGTACAGCGCAGTACTGATTTCTTCTTTTTTTTCTTCTTAACATATAAAGGATACACATCCATCGAAGTCCTCTCCGCACCACTGCAGCAGCTGCTTCAGCCGCGAGCGGTACTTGGTGCTGGAGGACTGCGTCTCACCAATCAGCGCAGAGTACGTGCAGAACACAACTCCCTTCTTCACATTACCGTTCACAGCTGACGATATCTTCGCGTATTTGAACTGAAATATACAATTTGATTAGTAAATTTGTTAACTAGCTGTTGCCTATGACTTCGTCCACGTGAAATTAACCCACTAATAGCTTTTTAATGGTGATAGAATTTTTGTAATCGGCATAGTAGTTTTTGAGTTATTTCAATACATACAAAAATACAAATCTTTTCTCTTTATAATATAAGCATGGAAAATAAGTAAAGTCTAAAAAAAATGTAATAGCTATATAACTCAAATTAGGAAATTTCGTTGCTCTTTAATTCGAAACCTCCACTCTCTCTCTCTCTCTCTCTCTATAGTTTGTGTATCTATATTTAGTCCCTTTCCTTTCACATTGCTTTCTTCGTTAATTAAAAATTAAATTTAAATTTTTACCAAACATAGCTACAAGTTTTTTCCCTTCAGAATTATTGTTTTTTAATAAGTTTTGGTAGACTAGGAACAAAAAAGTTCGACAATCACAAACATGTTTCTAAACTGTCTCCATCTAATGTTGTACAACATGTGTTGTTACTAAGCAACATTTAATCACCTTATTGAGCGGATGGACTTCAATTTTCCCAGCTCCAATATCTCGCAGGTCTCGTTCAGCGTCGTACTTGAGGTCGTTGGAGACGGACACCCAGATGGCGCGCTTGCGACCCTTCAGGTAGTTCTCGAAAATGATGCCCGCGATCGTACGACCCTTGCCCACACCAGCGCCGTCACCTTCAAATACCACAAAGGTAAGGTAAGTAAAAAAGGCTCTATGCTAAATGCTACATTCAACTGACAAAGTAAACTATCACATATAGCTTAACTAGCATTCTACCGCGACTCCGTCCTCGTGGAGTTGAATAACAAAAGAAGTAACCCATGTGTTCTTCCAGGCTATCTAATGGTTCTCTGGAACCATTCAGTCGTTTAGGTTACAAACTCTAATATCATCCATCGATCTAAACTTTCGCATCTATAATATCAGTTAGAAGTAAGATACCACCTATATTCTTAAGTAGCCCCTGTACTACGTTTTATTCAGATTACTTTTAATAAAAAACGCTTTTTATCATCATTTGCCCTTATATTTCAACTTTGACCCTTATAACAATGGAGTATAATCAACTGCATAATGTACACTAGCTTTCACATGCGACACCGTCTATGTGATATTTAAAAAGTAACCTATTTATTCTTATAGACTATTTTACAATACCAAATTTACATCAACTTTCATTGATATCCATTCAGCTGTTTAGAATACAAACTCCAACATCCATACATCCATCCATCCATCCAAAGTTCATATAAGTGACGGGTGACCGATACCTATGAGGAAGCCAGCCCTGGTGCCGTCGGGCAGCGTGTGCTCGTGCGCCTGGCTGGCGTACACCACCGCCTCCAGCTGCAGCGCCGACAGCAGCCCGCCGCGCACCGTCTCCTCCGGCAGGCTGATGGAGTACGTCACGTCCACCGGCTCCACCGACGAAAGCGACGCCGTCTCCACCACCGGGTCGGGGTGCTTGCGGCCCAGCTTCACTGCACAACCATACATTAATGCTATAGGATCTTTCTAAATTTGTCATTCATCATCATCATCCACTTGCCCTTATCCCTTACGGAGGGTCGGCACAGTATGTGCTGCTCTGGGAGAGCTACATTTCTATCATCCGTCATATCTGAATCCACTCTTTCTTAAGCACATTCTCTTTCACACAACCCATCCATACTTTCTTCAGTCTTCCTCCATTTATCCTTTCTAAATTTGTCATTGAGGAAAATTAAAGGGAAAAGACAGGCACAGAGTGGAGTAGCGGTTAAGCAGGAATGAGGAATGAGGGTTGCGATCTCTCTCTCTCGAACGTAAAAGAGAATAATGTTAACAGTACATACATTTAGAGGGCATATAGTCTGCATATGTCTCCGCAACTCCCATCTCTTCATCGTCCACTTCTTCTTCATCACCTTGCATCTAAAATACATACATATTACAAATTATTATTATAGCAATTGAGTAAAAGTTATCCGACTCGAAGGACCATACAATTTCTTAAACATCCGATTAAGTCAACATGTTAATAAGATGCTTTAGTACCTTGTCATGTGGCCACATGCCAGGCTTAGCTTGTGCCCAGGGCGGCATCTGTCCGTACTGAGCTACCATCCCAGACACCAGGATCTGGTTTAAATTTTGCAGCAGGTAGGAGTTCATTCCTTGCGCGCCTACCATCTCCACTGGAAATTATTGTTATATTCCATAAAAGATAAAACAGCGGAATTTGCAATAATGTTTATATGTTATGTTAAATGCAGATGAGTAAGAAATAGTATGAAAAATTAAGAAGAAAGGCTTTTATTAAACAAATAAAAAAAAAACTGAAGAACCATTTATTTCACATAGGTAATAGTTGTAAATGAATACAAGACAGTAGAGAAATAAATATTTCATTTACAACTAGCATGGAATTTTTTTTTCTACGTTAATTAAACGTAATCCTTCGCAACTCTTGCTACTTGCATTTCTTTTAAATGCTACGAACATTTAAAAGTCTTCTTTCCGAAGTTCGATTGCGACAGAAAACTTTAGGCCAAGTTTTTAATTAACGTAATTAGTAACTTTTGAAAGCTTAAAGTTTCTACATCTTAGTTGTATAACCGCACGTGACATTGTCACGTTGTAGTTACTGGCATGATGGATGTCGAAATATAACATTTTTAGACGATAAAAAAGCATGAATATTCTTCCACAAAAATGTACTTTTAACTCTTGAAACACAGGTTTAATCTATCCTAATATTATAAAGAGGAAAGATTTGTATTTTTTTATGTATTCAATTCACATAAAAACTACGTGGCCGACTTTAAAAATTCTTTCAGTGTTAGAAAGGTATTTTATCTTTGGGTAACATAGGCTATATGAATATAACAAAACAGGATTTATATAACACAAATGAGGAATTAACCAATTTTGCACTGAGAAAACTGACAAAAAGTATAGTAGTAGATAGTTAGGTGAGTTCATGCTTCATAATGTGTGTTCTAATTTTTTATAACTAAGATTGTATATAGGCGGTATAAAAGTAAACAAAAGTAAATGAAAAATTAGTATTTAAGAGTCATGCAGATAGCTTTAAAAACTTAAGGTTGCAAACTGAATTTAAAATAATAAAATGATAGGAAAAGTGTATTGTAAATAATTACAATTTTAGCGAAGAGTAGAAAAGCCAAATATAACAAATGAGACCTGAGAAATAGGGTTGCCAGGCATTTTTATTCAAAATTTAAACATGTTACCAAATACATTCTGAAGAATTAATAAAAACATCAGAACACAATTTGAAACAAAATAAAGACATAGATATAATTTTTTTAAGTCTGGCAACCCTAATTTCGTACTATACATTACTGGCACACAACCAAGTTACTCACTCTGAGCGAGTAGGGAGGCAGCATTGAACGCTGCAGAGGAGCCGGCACCAGCGAAGGAGGGAACCGGCCCCACAGATGGCACTATAAAGGTGCTTTTATTAAATCTTTTATCTATACTAATATTATAAAGAGGAATGATTTGTATTTTCGGATCTTTGTATGTATTCGATTTACGTAAAAACTACTAGGCCAATTTCAAAAATTCTTTCACCATTAAAAAGGTAATTTATCTGTGAGTAACATCGGCTATATGGCTGACTTTTTTTATTATTTTTTTTTTATTTCACGCGGTCGAAGTCGCGAGCAACAGCTGGTATATACTAATATTATAAAGAGGATAGGTTGTATTTTTGTGTGTATTGAAAACTCATCCCGATTTTTTCTCTCCTATATCCATTTTTTAGTTTACATAATACAATTCTTTTAATTTCTTTTATATCATCAATTATTTTAATTAATGTATTTCAAACTCACCAACACCACGTCCCAGTGTTACCATAGGTCTGGGTTTATTTAGTCCTGCTTGTATTTTAATAGGTTTCATATTAGAGGCCTGTCCAAATGCCAGTCCCGATGCAGCTGAAAATCCAAACAATTTAAAAATGTAAAATTCATTATAAATTATTACTTTTTTTGTGTATTTCTTTTAAAACTAAGTTTTTAATTAATTTTTCTTGAGAAATTATCTTACACAAATTAAAAATAGCTTAACTTACATATGGTGCCATCAAAGACCATATACAAGCTCACTTTAATTTGTTTATTTTTTAATTTCTCTATCTATAGAGATATACTATAATTTAAATATTTACCTGCTAACGGATTTGTAGTTGGTCTAATAATAATTGGTTGTGGGCCAGCAGTGACCTTTGCTTTAACTCCCATTTGAGCGGCAGCTGCCAAGGTTTTACCACCGCCTAAAAGTAAAAAAAATTATATCTTCACCTTTGAATAGTTACAAAATGTTAATTTACAGATATCAATAAAGAATGTATAGATTGGTTGATTTGAAAATATTTTATTAGGCAAATTAATCAATTTTTTACTATATTAAAGTAAACCATACACTTCAGTGATAATATAGTAAGTTTCTGCAGTTTGAATACAAAGTATTCAATACAAATGATATTTTTATTTCTGAATTACTCATACACTACATTTAAAGAAACCCTCAACTACATTGTTTTATACAACTATGTTGTTACCTACCATATTTCACTCATAAATATTCATACTAACATAAATAAACCATACATTCCCTACATCCACCATAGTTCTTTACATCTTCATTATATCTCAAACTATTCAGTTTATAAAAAAATAATCCATTCTCATTAATGGTTTATGAAACTGTCCTCAGTGCCACCACAAATTTTTCAATCGACTTGAGGGTGGTCTATGATGGAACTAAAAGTATTAAATAGAGACATATAATTATTATACCTGGTACTTCCAAGTTATCTGGATCCTCATCATCATCAAAGTCTGAATCATCAGACGGAGTCGGTGGGTTGTCTTCATCATCACCAAAACCTCTTCTCTTCGACTAAAACACATCAACTTTGTACATATTTCAATATTCAAAGTAAACACAACCCAAGTGGAAAATCCATGATATGTAACTCAGTGGCTGCCAACATTTCAAGCTTATTGTAAAATTACATAACTGATAAGAAATCTATTAAAATCCTAGTTTATGAGCCATGAAAGTACCATTCGGATATTTGGATTAACAATTGCCACCAACTTTTCTTCCCATGTTGCAACACAAATGTATATAAACTCACGAAAACTATACTGTCACTATTTCACTTTATAATCAAATGATTTAATAATTGCAATAAAGTTTAATATTGTGCAAGAGGGCCAAAAACATTTAGCAAAACATTCCCAACGGCGCACGTACCGCATTGCACTAGTGTGCTTCCACACAGTCTCAGTGCAGTTATTAGGTCGTATCCTAATACTACACCTAGAACCTTCTGAGAAAATCAATACAGCCACACCCTTCTTGCATAATTAACAACTCAATACCATCAACCATTTCAGAATAGTAGCCAAAATGCATTCAGGTAATCACATGTGAGAATGCCATCAGCTCATGACAGTTTTTTTTTGGTTAGAAAACTTGAAAACAAAGAAAAAAATGCAGAAAAATAGTATTTTTTCAGACCTCGATACATTTGCACACATTTTTTCACTTATTAAACATGAAATTACAAAAAGATACAAACAATATCAGCTGAAAACAAGACGTTTAACAAAGTTAAGTTCGTAAAAAAGTATCAAAACAAAAAACTATCATTACCATTTTTAATACTGAATTAACAGTTTTAATGATGCAAATTTAATATTTTTTTATCAATACGGAAACACAATTTTCAACGTTTAGATTATCATTACACTCGTATAATAATTGCGTTAATTTTTCGATCCGCACTTAGAAAAAAATCAGATAACCCGACGGCGGTCAATGCTTCCGCCATATTAAAAAATACTCAATCCAATTCCAAAGAGAAAAGAATTATGCACCGTTGTACGTTTGGATACATTCGCCAAAGTATATTTTTGCATATTCTAAGGAAAACTATGGGAAACTCATTTTAATTGCGCACTAAATAACATAAAAAGAAATGAGATTTCAAAAATGTTCAGTTAATAAAAGCTAATTTTCATTAGTTTAATGTGTAAGTTAATAATGGGAGAAGTAAGGTCATTTTCTTTTGTTGAACATCGTGGACGTGTATCCGAAAAATTTTACTCTTTGGCAGTTGCTTGAAACTTCGTAATCTTTGACCGATTTAGCAACGTGGTCGGCCATATTGTTTTTTCCAAAATTAACTAATTGTCAGAAAGTTAAAGTGGTTTTCACTTTTTTTGCACTTATTTCCATTTGTTGAACTTTTAAGTTTACTAGAAATGGATTCTCTTGTCGGTTATGGGAGCGATGATGATAATGAAACTGAACGTGTCAGCAGTCACAGTTCGGTGAGTAATCTTGCCTAGCTTGGCCTTGACAAATTTTTTTTCTTACATTTATCACAAAAAATCACAATTAAAACTCTTAATATGTGTTATATTTATTTCACTGAGCAGTGGTAGCATCAGTATTTGATTTAGTATCTCAAGGGATCTATACTATATATAAAAACATTTAAACACATATTACTACTAGCCCTATAAGTTGAATAAATAGTTTTAATTAAGTTAGAAAATAAGTAACTATGTCAGTTACTACAAATGTAAAAAAAGGAGTGATAAGTTTTTGATATTCTGATACCTGAATAAATTAATTAAACTAACAAATACAAACATCTTTATACTAATTTACCTGCTATTTTCTGATATCAGTAGAATATATTTATGTGTGTATAATTCGTTGATATTAATACAATTCTCTGCTTGACAATAGACTGATATTCTAGGTGGGTCAAGGTCCGAGCCAGCCAGCACGCCGACGGGATGATGATACCAACTACGATGACGTGAACATGGAACTCAGTGAGGTAACTACCACTACATATCTTCATGTATACGGGGCAATTTGTCTACACAAAATATTACATCAGAAATTTCGCACCCTTAGCAAGACTAAGCATAGCTATCTTCTGTAGTTTATAAAAACTTGTATTCAATGTCTTCCGTAAGTTCAATTGAAATTTCAGGGGTTTATTCAAATATTTGTTTATATATATCTTAGCAAAAATATTGCTCGAAGTTAACATATATAAATAATTCGTTGCACTCTTTTCAACGATGATATTAACACTTTTATTATTTTATATGTTACCCATTTGTAAATTGACACAAAACAAAAGTCAAATACCCCTCGACGCGCGTGAAGATGGGCCGCCTACAACGAACGACTAACGCGTACACGTGAGTACATAGATGTAAGAATACACTGTGATTTACCATTACAATTATTTAGGTGGTATTTTTATACATTCATATCCTAAAATATAAAAAAATAATATTTTAACAAAGTTTTACATATTCTCCCCAAACAAATAGTAACATCCCAAAATTAATTCTCCTTTACTATTAAAATTTTTTAAATAGACAAAGAGATTATAATAAAAATTGAATTTGCAAATCTGATACTTCAAAATAAATTATTTTTACTGCCAACATTATTTACGATGCTATGTGAAAACATTCATTGAAAATAATCAATTGTTATAAATTTTTAGGTAAATTTATAAACTAAAAATAAAATCCATTAACTAGCAGTCGCATTTATACAGTGGTAGAGCTAGCTTTAACATCTTCACACGAATTGGCCGGCTCGCCCAGTGTAATACCACGACCACACAGAAAAAAGGCGTGAAGTGGAAGCAGTTCCGCGTTTCGTCTGATAAATGTGGTGCTGAAAGCCTAATTTTAGTCCCTTTCCCTTTCCATACTTTTCTTAAGAGGAAGGAATTGGAAGCAAAAGTGGATTTGACAGTGGAGGAGACACATAGGAAGGGGAAATGTCCTCTTTATGTGTGTCTCCTCTGCCAATTAAGGGTAGGGAACGCATCTACAATTCCGGATGTCTATGGCTAATGGTTACTTTCCATTTCGGTGGATTCATGTGGCCGCTTGCTCACTTGCCACCATATATTATATAAAAAAATAGCATCCATTAAGTTAATTACAAATTATTATTAAAATTAAACACTGCTACTTATCAAAAGCAATAAGACTTACCAAAAATACTCTATAATATATATAAAAAATGGGTTATGAGTTAATAATAATACTTTTTGCTGTTATGTTAGCTAAAATCTTAATAAAAATCCTTATTTTCTAAAAGATTAATCTAAAAAAAATCAAATCTTAAAAGATTTAATGAAAAAGCATCAATTTTCAAGCAAGCATTAATCAAAAATCTTAAACTTTGTTTAAAAAATTCTTACATTAATATAAATAAACGTATCTCTTTATATTTTAGTATAATTTAGCAGTATATTAATAAAGACGTGTGATAATATCTTGTCGCAGGACTCCCAGGGTGAGTCGGAGCTCGGGGCGGAGGAGCAGTCTGAGTCCAGCTCGCAGCACTGCCCAGATCGGCCGGAACGACTCAAGAGATCCAATTACCATGGTCAACAGGATAGCAATGATCGGTCTAACTCAGGTATTACATTGAAACAAGAAAATCAATCCGGTATTAAATTTATACTTTTATATCTATATCTCTCTCTCTCTCTCTCTCTCTTCTATCTCTAGAAGAGGGAGAGAGACACACTATACTTAGTTATGTGGGATGACAGCAATCACAGTACATCATACTTCATACTAATATTATAAATGCAAAAGTTTAGAAGGATGGATGGATGGATGTTTGTTAGAGTTTGTAGCCTATATGGCTGAATGGTATTCAATGAAATTTAGTATAGACGTAGAGGATGGTCTGGAAGAACACATAAACTACTCACTTTTGGTTTTTTTAATACCACGCGGACGGAGTCGCGGGTGAAAGCTAATTTTTAAATAATTCATTTTAGTTCTAAACTTACGACATGCTTTGGGCTATATATTTTCATGCTATTAAACTTATGGAGTAGGTAATTTATTAAAAAAGCTACAAAAGCTGACATCAAAAAAGTAAGGTTGCTATGGTAACAGTAGTTTTTATGCAATGTCAAAGGCCTTTGTTGTTTTGTGCCTTTGACACTTCCAATTAAGAGTTTGACAAATGTAAACAATAAATTAAAGTTAAGAAACTACATGGGAACAGCTAAGGGAAATAAATAACAAAGTACATTATGGTATCAGATGATAGCCGAGAACGTGATCGTCGTGATCGCGACCGGGATCGTGAGCAGGACCGCAAAGACAGGAGACGAGAGTCCCCAGCCAAGGGGAAAACCGAAAGAGACCGGGGAGAACGGGATAGAGACCGCCGCTCGCCGCGCAGAGATGATAGATACAGGTAAAAGATACATTACAACTAATTTTTTTCTAGGTTCTTAAAAAATGTCTATTTTGAGTTTTTTTTACTTGACAATTTTTTACAAATTGCAAAATCAAATATCAAATGGCCAAATTCTGAGATGAAATCTTAAACACTTAGCTTCATTAATAATGCTTAGAGCACACCTTTGACCAAACTAACGCACAACTGTTTAGTCTCTCTGATTCCAATGATAGGGGTGCGCACACTATCTATTTTTTAGTTGTGCAACTAAACAGTTGAGGTTGCGAAACAATCGACTATCGCACAACAGTCGTGCGATTGTTTAGTTGTAAAGATGCGCACGCTCTTACAATCTGACAGACGCCATATTATGGAATTTGCATTGTAAACATAGCTTTTTCCTTTGCCGTTACCTATTATAATATTGTTTTAGTACTTAGCTGTATTTATTAATTCTTGTTACAGATCTGACAGAAGCGATCGTGGCCGCGGCTCACAGGAGGGTTGTTCCCGACGTGGTCTTCTCGGAGATCGACCTGATGATAGGAATGCAGATAATAGGGTAAGTTGATTTCTATAACTGACTTGAAAGATACTGTTTCTCTTCTATTTAAATTTTTATTTATGTTCTATTGTTACCTTCTGGTATCTAAATGATAGAATTAATTCTGATGTCAAAAATCATACAATACTTACTAATATTATAAATGCGAAAGTTTAGATGGATGGATGTTTGTTAGAGTTTGTAGCCCAAACGGCTAAAAGGATTTCAATGACATTTGGTATAGATATAGAGGATAGTCTGGATGAACACATAGGCTACTCACTTTTGTTTTTTTTTTAATTCCACGCAGACGGAGCTACTATAGTTGTAATCGCCAAAAAATGATTTTACATTTGGTCATATCTGGATAACTACATGCAAGTTTTTTTTTCATATATTGTTTGTACCATATTTTAATAATGCCTTCATGTTTTCTTAGGGTCTGTCTCACCACTGGCTGATAGAGGCTCAGATAGCTAAAAAATAACGTCACTGTCAGATAAAGTAACAAAATCCGATATTTCCATTACACCTTTTACACATTGGATTGTTATTAGACTTATTACAATTTCGTGGGACAGGCCCTTAATAACAGAATTTTAACATATAAGGTGTTGGAATCATGTTTTTCCCTTAATGATGTTAGAAATGTTTTTTGTATCAGGTCCCCGCGCTGATGGATTTAAAACCGTTCGGTGGTGAACCTCCCCCAGGGTTGAGTTATGGAAAGTCGCAGGACGCCAGAGATGCAGTCTCGCCGAGGTAACAACTAGTATTATAAACAATATTCTTTTATGAATAATTTTGTGTTCAAAAATGTTCTTAATAAAAAAAATACGTAAGGTTTCCAATAATAACTTATTCAGATACCTTCTAACAAACATCCGTCTTAACTTTCGCATTTATAATATTACTATGATGAGTAAGAGTATCAGATCGTACTAATTTTATAAATGCGCAAGTTATGATGGATGGTTGGATGTTTGTAGCCTAAACAGCTGAACGGATTTCGATTAAATGTGGAATAGACATAGAAGATAGTCTGGAAGAACACATAGGCATCAATTATTTTTTTTAATTCCACACGTACGGAGTCGCGGGTGAAAGCTAGTGTACTAAATTTTTTTATGTTTGTATTACAGATTCGTAGACAGAGAGCGACGTGACAGAGAAAGGGAGCGCGGCAGAGACAAGGAGAGGCATGGTAGACGATCTGAGGAACGCAGGTTAGTTTTAAATATAAACACACAATATTTCATAAAAATATATTAATACAAATAATGTACAAAGACTAAATTTGGCTCGCGAATTCGGCCGCATGGAATTTAAAAAAAAAATGCAAGCCTATGTATTCTTTCAGACTATCCTCTATGTATGCCAAATTTAATCGAGATTCGTTTAGCAGTTTAGGCTAAAAACTCTGACAAACATAAACCTTTCACATTTATAATATTAGTATGATGTTATTTCAGATCTGGACATAGAAGTAGGGAGCGACGTTCGCGGTCTCGGTCGCGGGGCGCTGCCTACCCTCCGCCGACACACACTAGGTATAGTTGAGGAAATACTCGGTGTTACACTTATAGAAATGCCTAGTTCCATGTGTAGATCTAAACTATAATAAAGCGTAAACACACTTTGTTATGTAGAATCATCAGCAATAACAGTATATTTTAAAAATCCCTACATTTACGCTATAGGCTAAATACTTTCACGCTAAATTGATGGCTGAAAACCAGCTCGACACTGGATCTTAACTATTGGTTGAGCTGATCCTCCACCTTTTGCCATCTGTTACTAATTTTTATAAATCTTTTATTTTGTGTAACACTATATTTTCTGGATGGCAATAAAAGAATTTTATTTTTATTATTATTTAGAGGGTAAATAAGTTAGAAATGTAATGCGAGGGAAAAGGCTTCAAGCGAAAGCAGCAAACCTAATTTTCCATAGTTACTAATAAACTATTCTCAGCCGAAGTCAAGGGCATTTGTTATTCGAACATTTTTATTTCGAAATTTTCAAATGAAAGTTTTACGGAATGTAAACAACAAATTTTTTTTTTTTATAATTGCGGATTGCACAGAAACAGCTGGTTTACGAATATAAGCGTAAGTTGTTAGGACCGGTTAGGTTTGTGGTCTCTGCATACCCCTTTGAGTCACGGACGTTATGTTGGTCCTTACAACAGAACAAACCGCTTTACCTTGCTTAAAAAACAGTTAGCTATCAGAATAGAGCATATATTCGTTACTTTTAATTTTTTTTATAGTTCTGAGAGACGTTCCTCACCACCGTCGGGCGACTATCGGCCGTCTTCATACAAAGTTAATAAGAAGTTAAAAGTTATGGAGAAAATGGGTAAGTTTTATATTTCGTATTTACATATATTTGTCGCAATCAGAAGAAGAAATTAATTTGAATTTAAGTCATAATTAGAACACTATCGCCGCCAAGTGACTTTCGTGAGAACTTAGACTATTCTGAAAATAGGGATCGTTGCGAGAACATTGTTTGAACGATATGAGCTTGGTAGATCGATGATATTCTGACTGAGGATTGTGAATGTATTCCTGGAATCCGACTTTACCCATGGTCGCCCACATGTGATCTCGAGTAGTAGTAATTCTGATATCGTGCTAGCTCAAGCCGACATATTATTACGTTTGAAGTCTAGTCTAGTTTTAACATTTGAAACGTATTTTTTTATATATCATGATATAGTAGCAAGCGAATTTAGATTCGCCGATTTGCAGAAATTGTAGAGCAACCACTGCTCATAGACATCCGCAAATGACTCGATTACCTTTAATCAATAAAAACGCACAAAAACAGGATCTTTCACGTTCCGTCAAATACACCATCTACATATTTCTAGAACACTCTAGAATTACACATAACATCCATACATAATACATACAACATGAGGAAATGGTAATAATTTACGCATAAATACTTTCTACTTTTTTTTATTTTATTTCTTGAAATTTATAATTAAACTAATTGATTAAACAAAACACAATAATCTAATACGTATATAAATAAAATACATGTATCATGAGTTATTTTCAAAGAAATGGCTTTCCTATCGTTTCAGAAGTAATTTAAATTTCGCTTTTCTGTTGTATGGTCGTGGTATTGTATAACAGCACTAAACTAACAGCAACTCTGACTGTTTGTAGGTCTTCAAATAAAGACCCCGGACGGGTCTATGACGACAGCGCAGCAGCTGCGCGCCGCCTCGCAGGACGCCGCGCCAGCAGGACTGCCCGCGTACTTCAATGCTAACGCTCTAAGTAGCAACAAGATGAAAGATCAGGTATACACTATTTAATTTAAATTAGGGTTGTAACAGAACTCCGCTTCTGCATCCGCAAGTGCGGAACTTCCGCAATAAATATTAACTCAGCATCCGCTTCAGCTTACATTATTTCTTACGCAGAGTTATAACTGAGGTTAATTTACGTCTTGAACGCGAGTGGGGCGATTAGGTATCTGTTGTGCTGCCCGCGCGGGCGTGCTAGGTCAACTAACTATAATTGTTATTACATTTGCATAATAAACTGTATCTTGTTATTATGTACCAATCTGAAGTAGCGTAGGTTTAGTTTTTATTTCTTTAATAAATCGCAATTAATATTTTATTATTTGATTCCGCTTCTGCAGAGGTAAAGCCCTTCGCCTTCGTATCCGGATCGGCTTTTGTTAAAATGGACTCTGTTACCAAAATTAAATACTTACTGTTACCCAAATTTAAATGTATTAAAATAGCTTTCGCCCGCGACATCCGCATGAAATTAAAAAAAAAAAAACCTATGTGTTCGTTCACACGATCTTCTACATCTACACCAAATTTCATTGAGGTTCGTTCAGCAGTTTAGGCTGTGAACTCTGACATCCATCCGTCTAAACTTTCGTATTTATAATATTAGCGATTTACAATATTTTATAGTATTCAAAGTTTGCTACAGAACCAGAAAGTGTTGAGATTGAATGTGGATGGCTACAAAGGAAGAGGAAGACCGAAGAAAGTATGGATGGATTGTGTGAAAGAAGATATGCTTAAGAAAGGAGTGGATTCAGATATGACTGATAGAGATGTATGGAAGAGCAGCACATACTGTGCCGACCCTCCGTAAGGGATAAGGGCAAGTTGATGATGATGATTCAAAGTTTGCTACAGCCGCAGTCTGTCTTAGTGCAAGATTATTTGTAGTAAATTGTCTCTATGAAACTCCCTTAGTCACTAAATAATAAACAAACAATAAACTAGCCCCTCTACTCAATGACAAAGAAACCATGAGATCCTTTTAGTATTGTAGCTGTCAAAAAAGTAGCAAATTGTTTAGTTCAAATGTTTATAACAGAAACGCAAGCTGCTGTGGTCCAACAAATCGAAATCTGAGGCAGAAGAAGCTGCCAAATGGAGCGGCACACGCTTCGCACAGGATTCTGACGGCAAACAGGTCTCCAAGTTTATGAGGCTAATGGGTATCAAAGAACCAGGTAAAAACCAAGTAACGCTTATGTATACTAATAAAAAAAAAGCGGAGACACAATAAGTAGTGTTATTATCATTAAGTTAACTACCTAGTTACGCAAAAAGTCAGCAATCACAGCATGTTTTTGAATAATTCTTATTTTAATAATAAGCCGTACACTTGCGACACTCTTTAGGCTATATATTTCCAAAATATTAAACTTAGGGTGTAAAGAAATTTGGGAAAAATTCATGTGTGAAAGGAACCAAAAACTACAAGCTGACAACATCAAGGAACCAAGGTTGCCATGGTAACGGTAATTGTTAGCAATTGTCAAAGGCCTTCATTGTCTATTGTGTATTTTGACATTTGCAATAAAAAAAAATTACAAGTGAAAAGAATAAAGATTTTATAATTTCATGCAGATGAAGCCGCACAGGAATAGCTTATTTTTTTTATAATGTCAATATTTGAGTTTTTTTTTTTCTTTTAACAGCGGCAGTAAATGAGGTGGATGCAACCGCAGACCCTAACAAGAAACAAGAGGAATTATTCCAAGCGATGCAAGCGCAGTACGAAGTAGCGAGAGCGACAACTCACACCATGAGGGGTGTGGGACTCGGCTTTCAACGGGGACAGTTCTAGAATGTTCTTTACTATAGTTTACCAAACAAGATTATCTGGACCGGTAAGAAAGGTTCTGTTGGGGAAAAAAAGTTCAAAAGCTGTCATTGTATAAAAAGCTCAAAAAAAATAAGGAAAAAGCCGTTGTTAACAGTTGGTTCTATTGGAATATATGTAAAATTTGCATGGACATAAATAATGGCCCTCTTATGTGTTAGTGAGCTATTATAGGTTAACTTATGCTCACCGGGTCAGATAACTTGTCAAACTATAATAAAATTGTCATCTGTCATTTTGACATTTGCGGTTTGTTACCATATAAAAAAGGCAAAGGCTTCCAGCTTCCAGCCACCGTCAATTCATAATTCTAAATTACAAATTAAAATTATTATATTTAAAATTTGTTGTTGTAGATTTATAATACTGTTTTGTACGATAAAAATCATTGGCGTATGATTGAATGCTTTAAAATAGGTTACAATTCATGTTGAATTATTGCTGAAATTTGGCAGACCTCGTCTGTGACGTCATTTATATTTATAAATTCGTGTGCAGGAAATAGCTAGTTGCGTAAAGTTTTTAATATAAGATTTAGAAGTATTGTATAATAGTTATTGTTTTCGTTTAACTTTTATTCAGTCGTAAATCTTCATGTTCTATAACAACTTCTTTTAATACAAATTATTATTTTTAGTACGTCATTTACATGTTATTGGTAAATTATTGTTTATGTGTGATTTAGTTTTTGTATTTAAAAAAAATACATTGTGTATTGATATAAGGTCCATTCTAATATAGTTTTTTTTTGCAATAAGTGTAATGGAATAAATACAGTATAAGCACCTGAAACAATAACAGATTAAGGTCCTGCCCCACCACTGGCTGATAAGGCTCTGATAGCTTAAAAGTGACATCTCTGTCAGATAACAAAATCCGATATTTCCATCACATATTTTATACATTTTTATCTTACAATTTACAAGAATTGTGGGACAGGCCCTTAATATTAAGAAATTCAGTGTTGCCCTAAAATAAGCGAATAAGTGATACATTTACAGTTACATTGTCTAAAGACCAAATATATGAGAATACATTTTTGTAAATTAATTGCGTATGCGATTCTTATCTTAATTTCTTTTACACTCCCATTTTTAAAAACTACTCAAGGACTACGGATTTAGTTAGTTTTAATTATTTTAGTTTATGTTAAGATATTTTCTCAGTAAACATCTGATAAATGTAAATATTGTGATTGCATTTAGTTAATATAATGCGGAGATGATTTTTGTGTGATATAGTTTTATAAAATGTAACTCATTGTATATTAGTTCTATCGTTTGCGTACTTCACAACACCCTTTATTGAATAAATATTATAAAGTTACATGTCTCTTTTATTTAAAATTAGCTATTGCTCGAACTCCGTTCGCGTGAAATTAAGAAATAACAAAAAGTAAAGCCTATGTTACTCACAGATGAATAGCCCTTCTAATGGTGAGAGAAGTTTTAAAATCAGCCCAGTAATTTTTAAGTAAATTGAAAACGTACGAAAATACAAATGTTTCGTCATTATAACATTTGTATAGTATAGTATACGAATTTCGTTTAATTTTTACTTAATTTGTTTCTTCTAAATATGTAAAATGAGAGAACAATTTCTTTCAACAATTATATCAATTTCAAAAATACAGTTTTTTTATCAAATCAATTTACAAGCATTGCAAATAAAACAAAAATAGCTATCTAATTTACTGCTGGCAATACAATCTCTTCAGATCTTAGGGATGGATTCGGTGTCAAAGAAAACTCACCAGTTATTTTGCTCTTGCTTTTAAGTAGTGTAAAAACAAGTTTAGCAAATTTGTTAGGTGACAAGCAAGCAATGAATCAAACATAAAAAATATTGTTGCAAGAGAGTGACTTAAAACTATTTTATGCCTTTCATTACTCTCCTTGTATAAACTTGAATCTTTCAACCTTCACTCTGCTGATTTCATCTCTAGAAAATACACCGATGACGACGTATGAAGACAAATATTTGGATAAGAAGAGGAATACTAAAGTCATAATTGACTAGAATATAACTAGCTCCACAAAAAATCGTAATTTTAAAAATGATACATTGAAATGAAGAAATCGCGAGATCGCTATTTATTATATTTAAAAGTTTAATTGCTTATCATATTCTTCGTCTCATTAATCCACCTTAGAGCAATTAAACGTCTGAACCCTGATACATTTCGAAATTCAAAATTTGCGCAATGTCATAATACGAACTCGACCAATTAAACCATTGGCAAGTAATGTAAACAAAGCACAATCATAGAGAATTGCACGGTTGTGATTGGCCGTTGGGATTCTGACAGGTTTTTTATTGGACAAGGATTATTGGCCCGTACCGATAATGTACGGCCCGATAATGCACGACCCAATAATGCACGGCCCGATAATTCGTGTACTAAAATCCTTTGTTTGTACACGGATTATTGGGCCGTGCATTATTGGGTCGTGCATTATCGTGGCTGTACATTATTGCCTCCCAAATAGACTCGTTGCGGGATTTACCGGATTGTCTGTTTTTGTGAAATTATAATTGTAAATGGTGTAATTGAAAAAATAAATCTTGATGAAGGAGAAAGTGATTTTTAAGTAATACTAAAAGTGGATTTAGGTGTAAATTTAATTTTTAAAATGGTGTAAAAAAGATTTGCGATTGCCGTACTTTAAATTACTAACGCGAGTTTCTATTTTCTGGGTTTTAAAATGGACGAGGACAACAAAACTTGCGAAAATTGGTAAGTTAAGGTTATGGACTAGAGGAGTTTCATGTTGTGTCAATATTTATCCTATTTATATCTTTGTACGTTGTCGATTTATTTTTAGAATAATAGAGCGCGTCTTACATCTGTTGCACGATATCTGTCCGGTTGTTTACTTTACGCTGTTAAAAAGTAATATATTTATTTATGTTATTAAACAATTAAAAATGGACACCCTCTGCGCTTTTTAAACTGCGTTTACTCATACCTTTTGGTTAAACATTCAGTACTTTAATTTCAAGATGGTTACGTCCGACGTTATATTGCGAATTACATTTTTAAATTTTAGGCGAACGTATTTTCAAAACATTTTTACATATCTATTAATTATATACAGATACTTTTGATACTCTTTCTTATCATAAAAAATATATTTTTAGTTATTGTTAGTTGTTTTACACAATGAAATGTATTATAACTGTAAATAAAATGGCTGCAAAGGCTGTGTCAGTATATATATAAAAAATAGACTATTTAAATCAACTTTATATTTCTTCCATTATTATTACTAGCTTTAAGTGTATTTTATTGCAAAGATTATTTTGATTAAAATAAAAGTATTCTTAATTCTTTTCACTTATTTAGCCAATATGGATTCTGGGGAATTCAAGTTAGCTATAGAATTCAAGTTATTCTAATTGGAATCTTGGTGGAATAAACCATGTGATGATAAGCAATAGATGTTCACTTCAAAAATGTATGCATATTTATTTTTCTCAATTAAATTCTTATATAAATGACTGCTATAGCGAATTATTATTAATTGGGCTTTGAACTGTTTACTGAATATCATAAAAAATCAACAAATACTTAAACAAAGGAAGAACCATTGAAAGATCACATGCATGAGGTTTGGGCTAAGCCACAAAGCATTTAGTTCTGCCCATGTTGCTCTATATTCTTGCTTGAATTGTCGAAGATTTCTTCATTCAATCAACATTAGTCAGGCACAATCATAACAAGACCTGTTGTATTGTATGGATCTGAATGCTGGGCCACCAAAGTTACGGATGAAAGTAAATTGCATGTGGCTGAGATGCATATGTTAAGATGGATGTGTGGTGTGACAAGAATGGATAAAGTTAAGAATGCATGTATTAGAGGAAGTTTGAAAGTAGCGCCTGTGGTAGAGAAATTGAGAAGCAAAAGGTTATCATGGTATGGACATGTTATGCAAAGAGATGATGGGGACATAAACTAGAAAGTTTTAAGAATGAAAGTGGATGGCTACAAAAGAAGGGGAAGACCGAAGATAGTATGGATGGATTGTGTGAAAGAGGATATGCTTAAGGGAGTGGATTCAGATATGACGGCTGATAGAGATGTATGGAAAAGAGGCATATACTGTGCTGACCCTGCATCAGGGATAAAGGCAAGTTGATGAATCATAATACTTGATCCTTCTCCTAGATCACCTAATGTCTATCTGGGTCTAGGTTCTTTAGTTCTGGCATAGTAGATTATTATAGTTCATAGTTGTTGATTGACAGAGGTCAAGAAATTAGGACAAATGTCAATTGTCAGATGAACAATATTGTTCATTGTGAAACCCACACATAGTTGAAATTCTAACACCACTGATGTCAATAATTGCAACTTTAGGAGAGAGAAAAGTTACATAATTTTGTATATACTATAATCATACTTATTACTGTTTTTGTATACTTAATTGTAGTTCTCTTTACTGTAAAATATATGTTTCTGATAATCTGAAACAATGTGTCTTCCGAATCTATCGGTTAATGGCATAAAAGATAGCTAAAAAGTGACCTATGTGGTGTTCGAATTTCAATGATTTTTCAATGGTTCATTATGGATTGGGTGTTGCCCGCCGATAATTTAGGAAAGATCTAAATGGGAGTCTCTAATTAATTAATATGGCTCAATGTAGTCATTCAATTGATTAATTGTACATTGTTGCAGCAACCGGGAGATACCTTCGGGGAACTATACCATACATTTAGTGCACTGCGTGCGGAATATCCGCGTATGCCCGGTGTGCAAGGAGGCTGTGCCGCTCACGGAGCTGGAAGAACATACGGAGAAGCTGCATAAACTGAGTATGTTTGCACAAGTTTTAATGCTATTAGATCTCTTTTTCACTGGCGTTGCTGAGCCGTAGCTGTTAAACCTAATTTACATTAGTGTTAGTTCTCAATGGCCTCAAGAGAATGTTGTCTATGAGCAACATTCCCACAGAATAGTTATAAAATATAAATACAGGTGTGTTTATTAGAAGCTAACTACCTCTGCATTGTCTCTTATAGCAGTTGGAAATAAGTTGGAAATGTCGCTTTCCCCCTAATCTATTTGAGTATGGAAAAACAAATGAAGATTTTTATGTCCATACATTCATGATCTTCATTTACTCCGATATAAAGTGCGTGAGTTCATTTGTCTATATTTGTCTGACGATCAACAAGTTGTGACTTCCGTCCAAGCATTAAATTGCATTGAAACACATTTCTCGTTTGTTTAGTGTTGGCTCACTCTCAATAACAGATTGGGTTTGGCATCGCGACCGTTATTTCACACGAGGGTAGAACGGAGGCAGTCGATCGGACAGTCCACGACTGCTTTGCTATTGTTAAGAGTATTGTTCTGTGAACGCGCGTGTGCGAAAACTGTCATTGTACTTTCTCACTGCCCTTGTGTGAAATTATCGTTATGTTTGGATTGTATAACAGATCATTGTACTCGTAATTTCCTTTAAAGTTGATTCACACATCCGTCGCTAAGATGTCGACTTTGTTGGAAAATGCATTCAGACCCAACAATGTTTCACAATAATTTAATAGCAATTTCAATACAACGTACTATTGTAACATCGTTTGAAGGTATATGTGGGATGTTTTAGAGAGATTTTACATAGGCGTTGCCTATTCCCAGCCACACAGATCATAACCTTACAACTATACTCAAACTTTCATTGACAATGGAATACTACTCTAACGGCCGAATACGGAAACGTTATTTAACTATAACAGCGTCTTAAACCCCAAATTCCTTTCAAATTTTAACCTCTATCAGTTTAAACAGCGCTTTTTAATAAGTTTTTTTTAGATTCGTTTCAATAATCGGCCGTAAGCATATACGTTTACAAAAATGTTATATATGGATGCTTATTATCTTGAACAGCATCAAAATCCTACATTTATGACGTCACTATTCGTTGTGTAGATTGACGTGAAATATGAAATGAATAACATCAATTCAGGTCGCAGTATTTTGTCCCGGCCAAAATCGTACCTAGCAACCATTCCTGGAATCTCACAGATGTATTGATCGTTACACCTACTGGGGAAATATTGCTATGGTTTTATGTCGTAACGAATCTGTACGAGAGAAGGGATGTAATATGGAATGGGGTGGGGAATAAAGGGGAGAACGGGTGATTGCAGCGAGCTAGGTACAGAAGCATCGATCAATATGGCATTGCTTGTAGGCGTATATCTAGACTTGTATAGGTCATGTCTGCGATTCTATGTAAATTTGTATATGTATTTGGTGCGGAGGCTGGATTCGGTTTGTAAAATGGATAATTGTTTCGTAGATAATAAGATAAATTTTGAATACGCTCTATTGTAATATTTATTATTCGTATATAATTAATGGTAATAAGTATCAACTTGGTATATTTCGTTAAAAATCTGTACTAATATTATAAAGAGGAAAGATTTGTATTTTTGTAAGTAATGAAATAACTCAAAAACTACTTCGCTGATATCAAAAAATCTTTCACCATTAAAAAGCTACGTTATCAGTAACATAGGCTGTCTTTTATTATTTTTTTATTTCTCGCGGACGAAGCCGCGAGCAACAGCTAGTACTAGATAAAAAAGAGGATAAGGAAAGGTACAGTTGATTTAAACAGTAAAATACTTAGATTTACGATATATTTTGCAAACCAAATATGCTGTATAAAAGTTACATTAGCGTTTGCGTGTTATTTTGGCGTATTCACTGTTTTTTTACGATTTTCTCAAAATTTTTGACTCTAAATTTTATTTTTCTATACATCACATAACAAAAAGATTATAATTTAAAACGCCTTTTAATGTGTAAAAGAGTTTTAAAAAGTATACATTTATACAGTGCCATGCAAGCAATGCGGGGAGAAGGTGCGCGGGACCGACATGGAGGACCACATCCGTGACTCCTGCGACCACACCATACAGACTTGCAGGTAATATATGTTCAAATTACAACAACTCTTTATATGTGACTAGCTTTCGCCCGCGACTTCGTCCTCGTGGAATCACCAGGTCTAATCTTTGGACCACAAATGTGATCATTTACAGGTGGTGCGACTTGGAGTTGTCCCGTCGGGAACTGCCCCTGCACGAAGGGTACTGCGGCGCGCGCACTGAGGAGTGCCCTCAGTGCGGGGAGTTCGTAATGCATAAATATAGGCAGCTGCATCTCGACTCCAACCACGGCTTTGTACGCCTTGATGATGGTGAGATAGTTTTGATTATTATTTTGAGAATTATTTATATAAAGGCGGTCTTTACAACTGAAAAGACAAATAAGTATATGTTAGTAATGTAATTTTTAAAAATAAGTTACAATTAATGTTTTTTAATTAAAATCTAATAAAAATATTTATTGACTATCAAAAGTTGTAAGGAATATAGCTTTTTGTTTTTATTTTATAAGATAGCAAACGATCGGAAGGTTTGAAATCGCCGAAAAGGCGAAGCGATCACTGCCAGGAACATCCACAGTTGCCTACCTCCCTACCCTTAAAGGTAGTATAATAAACCTACCCTTGTAGATAACATCTGTAATTGCGGAGTTCCTTTGGGCAGTGCTCGCTTCTTCTATTCGGCGATTTCAAGCCTTTCGTTTGTTTGCCATCTTATAAAATAAAAATAAAAAGCTATATTCCTTGAACGCTTACGAAGGAAGAGACGCATATAAAAGTGATATTTACCCTACCTATGATTCCACCATTTAATCCGTTCCTTTTTTATAATTTCCTTATAAGAAAAGGATGGGAAGAAAACGGACTAAAATTAGGCTTTTGGAAATTACACACATCAAACGAAACGCGGAATTGATTCTACTTCACGTCTGACTTGTGTGTGATCGATTAAAGTAAGTTCTGCCACTGTTAAACTATTGGAATAATATTTTTCAGACCCCATACCACGCCCTCAAAGACTGAGAGCAGTTGCGTCTACATCCATGTCTGTTATTGGTTCCGGTGTGGTGTATCAGAGGCCGGCAAACCGACTGCCTCGTCTACTAGACTTGCCTGACCAACCCAGCGCGAATCCAGTACTGGCTAGACTGATCGATGCTATCACAGAAGCCAATGCGACTGACTATTTCGGCGTATCACGTGTCATACACACCCAGAGCCCTAGAAGCCCTGACGCTGCTCCTGATCAAGGATCAAGTAATGATGGTCGTAATTTCAATCGATGGCAAGTGATCGGTTTGACTACGCCGAGGAATGTCGCTCAAGTTAATGCCGCGGATGTTCCTGGTACAAGTAGTGATTCGTAAGTGTTACTTGAATTGTTTTTTTATAATTTTGTTAGTTCTTTTTTCAAATTGTATCATTAGGTTTAGATGGATGGATGTTTGTTGGAGCTTATAGCCTTAACTGCTGAATGGATGTAGATGAAATTTGGCATTGATGTAGGGGATAGTCTGGAAGAACACATAGGCTACTTACTTTTGTTTTTTTAATTCCACGTGGACGGAGTTGCGGGCAACAGCTAGTTAAATGTATTATCTTGTATTATGTTACTGTAATCTATACTAATATTTTAATATAAAGAAGAAAGATTTGTATTTTTGGAATTTCGTATTGAAATAATTCAAAAACTGGTGGGACGATTTCACTATTGAAAAGCTACGTTATGAGTGTAACATAGGCTTTTCATTATTTTTAATTTTACGAGGACAATGTCGCAAAGAACAACTAGTTTGTAAAAATTAGCATAGCTTTTATAAATAAGAATATTTTTTTCAGTAAATCCGCACCCCGTGGGGCTATTAAGAAGCGTAAAGCACCAAAACCACCGAGTGTTAGTACACCAGAATCCCAGCCGGATCAGTCGCAGGCGACTCCGGTCGGCAGAACATACTCCTTGTTCCCCTCCACTTCCACTTCCGCACCTAACACTCCCATATCCGGTCCCATGACTGGTCCAATCCGTGGCCCAAAATCTGGACCACTCCCTGGTCCTAACAATCGGTCCAATTTACCACTATCAGGGAATGACAACGCTCCAGGAGCCAATGGCCGTCAGACTGAAAATACCTCCAATGAAGACCAGAAACGAAGGGGATCCGTCCCAGTGAACTCCCCCGGTATGTTTTGTTACAATATTCTATTTAGTACTCAGAGTCTTTAATCTGTCACTAAAAGAGCTTTATGGGTCGGCTCGCCCGGTGTAATACCACGACCACACAAAAGACAAGCGTGAAGTGGGAGCAATTCCGCGTACAGTCTGATGAGTATAGTGCCGGAGGCCTAATTTTGGTCCCTTTCTTTTACCACCATTTTCTTATAAGAAAAGGTAAAGTGGATTTGACAGTGGAGGAGACGCTTAGGAAGGGGAAATATCTTCTTTATGTGCGTCTCCTCCGTCGCTTAAGGCAGCGGTCGCTTTCCATTTCGGTGGATTCATGTAGCCGCTTGCTTGTTTGCCACCTTATATTATAAAAAAAAGGCTATAAATACCTCTCGTAGACATAGATTCTAAAACTATTTCGTATGATTAAGATACAAATTTTCGAATTTATGGATTTTATTCTGTAATCATAGACAACAGTCAATTTGAAAACACTAAACGTTAATGGGGTTGTTTCCTAATTTTTGGAATTGCTTTTATTATGTAGATAAACCGTATCTAAACATGAAAAAAAATATAATAAAATCATATAAGCAACATTTCATTACAAAAACACTTAACTAAAAACAACTTCTCCAAAGACCGCGAAAACGCCTCATGACGTCACTTTCTTGCTTACAAACCTCGCGTCGCGGTCTGTCAAAGTCAAATTTCTAAAACAGACATCTTGAATTTTGATAGTTATTATAACAAAATGTATTTTTGTTTAACTATTGTTGTAAATGAAAAGAAGCATATTACAATACGTATGCAGTGCCAATAGTAAAAGTACGACAGTCAGCATAGGTCCAATAAAATAAAAATAAATAGCAAAACTTTTAATATTTGTTGGAAGACATCCATTGGCATTGAAAATAACAAGTACTAGTTATTTTGTAAAAACTAAAGTAAGATCTGATAAGTTACCAATAGAAATATAACAGTGTTTTGGTTATGTGGCAAAAATATCAATTAAAAAAAAGTAACTTTTATTATGATTATAAAGTTTGGATTTAAAGTTGTGACAAATACTGACAACAGCTGATTCAATGTGACCAGACGTAAATTGAATATTAGCTACTCAAATAACTTTTACTATTTTTTTCGTCATATTGATCGAAAATTTGCTCGTAAAATATGTCGTAAATATAAAAACACTTAATAATGGAGTCCTCATAATATAACACACGAAAACTCAATTCTTATAATCATTTAAAAAAATATATAACCACAAAATGCGCTGACATTCACTGAAATTGGTCACACTGCCATGTTATATGCGAAAAAGTGACGTCATTGGTGTTTGAGGTCGAGTAATGGAGGGTAAAAAATATTGCAGCGTTTTTAATTTATATTTAATTTGAGACAAACATTCAAGGTCTCTAAATGTTATTATAGGTTATAAAATGCTGTCTTTAAAATATTAAACATAACTTTATTTGGATTTGTAACATTAGGAAACATCCCCATTATTCTCCCTTTAATTATATAAATAACAATGTTGTTCATTGCAGCAAAACAATCAGAATTGGATAGAGATCATGAGATGACTAACGCAGAAGACTTTAGGAATGTAAAGCCGATGACGACTGAGGAGTTTATGAAGAGATTCAGGCAACTGCAGCTGGATAACTCTAAGAGAGGGGAGAGTTCTCGTCTGGAAAGATCTCCCAGGAAGGAGGAGAATTCTCCAACTTCCGAGGATAGATTCAGTGCTATTAAATCCTCGTTGAAAGAGCTACGGAGAGGTTTGAATGAGGTGAGATTTAATTTTTATTGATGACTAGCTTTCGCTCGCGACTCCGTCCGTGTAAATTAAAAAAAAAACAAAAGCAAGTAGCCCATGTGTTCTTCCAGACTATCCTCTACATCTGTAAAAAATTTCATCAAAATTCGTTTAGAGGTTTAGGCTACAAACTCTAACAAACATTCATCTAAACTATCACATTTAAATTAGTATGATTTTTATGATCTAATTTATTCTAATATATTGATTTTACTTATTTATTTATTTTTACCCTTAATATGTTTAAATTTTGGCGATTTTTTTTCTAGGTCACGGCCCCATATAGTAACAGCAATATCAAGTAAGTTTCCTATAGAAATGTTCTTGAAAACATTTTCACTGGTTGATAGAGGCTCAGATTGATTAAAAATGACGTCACTGGTAACAAAATCCGATATTTCCATCACATATTTTATATGTTGGATTGTTATCAGACAATTTACAATTTGGTGGGACAGGCCCTGAATCTATTAAATATATTACAAGAGTAGGTTAAAAGTTATAATTTTACATGTTCCATGCCACTTCTATTTTCAGTATGAAATAGTGAGACTCTGTGTTTTTTTCTAATTTTATCATAAAATGTGGCAGATTAACAGGTGGTCATAATTCGCTAAACTAGCGAAGACTGCATATTTTTTTTTATTTTTTTTTTTGTCAATAATTGATTGAAGGATCAATATTGCTTTGGCTCCTTAACTAGGGATTCCTGTGTTTAAGGAGCCAATGCCTTCCCTTTCAGTTACCTATACATTTGCAGATGCGATGCCTCTTATTAAAGACTAGCTATTGCTCGCGTCTTCGTCCGGAAATAAAAATTCTAATAAATGTAGCCTATATACTCGGTATTTAGCTTTTTAATGGTAATTTTTTTTATATCGGCCCAGTAGTTTTTGAGTTTGTGGCAATGTATCTGGCATATTGAAACCTTGACGGCGCATGTCAGTGTGGAGGAAGAAAAGGAAATGTCATTAGGATAGTAGACTAGATCGAGGACGAATATACATATGTATGTAAATAAAGAATTATTAACATACTAGTCTTTAAGTTATATATACAAAAATACAAATCTTTTCTCTGTATTAGTATAGACATAGACTATATCTCCTGTAATCGTTTCAGCGCAAACGACCGCGGTAATACGTCTCGCGACAACCCTGATACACCTACGAAAAAGTCTAGCAAATCCAATTCTGATGATGGAAGTGAAGGCACACGAGATAACTCTCCCCGTGGAGGTGAAACTGAAGGAGTAGATGACATCGACTGGGGACAAGATGCCGCAAGGGGAGAGGAGATCCCTTGGAGAGATGTGGCTGAAGGGAATAACTCCAGCTGGGGAGGTGACCCCGGCTGGGGAGGAGACTCCAGTTGGGGGGGTGAGGTCGCAGCGGTGGATGCGTCCGGCTGGGGAGTGGTGGCTGTAGGAGATGGTGGCGGAGGAGGAGGAGCTTGTGGTGTGGATGTGATCGATGTGAAGCTGCCGTGCGAGTTCTGCGGCACCCTGATACAGGCCAGCGATCTGGTGCAGCATCAGGTTTGTGCGATTATGGTCTTTATTTAAATAGTGAGGGAATGGGAATAGGTTTGGTTTACCATAGAGATAATTGCTACTAAAATTAAATTGATTGTAGTCGCAGATTTATTAAAGACTTTTCTGTGTAATTAACAAGCTTTCGCCCGCGACTCCGTCTGCATGGTATAAAAAAAATCAAATGTGAGTAGACTATGTGTTCTTCGAGATTATCCTCCACATTTAAGACAAATTTTATCGAGATTCGTGCAGTAGTTTAGACTATAAACTCTAACAAACATCCATCCATCTATCCAAATTTTCGCATTTGTAATTTTAGCAAGATTTAAATTTTGGTTATCAGCATAATTACGTGATCTTACATAGTTTTCTCGCAATCTTACTAATATTATAAATGAGAAAGTATAGATGGATGGATGTTTGTTAGCGTTTGTAGCCTAAACGGCTAAACGGATCTCTATGAAATTTGGCACAGGTTTTGAGCATAGTCTGGAAGAACACATAGGCTACTTTTTATCCCGGGAATAGTTACGGTTCCCGTGGGATTCATTAATTTAGTTTTTTAATGTTTACTCGATCATTCTGCAACGGTTCAACATATCTTATTGAAATTTGGCACAGATGTAAAACAAAGTCTGGAGTACACATGGGATAAGCTTCATCCCCGAGAAATGTCCGGTTCCCGAGGGATACGTAACTTTTTGTAATTTATATTGTTTGTATGTTTTCTAATACCACGCGGACGAAGTCGCGGGTAACATCTCGTAATTAATATTGGGATATTGCACAGACGGGTTGCCGGCCGGATCTGGCGCAGTTGCTTCCAGCGGCAGACCAAGAAGACCAGCAGGAACCCTACATCCCCTGCGAGTACTGCGACCACCGCATGCCCTTGGAGCTCATTGGTGAACATCAGGTAATCTATACTAATACTAGCTGTTCCCGCGCGACTTCATCCGCATAAAATCAGGAAAATTTTATTATGTTGTTTACATGTGTCAAATTATCAGTTGCAAACGTCAAAATGACATGACATTTTTTTTATTAGACCAAACAATGGCAAACTTACTTTCTTGATGTTGCCAGCAACTAATGGTCTCTTTCCCACATTAGGGTTTTTATCCAAAATATTTACCCCCTAAGTTTAATAGCGTGAAAATATATAGCCTAAAGCGTGACATAAGTGTAGAGCTTTATATTAAAAAATGAATTAAACATATTTTTATATATGTACTAATATTAAATACTTATCTATCTATACTATTATAATAAAGCGTAAACACACACTTTTTTGTTGCCTAAGATGTCAGCAAATACGGCTATTTTTGAATAATCCTTTTTTTAATAAAAAGCCCTACACTTACGTCACGCGTTATGCTATATATTTTCACGTTATCAAACTTAGGGGGTAAATATTTTGGATAGAAACCCTAATGTGGGAAAGAGACCATAAGTTGCTGCCAACATCAAGCAAGCAAGATTGTCATCATGTCATGTCATTTTGTCATTTGTAATTGATAATTTAACAAATGTAGACAATAAAATAAAATTTTCTTAATTTGCGGATGAAGTCGCAGGGGAACAGCTAGTTTTAATATAAATGCTTATATAATAATAAAACATACTTAAATACTGAATATTATTCCAGGAGCGCTGCAGCCGAAAAATGAAACGCATGTTTATGAAGTGAACATCTTCCTTTCAAACTATTTATTCTAATTTATATTTTTTCTATACAATACTTTACAACGACCAAAGTCGTCATTCAGCCGCACTCACAGTTGGTTAAATAACCCTTAAGTCGATAGTGTCCAGTGTATCGAAGAACTAGTAAAAAAATCTATTTCGTTCATTTTTCATATCCAAAAATATGATTACTAGAAAAATAAGTTTTTTTGTAACAAAAAACTCCGTCGATTTAAGAGTTAAATATCGCTTAGTGTTTTCTTTCGACACTAAGGGTCTTCCTGTGTAATGACTATGAGTGCAGATAAAATGTTAATAAAATCTATATTTCCTTTCGTATTCTTGTGATCGAAAACAATAATTTTCTACTCTTTCTACATTTGTCCAGGATATGAGTTAGTTATATACTATTTATTTACTATACTATAGCATGTAATGCTTATATACTCAGTGTATGTAGAGGTTAAGTGAATGGACCGCAGGGATGGTTAAAAAAAAACAATAAAAAATGGCATTTATGTCATCATTTGAAGGGTTTGGCTTGAATAGGGAATATGCATGTAATTTAAAAGTGGTAATTAATAATTCTATTCATTAATTTTTTATTTTAAAGTTGATTTTGATATCGTTTACAGTAAAATACTTGAAGAGTGTATTTCTATATAAACTAACGTAAATGAACTGTGTATTGTCAACACAGCGACGCCATATTAGATAAGCCACTTGCTTCGACCAATAGTGTGCGTTTTATAACTTAGCGAGGGAATTTTAAAAAAAGACACTTTTGAATGATTAAATTTTGCCACTAAATTACACTATATATTAAAAAAAAATCTTTGCAGGAATGTTTTTATATAAAGTATACTTAAAAAAAGATTGGTGCAATTTGGCGTTATATGCATATTGCCTATTAAGGAATGAAACAGGAATGGATAGGATAAGTCTCTCGCATGTATCTTAAATGTTGTCTACTAGTATTTAAGATTACCGTTTCAAATTAAGAACGTAAGGTCCTGTCCCACCACTGGCTGATAAATGCTCCTATAACTTAAAAACGTCACTATCAGATAAAGTAACAAAATCCGATTCCATCAGATTTTACATGTTATATTTTTCTCACACAATTAATATTTTGGTGGGACAGGCCCTTAATATCGTAAACAAAGGATACAGACATTCAACTGACATTTAATAGATGGGACACAAACCAAATAAAATTAACAACCTGATTATGTACAGTCGGGGACATTGACGGTGTTCCACAAAAAAATCTACAATCGTGCATTTTAAAACGAGACGCGGGACAAAAAAGAACGCAGCTTATAAATGTTTCTGTACGAAAAATACTGTTAGTGACACACGACTAGTTCCCTTTTATTATATTCCCTTTGTTTGCACTCACTGCTATCTCATTGGTTATTTGTAAGAATAGGCGGAGTTGGTCTCGTTGCAATGTACGGTGGAGGAGACGGAAGTAGAAATATCCTCTTTATGTGCGTCTCCTCCGTCGATTAAGGGTAGGCAACGCATCCGCTATAGCGAATGTCTATGGGCAGCGGTCGCTTCGCCAGTTTGACGGATTTAGGTGGCCGCTTGCTTGTTTGCCACCTTATGATATTGAAAAAAGAACAAGATAATATTTCCTGAAGTTGAACACCGCCAGTTTTCTCGACTGTACATACGTATATTACGTAAAGTGATATAGAAATGTTTGGAATGTCCACTCTAAAATTTTAATATCTTAAGATTCACGTTATCGTAGATCTTAAATTTGAAAAATGTTAATACAATCCTTTTATAGTGCTTTTTACAATGTTTAGATTTTCAGGCAACTTATTCAATATGTTTAGACTAAGTTTTTTTCCAAAAAAAGGCAGTTTAGCCTCGATTGGGATATATGAGCAAAGTGTGGTCACACAACATATAATCATTTCCCTATAGTTAAGTTTAGGATTAAGTAATATTGAGTTTAAAGTGTATATTTGACAACAAAAGTGAATTATGACATATAATTTATTATATTTATTCAATTTTTAATATTACTAATTGGCCCAATGATTTATCTTTTTTCTGGCTTGAATTTTTCGTAAAATCGTTAATTCAAATATTAATGATTCTTTTAACCATTAGTTACTACTTCTTTGTTCAAATAAAACGAAGTTTTCGACAACCGTTATAATTATGATAAATAATTGACTAACCACTTTTGTCGTCGACTGTACTTTGACTCCATATTCTGGAAGCGCAGTTTCTTGAATGCTTTAATTGTGATTAGATTAATAGTGCCAAAGGCGAATGAAATCTTAATATATACAGACGTTTTATTTATCCCTTTTTATGTATTGAAAATTTAAAAGTTTTTTTTTTATATTTTCTTTTTAATATTTCGTAAGTGTCATCCGTGTCATATTTAGGGTCCATTTGTTTATGAGTTGATTTGATCATAGTGCGTTTCGTTACGTGCGCTGTATGTGGTTTTATTTAAAAATATTACCGGCCATCAGGGCAGACTTCAACCTTTTAGCGTTGATTTCCACTGTGCTAAATGTACAAAAATATATTATCTTGTGAAAAAGATAGAATCTCGATATCTGAACTTTTACAAATTGGAGTCAACGGCGAATCCAGGGGGGTCATGGGGGTTATAATACCCCCTGAGGTGGTTGGACAACAGCTTGACAAAATACATTTACATATTTTGTCAACCTTTGACTTGACCACGACTATGTGACCGCCCCCCCCCCCCCGGTGCCAAAGCTAGATCCGCCCTTGATTGGAGTGTTTGTAATACCAAAAGAGAAATTCCAGATTTAAGGAAGATGTATTTGCGTTGGTGACGTAATTGATTGTAATTTATGAAACGGCTGCACCGATTTCGACCGGACTTCACTCGAGGGTAGCTGATAGACGGGCATAATAGGCTTCTTTTTATCTTAATATTGCATGGACGAAGTCGCGAGCAACAGCTAGTCAGAAAACTTTGATTTTGAAATTGAACAGTATGCTTTTGTATGTTTAGCCAGTGGAAACGATCGTTCGACTTTTAAATATTCTTAAGCAGTGTTTACACTGGTTCTTATATCGACATATGTAATCCTAGTTTATAATTCAAGCTCATATGAATATCTAAATGTTAGCATGTAAGTAATTTTTAATCAAAATAACCAAAGGTATGCCAAAGTATTTTTAAGTTAAATGTGCGTTTATTATTTATTTAAAAAATTGTTTGTTGTGTTTAATGTTTTTGTCTATGGTTTCGAATTGTTTATTTCAGTAACGGAGCGATTAGCGAATTTTGATTAAAAAAAATGTTTTGTCTTTGGTATACGAGATTTTAGACGTAGATATAAGTAAACATGTTAAAGGAGAGTTTTTCCAATGTACGATCTCATACAATACTCTTCATTATAAATGTTTTTTATGTTTGTCTACGAATTTTCAACCATAGATAATAATTTTTTGTCAAAATCTTGGTGTCTAAGAATATCCGAATCGATGTTTATCCATAGATTAAGGTCGACTGCCTCTTTGTGCGTTTTTAAAAAGCCTAATAAAAATTATGTATTACTCCACCATTTAGTTTTTTTTTTAATATTAACAATAATACCTTTTTGATACACAATTTAATATTTCAACTTATACATTTTTTTAGCTCCTAACGTGTGTGTATACAGCTTTACAATTCCTTAGAAAAAAAAATTGCATGTAGGGATTTGGCGATAAAATACACAGTCTTCTTCTTTAATCACTTTATTTCTCACCCTTAACCCTAGTTTTACAAGATATATTTTTTTACTAAATTTATCGGTCTTAGAAAACGTAAGGCTATCTCTTCGCGTTTATTCCGTCTCTATTCCTACATTCACTTCAGTCATACGTCACTCAAATCAATCTCTCACGCATTATCGTTCGGAAACACGCACTCACACAAAACAATCATATAAAATTATTTAATCGATTTACACATAAAAATAAATTAAACAGTTTTTAAGTAACGTTCAAGTTATAAGTCACACTTTAGTTCTTTCGCACTGTATTAGAAACAACACATAAAGTACTCGTCAGGACATCTGGGAACTGTTATTTGCAGTTTCGGACAGTTCCATATCTTCTCACACCGACAATTCGATCTGAACTTTCGTCTCCCTTTTGATACTAAATTCTCGTTTAAATAACCTTTTCGACCATTGCTGAAGTAGCTAGGTTTGCTCATTTCGTAATCTGGCTTATCATCAACGATATTTGCTATATTTTTAATATTCAGTGTATTTCCGAAATCTTTGTTGCCGTCCAAAGTATTCTTGCTTTCCGTAAAACTATCTTCGACTTTGTCAATATTGTCAGGTAATTTAATATCAACAGTAGGTTTAACTTCTGAAATGGTTGTTGTTTCTTCTATTTTATTAGATTTATCTTTGGTAGAATTTGTCGTCTTAAGGTCAGTCATATTACGTATTTCAGTGTATTTGACGTTAACATTTTTGATTTGATTTCCATCATTAATATCGAGTTTTCTAGGTCCCGGTAAATAATTATTGGTGAAGTAACCTATTTTCGAATATAATTCAGCTGTATTTTCTCCACTTTCATAAAAGCGTGGTATAGTTTCTGTAACTTTATCGTAACCGTCTGTCAATTCTTCGTTATAATCTGTGGTCTCTAACTCGATGTTTTCAGTTGTCATATCATAGAGGGCGCTGTATGGTCTACCGTTGATGAGGGAATCCCCGACGGGGTAGTGTGCAGGTAGGTCGTACACCTCTGCTGGGTAGTCGAATATAGTCGGCTTAACGTCAGCGATTGTCTCTACCCCCTGCTGAGGCGCGGTTGAAGTTCTCCCACACAGGAACAGAAATAATAATTTTCTGAAATACAAATGAAGTAATTGAATAATATGTTTTAGAAATACTGTAGGTCCAGTCGTCTTTATAGACGCGCTTCCCTTGTAACGATATATTTTTGACTACGTCACTATTGCTGACGACTTCGCACGTGATATTAAAAATATACCCTATGATACTCACTGATTACGTAGTTTACTGAAACGTATAGAATTTTTGAATTCGGCCCATTAGTTTTTGAGTTATTTCAAAAAATATAAAAGTTTCCTCTTTATAATATTAGTATAGATGTTAAAGCCATCGTGGTAAACCGTGCTTTTATAGTATTTTAGTAATGGTATTTCTTAATAATTAGTTTGTGTACAAATATGTTTATTTGTGACTTGATTGTAAATTTTTTCGATAAAGGTTGTTTAGTAAATAATAAAAATGTTCCTAATTGCTCCTAAATTAGCGTCATGTCATTTTAGCAAGATACTCTCGCATAATACTAGTTTTAAACCTGATTTACCCAAGTTTAAGTCATCGAACTCATTTAAATATGTACGAAAAATAAACAAAACCACAAAACCCTTGTCCTGCTGGGTATTTATATCAATTTCTTAAAAAAAAGACAAAGTATGATAATTAAAAAATGTAAGATCTCGTAAAAAACTAACCTCTAAATTAACAATGTACAATTCAGTGGATTGATTTTCAAGTCGGATAATTTTTTACCGGGATTTCTAAGCGATTATTGTTTTTCATGCTCTTTAAGTAATATCATTGGATGTAATTATATGTTAATTGAAAATAATATGCACATTACAATTACTCAATTTAACATTTCCTATATAAATGGTAAAAATATGAACGTCGCTTTTTTTGTCGAAATTATTTGCTGTGTACACAGGATGTCCTACTCATTCTTTTTAAACAAAATAAGAATTGCAATATCATGCACGCGTTCAGCCACGATCTGTTCTTGTGTTGCCATAACCGCTATAAGCGGTTACCTGCAGTAGTCATTTGTTTTTTAATTCAACAACTCGTGAGAACAAGGATCCGTTGCAATGCCAAATAAGACAATATGAATCACAATGTCATGTAAAATAATAAATTACATCAAGCCTTACCATCACTAACAATAACTTAATTCTCTTCGTGGCGACCTCTATTACCGTTTATCAGAAACAAAACTTCCATTTTTTTTAATTCGAGGTACAGGAACGTCCCTTATCAATAAATTATGCAAAAGTTCTCGCTTATCCAGCTTCGATTTTTTATTTTTAATGTGTCAATGAAAACGTAACTTTATCTGTTCGCGATAAAATCGGTCGGTACAAATTCCTTGTACGCTGGTCAATTATTCCAATTACATTTCGTAGTACGCGCTGTGACACGAAATCTTTTATCAGTGCATTTAGAACAATAGTAACTACGTACTATGTAAGTTGGCATTCGGTACTTCGTTTGTTATTAACAATGGCAAAAGGCCTTCCACACTGACATTCGGAAACACGTCCGTTGTTTACGTTAAAAAATTAACCTAAAAGTAGGAAGGTATTACGGATTACCGGTTAACAAAAATTAAATTAGCTGCTTATTTCAGTATAAATTGAATGACATTAAAAGATTTATTCTCTTCTATATTAATATTAAAAAGAGTAAAATGTTGTTTGTTTGTAATGAAATAACTCAAAAACTACTTGGCCGATTTCAAAAATTCTTTCACCATTAAAAAGCTACGTTGTCAGTGAGTAACATAGGTTATGTTTTATATAATTTTTTAATTTCACGCGAACGGAGTCGAGGGCGAAAGCTATAAATAAAAGACCTCAAGATATTCGACAACCTCAGGAAAAATACAAATTATTTTTCATCAAACTGTAGGCGATTGTGAGTGTATTAACCTCATTATCATTTGAACATTAAAGATAATCGAAAAAGCTATAAAAAAAACAGACGACAAGCAAAATTACTTCAGACAAGTTATAGAATACTAGTTTCACGAAATAGATATTTTAAGCAGTCGTTCAACTTATGTCAATGAACCAAATCAGATTTATATTTATTTCGTAATACTAAATAAAATAAAAAGGTTTACGTACAACAAATTGGTTTTTAGATACGAAAATATGTTACTTTTTATTAAAAACTAATTTCTGTCCGTGCGGGATTAAAAAAAAAAAACAAAAGTATCCTATGTGTTCTTCCAGACTATGCCCTACATGTATACCAAATTTCGTCGAAATCCATTCAGACATTAAGGCTACAAACTCTAACATCCATCCATCCATCTAAACTTCCGCATTTATAATATTAAGTATGATTCATAGTTGAGGTGGATCAAGAACAATTTTGCGCTGTCTTTATAGATTAAAAATGGCGGGAATATGCATAGTCGAGGGCAGTCTTACTAATATTATAAATGAGAAAGTATAGATGGATGGATGTTTGTTAGCGTTTGTAGCCTAAACGGCTGAACGGATCTCCATGAAATTTGGCACAGGTTTAGAGCACAGTCTGGAAGAACACATAGGCTACTTTTTATCCCGGGATAAGTTACGGTTCTCGTGGGATTCATTAATTTAGTTTTTTAATGTTTACTCGATCATTCTGCAACGGTTCAACATACTTATTGAAATTTGGCACAGATGTAAAACAAAGTCTGGAGTATACATGGGATAAGCTTCATCCCCGAGGTGTCCGGTTCCCGAGGGATACGTAGCTTGTTGTTATTTATATAGTTTGTATGTTTTCTCGCGGACGAAGTCGCGGGCAACAGCTCGTAGATTATAAAAAAACTCCGAGTAACAAAGTGCATGGCATGCGATGAATCTGTGTTAACACGGACCGAATGCGTCAAGTACATTTACTGTTTGAAACTTAGCGGTAATTAAAAACATCATTGTGATGAAAACAATGCTGTTTAGAGGGAAACGCGCCGTCCGCAGTTCACGAAAATGCAGGATGAATTATCTATTTAATTTAATTTATATCTTTTTAAGTATTTTTAAATAAAAAATAAAGCAGTTTAATTCGTGGTTTGATATTATTTGATACTGTAGTTTGATTAATTTTTACCTTTAACGCAAATAGCATAATAGTTTGGCGTACCCTGATCTTGCGGTCAATGGTTCGAATCCCGCCATTCGACTATTGTCGTGAACCATATCCTAACAAAAGCCTAGAACTTAGTTAGAACAGTTAAAAAATCTACTAATTTAAAAAAAACACTGTGGATTAATAAAGATTTTTACTAAATTTAGTGTAAAATTAAAGTTTTTATTTATTTACCTTATATCAATATTAAATGAATCAAAAATATAATTAAATCAGCTATGAAAGTATATTAAACATCCTTTTTGTATCGCGGGAGAAATATCCGAAAAAATATTAAAGACCTCCTGCAGTTTTTTAATTTGTTTCCCACTTACGCATAATATTTAATTCATCCGCAAAAATGCACCAAACACAAAGACTAGATATTAAATCACTGAATATTTAAAAAAAATAAAAAATCAATAACACTAAATAAATTAACCGTTATCTGAAAATATCGTTGTTAAAAATAGGAACATCACTAACCGGTACATTTCAATGCCGGTGTTTTCTTCGCGGGTTTGTTCTGATATGGCCTCGGGGTTGAAGGATCCACCTCTATATATAAACAGCCTAGACGATACAATAAAACGACGAATGCGACGCAAAAATAATAAAAAAGATGGCGACGTTGTTTTTTTCTCGGTCAACGGTAAGCAACTGCGTTCGAGTTGCGGCGGGAAGACATTGCCGTGCGCGGGAAACTTGACAGAACGTAATTACTGTGAAATCTTCAATGTTTGTCGGTTTTTGTCGATATGTTTATCGTAATGTTTAAATATTCTGCCAATATTTTTAACATACTTGATTGTAATAATTAGTTAGTTAACATTATATTTTTAATATTAGCTAAAAATGGATTGTTTTTGTATTACATTGTTAAAGGAACTAGGGTAATGTATTAGCTATTTAAAATAATTGATTTGTAATACACATTCATTACGAATATGGTGTTATATTTGTTAATGACAGCATGATCGTGTTTTATTGTTTTTTTTTTAAATACTATTTATTGAAATGCCATATATAAAATAATAATTTAATACGATTCACAAATAAGACAAATGAAGTAAATTTTTTAACTAATATATTTTATAAAAGTAATAAATTTTAATCAAATGTACATTTTAATAATACAAAACACAACCAAAACCTGTTAACTTAACTAGTCAAGGCAATTATTTGTAGCCAGTGTTTTGTTGAACTTGAATTATTTATTGTTTTGCTCGTGTGAGAATCTCTCGCCAAGGAAGTCATAGACACGGGCACAATTAGCAATGACAAAGGAGTTATGGCGGGATATTAATGTCACAGTGACAGCTCGATTCCTGGGTCGTCAATAATATTTCCCTGATGGTATACTCTACGTGGCTTCGACACATAACGAGATACTTAAGAACTAAGTCAAATTTTATTAAACAAATATAAAGTACTAGCTTTCGCCCGCGACTCTGTCCGCGTGGAATTAAAAACAAAACAAAAGTGAGTAGCCTATGTGTTCTTCCAGATTATCCTCTACATCTAAACCAAAATTCATCGAAATCCGTTCAGCCGTTTTGGCTACAAACTCTAACATCCATCCATCTAGAGGTTCGCATTTATAATTATAACTAATAGTATGATTTTTTTAAATAGCGCTTTATCTTTTATAAGACAATGGAAAGGACTGGAATTCATACCCGCACCAAAAAGTCTTACTCCATTGTTATCCCTGAAAAAAAAAACATCGCTGATAAAAAAAGGATCCGCTTTTTACTTTTTAATCTTTATTAACTGTCAAATTGTGAGTGTTATTTTTTGCTAAGATAAGATCATAGTTAATATGATTTGATTCATTACGTACGTGGGAATCTATGAACATAACTAAATGCATAACGTTTTGCTTATTAATGTTAATATAATTAGCGTTATTACCTCTTTATTCTCTCTTTATCCTCCAGCATTTCCTGCATATAGGTAATTAAAATGTAACAATTAAACCATATTGTGAATGAAAAAAATGTTTTAAGTGTCTATAACTTATTATCTGTAATTAAATGTCATTTATATTAAACAATGACTTGATGACACACGTATGTGTAAAATAGGAATCATCATCTCCCCTGCCTTATCCTACTCCCGTAGTGTCGGCGCACCGGATTTTCGTCCAAATAACTCTATCATACGTCATCTCAGTCATCACTCCCTTCTTAATCATGTCACCTTTCACGCAATCAATCCATCTCTTTCTAAGTTAACCTCTACCGGTATGTGTAAAATAGGAATATAGAAAGAAATATTTAATTATGTTGAATAATATGAAGATCCCGTTAAAATGTTTTACAAGAGTTTCTTACTTGTATTAATACTTAGGTTACAGCATACTAATGTTCTATTTTCTTATGTAGCTGCTCTAAAGCAGTAAAGTCGGTTTTGGTATGCAAAGATTTCTCATTGTTAAATTATTCTACAGGAAAGTATCATATCGACATAATTCAATGACTGCATAAAAAACAAAATAAAAACGATAAAAGCCCCACATTGATTATAGAAGTGTGCTCTTCTCTTCCCAAGAACAACGAACATTAAGTGCCTATTTTCACTGAGTCATTAAACGCACAAGACCGCGGCTTACTGCCATTTGTATGGAATTACGTGTTCAATTTGCAACAGAGCAATCGTGTAGTGAACCGCTAGTGGAAAAAGGTACTAATATTGTCTAGTTTATAACTATTTTCCCATCGTAAATGTTGTTTGTAAACAGAAAGTACGAAAAAGAAGTTTATATGTCAATTGTTAATTACGAATAGTGTGAGCTTCATAGACCACACGCAGAATTTTCTAATTTCACTGACGTAGAAGCTATAATTTACTTAACTGAAGTAGAATTAATTTGTAGGCATCTAGAATCATACGTTCTAAAATTTTAAAGATCATTCTTATGTCGTACTTGGTCTTTTTCTAAATCTAAAAATTTGTTCACAAAATCATACCAATACGGGAACATCAACACTTTTTTTACTTAAGTAGTAAGTATTAATCATTTCGTTATTGAATACAGTCACGAAAATGTGCGGTGTTCCACTTTATGAAAATTTACCTTGATCATTTGCAGCGAGACAAACTCCACCACTTCCTTGAAATTAGGTAGCAACGAGTGGTGCAAAGGGATAATAATGAAAAATCAAACAAAAAATGGGACCATCCTGCAAGCACCTTTCGCATAAACAAAGAATTATCAATATCGGTTCACTAGCGGCGGTTTTGCCGTTACACACATGCAGACGAATTAATTACCTTCTTTTGGGAAGTCGGTTAAAAAGAAAAGAGTCAAAAGAAAAAGATTGTAGCTTTTAAGGTGGGACACCGCAAATTCCCCCGACTGTACATAATTTTGTACCGACAACCGGATTGTCAAGGACAGCAGCTGGTTTTGCTTCCAAGTTCAAGTAAACCGATTTTAGTTTGGGATGCACCGCACCCTTTGAAATTTGCAAGCCGTTGTACAATGGTACACGTTCCGACACAAATTCAATTCGAACTAACTATTAAGAGTAAAATAACATATCTAAACACCTCTAAATTTAACTATATAACATGACTTTTTTTTCTCTTGATATTTATTTAATTTCACTTTAACTTTTTAATTAAAACAAGCGTAGTGTTTCCGATTACTGATTAATATATTTTTTTAATCAGTTAACTTCAAGCCGTGGTAATAAAAGTCCTATATATTAATAACTATGGTTGGGATTTAATATATTATTTTAGTGTCAATCCGATCAACATTTTCGACACTGCGTTCCGACACAAAAGAATTAGACAAGCGCACATAAATCCTTATGTCGATGCACTCTCCCGATATACAATAACGATATTCTGCAAATAATTTTCGGATAAACTGTTACACTAATATTGAAATAATATCCTATTTTATTACATTTTCTGCGATTGCCAAAAATAATATAAAGTAGCTACTTACTCTAGGATTATTTTATAAAACACAATAAATCTATTTGGTTACGCCAAATGGTTGTAATGGTCAACATTAATATTACAAATCGACTATTGTAAAAAATACGTAGTAAAATCTGAGGCGTAACCTCGTAACTAAACTAATTTCTGAGAAGTTACAGATGTCATGTTACAGTCAAAGCTTCGTGGAAATATTAAAGTAGGATTTCACTGCCGAAACATCTGTAGGGAAAATATGACATGAAAATAGTATTTTGTCCGGGGAATAATATCAACTTCAGCAAAATTATCAATAAATCCTTAATATGCTATGCTTTGCCAAATAAAACAGTAAAATGATTTCGTTAATTTCACCAAATTCAACAATTCGAATATTTCCCGTCTCCGCAGAAATTTATAACCTAAAAATAATTAAAAACATGACACAGTAACACGTAGTATAGCTAAAAATCATTATAAATAAACATAATTAAGCCAATAAGGTGAGAATAAGTAGTATTAGTTCATTCAAGACGTAACTCCATTCTTTTTGCGCTAATCTTCTCTTCGTTTCTAATTCTCTTTTACTTCTTTCTTCTGTCCGTCGCAAACTCTGTCTTTTGTTGCCCTTCGCTAGGCAGCTGGCAATATCATCAAGCAAACTGCCATACGATGAGCCGCAACTGACACGAGTTTTATTTCTTCTCTTTTATTCTCTTCCAATCTTCTTTGTTCTTTGTTTGTTGTTATACAAACTAAAGTAACGATTTAACTGCCGGACTTCAAGTCATTGTTCACTAAGAGATTTTTATTTACTATGAGAAAATCTCCGTAACTTAATATTAAATAACGACTGTGGGCGGCAGTAAGAAAACCGTTACAGATTGCGTATATTATTGACAATTTATACAGTTTATTTAATAAAATAGAAATACGTACCCATATCTCGAAGTATTAAAATTTACGCACCTACGCAATAAAATCACAAGAGCACAATTGACAGTCGATTCGTTTGTGCTACCATTATAAATCCCTCTTATCTACGAGGAAAGCCGCGAGTTAATACATAGCTCTAATTAAGTCCGACCAATGCGTCCATATTGTGCGACGCCATTTTGTTTTGTTGACTAATTAGTGATGTTCAGGTCAATTTAAGTTTATTTTATAAGTTTTTTTTAAACGTTGTTTACACAAAAAACAAATTTATTACATACCCTTAGATTTTACTTAGTATAAGTAATCTAAGTGCGGCTTTAAAAACATCGTAAGCAAAGATTCTAATAAATCGATTGAATATATTTGTTGTGTTGTATGCAAAGAGATTCAAATAATTAGAAGAGGCATAGTTCACACTTTTATTTAAACATTTTTTACATCACTAACACTATCTATTGATAGATTGAAACCACATGTTAATATAACTAATCGCCTCGTCTATATGCTATTTTAATATCTTTAATTAATGTCTTTCAGAGACAAGAAACATCATCAGTCTTTTAACATTAGTTAATTTTTCAAACATAATTTCTGGTATACTCAGACATTCTCTCAGGATTATTACAAATAGAACAGATTTCTAGCTGTCAATTTGAAGCTTTTCAAAGCTGCTCTGTATGTCACTGGGATAAATTTTTGTTTCTGTAAAAAGAAATGAACATCACTAATAAAATAAAAAAACATTTGTTATCGAGCGAGGCAGGAAGGCGAGCCGGATGAGGTGGTCTCCCGCAGGAGATAGCGGAGCGGCGAACACTTGGCCCAACTAACTAATAGGCAATTATTGCCATAGCAGGATAAATGAACTCATAATTGCGCAGGATTCTGTTATTTACATGCACCTGCTACTTATGACGATAATAATATTTTATTTACAACAGAATAAGTAATAATTGTAGAAAGACTGAATAAACAATGTAAAGTTTATATGAAAAAGGATATTTGGAAGGGATAAATCCAGATATTACGGCTGATAGAGATGTATTTATATAAAAAAAAAAGTACAAAAATGCACATCTTTCCTCTTTATTATATTAGATTAGATATAATATTCAAAATATTAAAAATGATAATCCTAATGACACTATATATTCACATCACACACTACCCACTGACACTTCACATTTACCTAATTTTAATTTTGTTCTTTAACAAAAAAAAAATGCTTGTTTTGTTACAGTTAATTAATAATGTTCTTTATTTTGTATTTTATATGTATGATTATTGGTCTGTGGGGCGGGGGCCTGGTGATCCATTACACAGGGCGCGACCCTAGTTTGGACACCAGTCCCCCCGCCAAAGGGGAAAATTAATAAAGTTATTTTATTTTATTTTTTTTATTTATAACATAAGGTGGCAAACGAGCGAGCGGCCACCTGAATCCGCCAAACTGGCGAAGCAGCTGACCGCAGCCCATAGACATCCGCAATAACGGAAGCGTTGCCTAACCTTAATCGACGGAGGAGACGCATATAAAGAAGATGTTTCCCCTTTCTATGCGTCTCCTGCACCGTTAAATTCACGAAAAAGGGTAGGAATGAAAAGGGACTGAAGTTGGGCCTCCGGCACTACACTCATCAGACTGTACGTGGAATTGCTCCCACTTCACGCATGTCTTCTGTGTGGTCGTGGTATTGCTGGAGGCGAGCGGCCCATTCATGCGAAGATGTTAACACTCTACAACTGTAAGTTGTATGTAACGGTACTTACTGTGCTTACCTTCTTAGGAAACAGACAGAAAGATGATCAGCAATAGAAGTAGCATCTGTAACCTATGAACATGAGAGTTGTCTGAATGTAGGAGAGAAAATTGCTAGTTAAATCTTTGCATATTTTAACAGTGGTTGTCATTAGCAGAATGGAAAGAAGTAATTTCGTGTTTCAACTGACGATTATGCTGGAGACATAATTTAATCCGCTTAGTCTTCACATCCTATACATCTCTTCTTATAAACAAAGAATTCGGTGGGAGAGTGCTGAAGATTTTAAAGGGACATAAAGGGAATGGATATATCGCCTTTCTATACGTCACCACATTTGGTTATTAAATGCTGTTGCAGATGTCTGTGAGCATGGGTTTCTTCGCTAATTTATCAAAATTGCGGCCATTTCTTTTTATTTTTTATGAATGTAACTTCTACTGTTCTGAGTAGTGGGTACAGAGTTTATTCAAATTAAGAATAAAACGCTGTACATTAAGATATAGCAAAAAAATTCAAATAACAATTAAAATTGAAATAATTCAACTGATATTAGAATAACTGTTATTATATTTAAATTTTCCGCATCATCATTATTATTGAAGGAAAACCACAGACAATATTTACATGGTAACTGAAATGCGTTAATTACGAATACTATTATTGTATTTTGGTTAATTATTCCTTATGAATATTTTCCGACAAAAGCGTAGCAGTTCTTAAATATTAAAATTTATGTTTTCATAAAATATATGTAGGTACTGGCATAATTAATATAGGTTCACTATTTAGTTACTTTTTTAATATTTATTTGATCTATAGATAAACATATAAAATGTGTTATAAATCTACGGTTGAACAGTAATGTTAAACATAAAACGCGATTAGTGACTTGAAAAATATTGATGTACTTACCTCAAGTTCAAGGTTACTACATCCAGGGTCGCTGAATCGATTGCACATTTCCCGGGGGAACCACAACAATGACAATATAAGAAAATACTTTAAGCTTATAAATCTTTCTTTTTGAAGTTTTTACTTGTGATAGCAAGGCTAAAAGACTTGATTATTTTGCTTGTTTTCAGTATCTTCTCACTTATATTCGACTTTTTCTAGCAACTGAAGATTGCACTGTGAGGAAATATATGTTTATAGGGGTTGATCAGCTGCCAATACGTCTCTAGGTCAAGGTCAGTTTCGTTCTGCGCAAGTGCGAAGGTCAATGTTGCCAAGCGCCTACAGTGACATAATAGCAAAAATATTGTAATGTAACTTTATTTCGATATTTCCAGTCAAAAATATTTTGTTTTTAAATGAAGTCATTTGGACAAAAAAACAAATTAAGATGATAAATTTCGTTTTTATTAAAAAATCAAGTATTCGTATGTAAAGAAATATTGATAGGATTAAGTTGATTACACTGTTTATATGAATTTTAACGTCTCTATGGTTTTATAAGCGAACGTACTTCAAGTACTTTAATAATAAATTACTGAGAGGTGCTATTATTATAGTCGTTATTTTCTTTACCCTTCTCTTATTTAACTCTCTACTTATTTCTCTTCCTTCTACTTCTCCAATGGAAACTATCATACCAAAAGAATGTACTTCTCTTTTCATAACGTAATTTAAATCGAAAAACTAAGATCTCTATCTTTTAGGTTAATGTAGGAAAAGTCAATAAAACACTTTATAAACATACTGTGCTATAATCTAAGTAAAATAACATATTAATAAAATCAAAATAATACACAAATGACATACAAAAAAACAGAAATAAAAGTAAACCAAGATCGTGTCGCTTTCCATAAAACGGTAGCACTTTACAGGCTAAACAAATCCACACATTAGGCCCTTTACAATACAAAGCTACCCATACGAATGTGAACCTTAGTTCCCGCATCATAAAGTCGAATATCCAATACCCTGCCCTTTCAGTCCATTCACTGTTGACAAACGTCATCCGAAATAGAGCTTTGCGCCGTCGTATTTAAGGCGGTGAATCGCTTGAATCAGCGTGACGTCACACGTCATCTGTCAGATTTGGCGGCATTGTGCAAATGGTTCGGTGCGTCTGCGAAGGCGAATTTTAACCTATAAGCTTCCGCTACGAGCAGACTTATGTTAGAATCCGTCCAGTTTTGTGTCGGTACATTTTGTAATAATATCATGAGGCCTTGGAAGTCTCTTTCCAGCATGAGTTTTTCCCGCCAATGTAGGAGGAAAGCTGCGCATACGTAAAGCTGGAAGGTCGCGAACCCGTCCGATTCCGCGAGGTAGGTATCCCAGAGGCGTATCGTACAGGGTAAGGGTATCTCTCGTGTGAGCAGGTTATTCATCCAGCGGAAGGAGAACTGGAGATAGTCTACGCCGTGCGTCTGCAAGTGCTCGTGTAGTTGTTGGTCGATGCGACGTATTAGTTCTTTTAGTTGATTTACCTGGAGACATATTTTAAAAAGTTCTGTATATATTTCACAGACAAAAAGTAATCACAGAAAATATATCTAACTATTATTTAAATTTTTCCGATCATTGTAATAACCCTTTTATCTACATAAATTATAACACGGCTAAACTCACGTGATAACATTCGGTGTAGGTTAGGTGTCTACACGTTAGTTCACGTGAGTTTAGCCGTGTTATAATTTATGTAGTATAATGTCACGAAAGTTTTAATAAGTTAACCCTTTTATCTCTTTTTTAAGATATCTAGACTTAACTTCAAAAAATGAGTTCCTTAATTACTGTTATTTTTTACTTACCTATGTTCCTTTGATAAAAAACTTAGATTTGATATTTTTCGGAAACTAACCTTATACTGTATGCCAAGTTGTGCAAATATATAATTATCTTGTATACTATCGAGGAACTTGGACAGGCACCAGAAGGAGTCCGCCTCTATTATATCTCTTTGCTCCTGCGTCAGCTCGTCTAAAGGAAAGTTGTCCAACTCCTTGCCGGGAGCTGCCTCTTGCAGGAACACCATAAAGAATGGAGTCACCAAGTCGTTAATGCCTTGTACGTAACCGGATGCAGGGTGTCTGATCGCCCATATGTACAAAATGCGCTCAAACATCACCTGGAAATTAACAAAATTGAACATCCTGTAGTTATTACTCCGTATTAATTAAAATCAATCAAATTTTAACTTTTGATCATCCTGTAGATTGCAGTTAAGCCGAAAACATTGTCACAATCAGCTTAGAATCAAACATATAGTTTTTGTAATAAACAGAGAAAGATATTTTTATTGATATAGATTTTTTTTATTAATTATACTTCATATATATTTAATTATACTTCATACTAATATTATAAATGTGAAAGTATAGATAGATAGATGGATGGATGGATGGATGGATATAATGTTCGTAAGATACGGGTTTCTTACCACGATTGAATTGTTTTAACTCCCGATATTTCGGCACAGTTGCATGCGCCATGTTCACGGTTTGTCGACAGAAAACAGCTAGTGTGGACAATAATAGTAGTGGTCGCCGTATCAGGAGAAAAGTAGACCGCTATGGCTTCGTGTAACTTTTTTTTTTTTTTTCACACTACCGCATCACTTCAGTCAGCCCGTGAACATGGCGCATGCAACTGTGCCGAAATATCGGGAGCTAAAACAATTTAATCGTGGTAAGAAACCCCTATCTTACGAACATTATATTTGTAAAAACCACGACAGTTTAAAGTTATGGATGGATGGATGTTTGTAAGAGTTTGTAGCCTAAACTCACTTTCGTTTTTTTTTAATTCCACGCGGATAGAGTCGCGGGCGAAAGCTAGTAATATTATAAACGTGAAAGTTTAAATGGATAGATCTTTGATAGAGTTTGTAACCTTAACTGCTGAATGGATCTTGATAAAATTTGGCGTAGATATAGAGGATAGTCTAGAAGAACACATAGGCTCCTTTTTGTATCCACGCGGACGAAGTCGCGGTCCAAAGCTAGTGGATTCGTAATATTGTGAAATTCGACACAGATGTAGAACATAGTATGGAAAAACACATAGGCTACTTTCTGAGCATTTAGTTCTGCATGAAAAAAGTTATATTTTAATGGTTAAAAATTTAAAAAAAAAATTTCTCCAGAAGTATGAAAATTTTAAAACTGTCCAATATACAGACAAATACTCTTAAAAATGAATAATGACCAAAAGGCCTTTGCTAGTTTTTATTTAGTTGAATTTAAATATGTTAATAATCAAAGTTTATATACATATGCAAATATATGGAAATGATACAAGTTCAGGTCAATACACTTTGAAACTTAGATGTTTATACTTAAAATATATTAAAACAGCTACTTATACTTGCTGTTACAGAATTACCCGAATGAAACTTTGTATTTTTGTATGTATTGAAATAACTCAAAAACTACTGGGCCCATTTTAAATATTTTAAAAAACATGAACATTTTCACCTTTGATATTTTGATACAATATTTAGAACCAAAAAGTTTGCAATTAGCACTGCCCACAGATGTTTATAAAATATATAGACAAGGCATAATGAACAATTTTTTTTTCACCGGTAATTTCTCTCATAGGTACTATGACAGTTGTAAGTTTAGTACCCATCTTGTGTGTTAAACGAAACAGTGTTACAAAAAACAAACATTTAAATGTTATTTAATGACACCTATTGGCAATTCATTTAAAAACAATTATTTTGACATGTGGTTTTGAGGCTCTTTCATTAATAGGTAGTTAGTGAGATTATGTGAGAATCATGTCTCCTCTATATATGTTTTGAATCTCTGACTGACTATGATCCTTTAGTGTATTGAACTCAGAATACCTACAAACAACCATCTTATTAAATATGCAAACCATGTTTCATGCAAACATGTGACATGTTTAGTTTATTTTAAAAAACAAATACATTCCCAATAGCATGATTCTTTTTGCATTAAAACTTTGTTTTACTTGTCATATTTATCATAAACTAGCTTTCGCGATTCCATCTAAGTGGCATTAAAAAAAAACAAAAGTGAGTAGCCTCTGTGTTCTTCCAGACTATCCTCTACATCTATACCAAATTTCATCAAAATCCATACAGCAGTTTACACTACAAACTCTAACAAACATTCATCCATCCATCTAAACTTTCACATTTATAATATTAGTTTTAAATAGTATGAAGTGTGATTGTCAAAAAAGGCAATGTGCCACTTGAATTTAGAGAAATATCAAGCAATCACTTCCAGTAGACTTCCATAAAAGCAGATTGCCTACTTCTTATCAAAGGGTATGCAAAGAAATAAGAAAGAGGAATGAGAACTGTTTCGATTTATCAGACTTACTAATTTTATTCCTCTTCCATACCTTTGTCATAAGTACTATCTTGTTGGAATTTCTACAAGCACTATAAACCATGATGGTACAATGTTAACTTACATTATTGGGAACATAATTACCCAATTTAATGGCTGTTTCTACATACCTGCACAGTAATCTGCTGGAATAATGCTACGAGTGGACTCATACGAGGTATATCAATGTGTATCTGTCTGTATGTATCCTCTTCACGTTCCGCATCATAGTACTGTCTTACAAGGTGCTTGTAGTCAGCTCTCTTCCTTTCTAATGTCTCCGCTCGACGCTCTGCATTTGCTGGCAAGTAACCAGCTAGGAGGCGCCATGTTACAGCTCTTGTCTGGAAGTAATAATCTCAAATTTACAATCAATATACAATAGATTATATATTTCAAATTTCAATACCAAGCTAGTTAGCGATATTTTTTGTCAAAACAAAGAGTTCATCTCTTGACCTTTCTATCTGATAATTTTATTAACAAAGATGAATTTCAACATGATCAAAATCTGTTATGTAACATTTATAGTAATTATGGAAGATTTGTTAGTGAAGATATATAGATTTTCAAATAAGACAAGCTTTTTAAATAATGAAATCACTTACTTTAATAGGTATTCCTGACCAACTTAACTGTTTCAACTCATCTAAATCCAAAACAGGACTTTCAAGTATTTGTTGAAACCTTTCTAGCTTAGATTCACTGCTTTCCTCGCGTGACGCTAACGCAGACAGTCTAACAGGGCGAGGACGCCCAGGGTAATGTCTGATAAGTCCTGTGCTACTCCCCACACCACCTCCAGTCCTCCTAATTTCATTTTTCCGCACGGCCAACGCCTCCTCTTTAGGTTTTATATTTTCACTCTCTACTTTGACGTCACTTTTGTTTACATTTTTCGTACTATTCCTATGCGAATTTATCACATTTAAAGCTGCAGTTTCCGATATGGCTTTCGATATCTTCGCCTCCGCGATACCAGATATGATGTCGTCGTCTCCAAGGTCCCAGGCATCGTTCACCGATGCCTGGAATTGTTGATATGATGACCCAGACATAACCTCGTCCTTCTGCACCCTTTGTAAAGGTCTTCCCGGGATTGCGCGTTGTGGTGTCCTCCAAAACGTATCAGACAAGGCACTGTTCTTGTCATATTCGGCTTGGTAACTTTCCATAATAAAATATCATCAGGAACATTATAAATTCTTTATCTTTACTGAACAACAAAATAAGAGAATGTTTGATATGACATATCACATGAACCATAGACAATTTTCTATGTCATTCGATTCGGTTCGCAAATGTTCAATTAACGTACTAAGCTAATAATCTCAAAAAATATTTTCTTGATATCGACATGTAAAAAACAGAATCTATTTTACTTCTACGAAAAACTTATGTTAAAATGTTAAAATAGCTGTCAATCAAATATGAAGTTGACATTTAAATTATACCACCCTGACTATTTTGATTTTATTAACGTTTTTTTATAAGGAACAAGAAACTATTTTTATTTTATTTGTTATAAAAATATTAAGATGTTCGGATCCAACCCCAAATGAAATTACTTGTTACCAATATCATGTTCCTAAGGAATTTATTAAATCGATAACTGTATTAGCTCCACGGATTAATAATAGTGTGGCTTTAATCATGGCTAGTCCGAACCCAGATAACGATGCAGCTTCCATATTCGTCCAAAAAAGTGACAAAAGGGAAAGGAATTTAAAAAGTCCAGATCGAGGTGATTCGTCACGAGCAAACTCTACTGTCAAACAAAGTAAACCAGCGGAAATAATTACGGTTAAAGACTTCTTCGATTTTATGAAAACAGCCTATCAAGTTTATGAGCATTTGGAAGGCAATGAAGACGAGGCCAAAATAAACTGGGAAGCACTTACTAAGCTGACCGTCATAAATCATGTCATAGAACCACAGGAGAGAGAACTTTTGAGGAATACGGCTCATACAGAGCAAAAACCAATAATCAGTAAAAGCGATACAGCATTAGAAAAGAAAACTAGCGAGATAGTGCTATTGGAAAAGCGGTTGAGTTACAATGATATCGAAAGTAACTGAAAATGTATTCAAATTGCTGTTCTTAAGTATTTAACTGAAACTAATTAAATTTACGGATTTTACTATTTTTTAGACAAAAGACGTTCAATTAATGGAGAAATCAAAGTGGAGATGCTTGGGGCCTGGACGGAGGCCAATTTAAATTGTAAATTAAACGATGTGAGTAATTTGAATGTATATATTTCCTCAATAGATGTCGCTACCTAAATTATATGAATTAACAAAAGTTATTTTAAAACAGGTAATCAACGAAGGCATTTTAGACTCAATTTTACCTTATCTAGTTGGATATAAAAAACCGTCAAAAACCACAAGTGTTTATACGCCTATTATAAAAAAATCTAATAATGAGTCAGATGTTAAAAAACCTGCTAGTTTTGGAGGTATAAGTATTTTTTATTTGTTTAAATAAGATGTCATATAATATCATTGTTTTCTTTATTTTTTATAGGTTTCATACATGAAAAAGAATCTAAAGATCGTTTAGGAAGACGTAGATCTTCTATAATCGCAATTCAAGATAAACTGAACCATAAACACGAGTAAGTAATATAGTGAGAAGAGAAATAGAAATGAATTTTTATTTTATTTTGAAATAGCACTATTTAACGGTAGATGGCGCTTTTTCAAATTTTAAATATCTTTATAAATTTCGGTAACCTTTCAACATCCGATATGGTCTAGTGGCTAGGATACCTGGCTCTCACCCAGGAGGCTCGGGTTCGATTCCCGGTATCGGAATTCCTTTTTGTTAATGTTTATTTTAGAGCGGACGTAGAAATTCATGTGTGCGACGAAGTGAAAGGCCTGAAGAAAGATTTCAAGTGTCCTCAGAAATTACTTGTGTCTAAAATGGGTTATTTTGCTGACGTCACTGCTGGCCAGAGACTGGAGGATATGGATATATCAGTACATTGTGATATTCAGGTATACTCATTTTCTTTTTATTAAATTAAATAACGCGCAATATATTTTTCATATGTACAAAATATATTATACAAAGAACGATTTGACTGTTAGTAGAAAGTAATCTAAAAATTCAAGTAGTTATTAGTGCTTAGAAATTTTTAATATTTTGTTTTAAAAATATTTTATGGCAGATTTTTGATTGGCTAATGAGATGGGTGAAACGAGATACTATTCTTGTCGCTGATTGGCCGCTCTTAGACGCTCACAATGTCGTGCCCATTCTTGTTTCAGCGTCGTTTCTTCAGGTAAATTGCACACTCAGATATGGCTACACAAAAATAAAACAGCCATAGACCATAAAAACTCAAATAACAATTTGTTTCTAGATGGAGCCACTTCTGCACGATTGTCTGATATACTGCCACGCGCACATGAACGATATCGTTAAAACGTCCACCAATCTTGCTTGTTTGAATGACGCTTTGCTATCCAGGTAATGTTATAAAGGAAGATTTATATTTTTGTATGTATTGAAATAACTCAAAAACTAGGGGCCGATTTTTAATATTCTATCACCATTATAAAACTACATTGTCAGTGAGTAACGGGCTATATTATTTTTCACGCTGACGAAGTTACGATCAACAGCTGGTTAATATAAAATAATAGACTTGAGGAAATTAAAGAAAACAACTCATTGAACATACCCAGTATGCTTCAGTATCATTCACTTCGGTCTTGGTGATCACGCGTCACTCACTCTTTCTTTGCGCGTAGATGCCGTGCTGTATTCAAGTTGCTGCCAAGTGGTCCTAATCACCCTTTTTCAAATGTGAATTTTAACCTTTTAATACAGACTGGCAGCAATGTACACGAACGCGGAGCTGGAGGCGGTGCGCGACCGGCGCGACAAGATCCAGTCGCGGCTGTATTGCAAGCTGATCCTGTCGCTGGCCGAGCCTGTGCCGGAGACGCTGCGCGGACACCACGCCTCGCTCGCCACGCTCTTCAAGTGCACCAAGTTAGCGCTTTTTATTCACACAAATTGACCATGAAGTAGTACAAACTGTAGCTTTCAGAAATTGAATAGCTTTTACTTGTGCTGTGCAGATTTCTCGCACAAAATCTTCACCAAGGTATACTTTAGTGTACTTATTTAGATATCCTTAGTGTCTATTAAAATGCCATCATAAGGCAAATGATATGTCAGTCTCAAGAAGGTAGGTAGTAGGGGAATATTAAAAAGTTCGCTGTAAGCTATAATGTCGGCCTACAGATGCAATAAGCTGCTGGGTCGTCACGTGGCGGAGCAAGTACCCTGCCAACCCTCCAGCATGCGAATCGACCGCCGGGGTAATGTCGTCTCCGCGCACGCCAAGTAAGCACAAACAGCTTCATATTCCATGAATAGGAACAGAAGATTTTCCTCAAAAGACTACTATGTTAAATTATGTTCATCAGAGACTTGTCGTGGAGCTTGAACGAGTACATAACGTGGCTGTACGGCGAGCTGCGGTCGTGGCGGCGCGTCTACTGGCGTCTGTGGGCGGACTGCCACTTCCTGCGATGTCAGCTGTGCGACACATATTTCCCCGTGTATCAGGTAAACTATTAAAATATCTAGGGTTTCTTGTCTTAATTGATGTCTAATAGCCTAAACTGGCCCCAATCTTTCTATAGCCTCAGGTGTACTGGTAGGAAAGAGTGTGTAGTCTGAGAAATAATGTTGTGGATTGTGACGCATCAGATGGAATGGTGTTCGCACCACGAGCAGAGTGCGGCGCTGGTGGCGGGCGACGCGGCGGCCGGCCGCTACCCCTGCTGTGGACAGCGCGCCTATCGTTTCGAAACTCTACCTCGTAACACTGTTAGTATACTGTCTTAGAAATATAATCAAAAAATAAATTAAACACAACTGAGACTGAGTAAGAACTACAATACATGACAATGACAGCAATGTTGTCGGTTAGGGTTGTCAGTTCCGCGAGCACGTGCCGGAGGAGCGCAACGCGGGCGAGGCGTCAGTGGTGGTGCTGTACGCGCGCTTCCGCGACCTCATCGCCATGCGCCCGCCGCACCTCGTCTATCCAGAGAGACTTACTAGATTCGTCGCTAGAGGTAACATTATTATATGAAACTTAACGTTTTCTTTGTCAAAACTACGCTTTTATACAACACAGTGTTCATTCTCGTCTTCAGAACCAAACGAAGAATACAGCGGTCGTTTGCAATGCAGGGAGGTGTTCTGGTGGGAGGGCATTCAGCTGGTACCACCTCGTCAACCTCTCGGGCTACTGGGAAAGCTCTACACTAGCAACACCAAGTTTAACCGTGAGAACTACATCCATACGTTACTTTGACAAATGCGATGACTTGTTTTAATTGGCTTTTATAAAATTTATTTCAACATTTAATCGCATTAGTTAAGCCATGGCAAGACCGCTGTAAATACGCTCTCCACATTGGCAGTACATAGCAGCCGTGTCTGCAAGCTTGAATAAAAACGCTATTAGTATTCTAGTTATCATTGACAAAATTTCTTTTTTTAAAACACAATTTTAAACACCAGCGATATTAATCAGCGAACAAAAGTTATTAAGCATTTTTACTTACTTCCAAATACATGAAAAATTCAATTAAGTTTGATGTATGTTACTACGGACGCTAATTTGACGGTATAGCGAGTATTCGTCCCGGCTCGCCGACTGTGGCCAAGGTACAGTCGCCGCCGCAAAGCATCGGCGGCACGAGCAGGGCCAGCACCATCTCCTCCTGTCTCTCTGATCAGCGCGAGCTCAGAGCCAGACTGATATGTGAAACCGGATCCAAGATCAAGGTAAGTACGAAGAACAGATACACCGATATCTGACATCGGATGTTCGCATTTGAATTTGATGTGTTCTGTTGTTTATGGTATCTAATTGACAGTTAGGAAATTACCGGTAAATTATTATTGCCATATTTCTACGTTATCTTGGAATTAGGTAAAATCGCATGCTTGTTTATATTATTTATAGTTGTTTATTTAGCACAACAGTTTTATAGTCTTTTTTGTTTGTAATGGTATTATAGCAATAATAATTTTCGTACAGATTAAGGCACTAGTTATTGCAACTACACCATAATGAGAAAATAGATAGAATATATGAAACATAAGAAATAATGCTATTTTACTATAGAAACCTATGTATTCTTTAGAATCGCTATGCTAAAGTAATACTAAAATCATTTACTTTTAAACACATTGCTTTTATAAAAGACATGGTAGGGTTAATAAGTCTCATAGCATTTAGGTTATTGTATTAATGTAAACTATCGACGTGCATGTTGGTGCGAAGCAAGGCGCGTCCGGGTGCGGCGACGTGTCGGTGTGCGCGGTGGGTGTGGTGGGTGCAGGGGGTGCGGCGGGTGCAGGGGGTGCTGGAGTCGCGCGGGGGGCCAGCGTGCGCGGCAGCTCGGCGGGCAGCGAGCAGAGCGCTAGCTCCGACAGCGACAGCGCCAACAGCGACGAGGACCGCCCGCCGCGCCGCCCGCAGCGCGCGCCGCCGGTCACACCCGTTAGGACCAAGTGAGTTACATTATTTGGAGGTTGTTTCTTTAGCCGTAATAAAGAGTAACATAGATGATATAATGAAGCTATACGTAAACTTGTGTGAACAACCGAACTACCAACGTTGTGCACTTATACCGTCCAGATTGATTGATGAAATGCTCAAGAATTGTATGAATGTAGAAGCGAGGCATGAGCGTCATGATTAAGGCACGGAGATCCAAGGTCTCTGCCTACCCCTCTGGGTTACAATCTTGATTTTCACTGTTGTTTTCCAGAAGTAATTTCCGGTTCACATTTGGCTGGTACAGTTGGACAGTTGCATTCATTGGCGCCTGTTAGCGTTCACATTCTGCCAGTTTATTGACAGTCCAATCAGAGCGCTATTGACCAACTGTGCTGGCCAAGTCTGAACCGTGCATAATAGAAGTGTATGTTTTTATTTGTATTTACACGTGTCATATCATGTCAGGAAGGGTCGCGTGGTGGGTCGTCAGTGGCTGCCGTCGGTGTCCGCGCGCAGCAACCAGGACGGGCAGCGGCGCTACGAGGAGCGCGCCGCCGCACAGATGCGCTCCGCGCTTGCTCGCCGGCACGCGCAGCTCGTGCGCCCAAAACCCACGCCAGGTAATTAAAAATTTCATGTTTTGATTTGACGTAAAATAATACGAAGCGAAAGCATTTACATACATAGGTTTGGTTTTTAGCTATGTAAATGTAAAGGCAGAATACTGAGTACTAAGAACGCATGCATACCTTTGATTCTTAGTTGTGCAACTAAACAGTTGAAGCTGCGAAACACCGGACGTTCAAGCATACGGCCGAATTCCATCCTTTCGTAGTTGATATTCCGCGAGTTCGAACGAAAAAGTTTCAATCATCGTTCCTTGTGCGCACTGCAAAGGATTGGAACATGTTGCCGGCATTAGTTTTCCCGTCCAAATATGACGTGGGGGCCTTCAAAAGGAGAGTGAACAGCTACCTATTAAGCTAGCTAGTACCATCTTTCGACTGCATCGTCACCTCCTTTAGGTGGGATCGTGGTCAAGCGCTAGCTTAACAAATAATAAAAAAAAAAAAAAAATTGACAATCGCACAACTGTTGTGCGATAGTTTAGTCAAGGGTGTGGGCCCGTTCTAAAGGTGCCTCATTAATTGATCAATTTGTCGCAGGCGGTGTATACGCGCGTCTGGAGGCGGAGTGGCGGGAAAAGTTCGCGCCGCGGCCGCGCGTCGCCATCTCAGCACGACCACGCCCAGCTAACGCAAAATATAAATGAAATTGTTTCGTAATAAATATATCTTGTTAAAAAATGCCATGCCATTGTTTGTAACTTAATTTGTTGTAATTTAAATGGTTTATTATTATTCTCATTGTAATTTATTCACATTCTATCCTACTCTATTTTAAGGTGGTAAACCACCTAAATTTGCTCAAAAGTCGATTCAACCTCGCTAACAGATACTTTACAATTAAGGCGTTGACGCACATAAAGAGGATATATCCTTTTCCTGAGTCACCTTCACCATCAAATCAACTTTCCCTTTACTTCTTACAAGAAAAGGATGATTCACAAAGACGTTTAAAAATATAATAGACAAGGCATAGTGAATATAAGTTTTACATCAGTACTTCTTTAAAAGGTACTGTCAGTTCTCAAGTTTTTAAATATCATTTGATACCTCAATAGGTGTTAATTACCAATGTATTTAAGTATATTGTGGTTTTGAGGCTATCAGTAAATAGCTTCAGTGAATATGTGAAAAATGCCTCTAGTAATGTCAACAACTATGACTTCTCTATATATTTTCTGTATCTGATGGAAAAGGAAATTACATATAATCCGCTGTCACTATTCTCTTATAACAATTTCTATAAATAATTTATTCTCTTCTCACCTAAGAGGATATGCTTAAGCGATTTAACATTCGCTTAACGCTTATGAAAGAGCAGCACATACTGTGCCGACCCTCCGTAAGGGATAAGGGCAAGGTAATGTTGATGACTCGACACTATTTTCCTACTACAATAAATACCTACAACAGGTGGGACAAGTGGGAATGGTAATAAAATGAAACAACAATATTGTGTTATATTTATATATAATGCGGCCTACATCTAGAAGCACATCCTGTGCGGGTACTGGCTGGAGCGCAGCCCGAAGGCGGCGCGCAAGTACCCGCGCAGCTGCTTCTTGTCAGCGCGCAAACCGATTGCCTTTATTACTGCCTCATCTACAGACTTCTGGTCGGTCTTCCTCTGCTCGGAGGGAACGTATTTCTGAAACATCAAACACATTTAGTACATACAATAAAATTACATTTTTAATTACCATAAATCATTTAAAATACACCGACAAATTAGAGTTTACTGATTACTGGACAAACGTTTTTTAAATTCTAACTATTTTGTTCAAAATTAACTTTAGGTAGATTTCAACATTATAATGAAGACATCAGAAGAAATTCAAACATCATTTTACTGCTTGAAAAACATGTACAAAATGTATTTTATTTACAAATATAATTATTGACCTTGGAAAATAGAAAACTTTCACACAATTAATTGCCCCGGATTTCCAACTTGAGTGCAAAAAAAAGTAGTTTTCTATCAACTTGCACCCTTTTGTATAAAAACATGATTGGTGTTTACCTCCTTTTTGCTAGCAAATATATCCTCGCCCTGCTTACGCTTGACGCTGCGCTTGGTGCTCTTCTTGTTCTTCTTGAAGTAGTCATCATTGAGATGCTTGGGCAGCTTGAACTTTCCAAGGTCCACCTTTGTTGATGTGCCAATCACGTAGCGCTGCGAGACACGGCGCAGCGGGCATGAGTTGAACTGAAATTATATTATCAAGAGTTAAATAAATCTATTGGAAATAATTTATACAGAGATGTTGCTAACGGAGCAGAGTGATATTGCACAAGACTACAGACAGAATTATAATCAAATATAGATAGAACAGGCAGTTTAGGTTCTTTTACATTATTTTTAACATAAATAAACCAGCTCCTGACCACGACTCTACCTAAACATATGGACAAATTATAGCAAAGTCACCACGGTCCCCAAATTATGGTTCCACTGCAAAGTTTGCTATTTATTTATAAAAAAAAAACAATATTTACACATATAATTTTACAAATATCATATCAATAGTTGTAAAGGTTGCTATGGAGAATAACTTACAGCAAAAGGACCAGTGATAAGCAGCAGACCACTGGGTAGCACTCCGACGAGCACGACGCGTTTGCCCGCGTGCCGGCCAGCCAGCAGAATGCACACCGTACCCACGGTCAGGCTCGGCCGGGTGCGACGCACATGTTTGCTGAACGTCTTATGGTGGGAACGAGTGGTGATCCTGCAACAAGTCAAAAACTTAAATATAACTTACATTAAAGTTTTGACCGGAGACTTAGCCATACTTGTTTTCTCTTAATTCTTTATTAGCTTTTGCCAATGTGGAATAATATTTTAAAAAAAGGTTAGTATCCTATGTCTCCCAGGTAAACTTTCAGCTGTTTAGGCTACAAACATGCACACATTTATAATATTAGTTAATTGTTTCATACATTAAAGTTTGAGGTATGTGAAAGGGAGTAGATTCAGACATAGGCATTGCTAGACTATTAGATAGGGGTCAGCTTCCCCCCTTCCTCATGGGCACCAATGAATTTTAAAATGAAAACTAATAGGATATATGCACTGTAACAATTCTAGCATTATTAACTTACTCCAGATTATTGTGTTAAACTTAAGGAAGATTTCATGTTTATTTTAATTTTTTTCTTAATACATAAGGTGGTAAATGAGCACCCATAGACATCTGCAATTGCAGATGCATTGCCTACCATTATTAGACAGAGGAGGAGAAGCACATAAAGAGGACATTTCCCCTTCCTATGCATCTCTTCCTCCGTCAAATCCCCTTCCCCTTCACATGGTCTCCTTGTAAGAAAAGGGCGGTAAAGAGAAAAGAATTTAAATTAGGCCTCCGGCACCACACTCATCAGACGAAAAACGGAATGGCTTCCATTTCACGCCTGTCTTCTGTGTGGTTGTGGTACAACACCAGTTGTGCCGACCCATTCATGCTAAGATGTTAAAGCGGGCACTACCACTGTTAATTTAAATACTTATTAGTTATGGATACAGTAACCATGTTACATTTCTATAAAATAATTATTTGGATTTAAATACATTTAAAAACACGCTTTTTAATGTCAACTGTTGATATATTATTGATCTAACGAGTTTACTTGCTGTTTGTGATAATTCAATGTTTTTTGATATTCTCTAATAAGATTAAACAAATAGAATAAAATGTATACAAACTTGTCTTGAGTGGGGTAGAAAGACTTCCTGCGTTTCAGAAGCACTGTTCGGGTCCCACCATTCTTCTCACCACCGATTGTCTTAACCACCACTGTAGGCTTCTTGGGCTTTTCTGCCTTTGGGTTTTTCTTGCCAATGAACTTGTACTTGGCCTGAAATTAATATTTAGGTAAAAAATTAAATAATTACACTTTAAAAACAAAACAGCATTGTGTAGTTGAGATTTATACTCTAATCCTATAATATTTTAATTTATTCGGAACATTTAACAAAAATCAAGTCTTAGCACTGTAAAGTTGTCTTAACACACCTTCTTGTGGAACATTTTAGTCTTGGAAAAACGGACAACTCCATTGCCCAAATTATAATTCCTCGGTACGCCAAATTTACGCTTCTTTACAACTGCACCAGCAGGCGCTGCGGGCGCCTTGGCCACCTCCTTGGGCTTCGGTGGAGCCATTTGATCTGCACACAAGACGAACAACCTCAAATATCACCAGAGTTTACGAGTTCAGTTTACTAATTTTATAATAGTTGTCTCAGAAACAAGTTGAATGTCCACTTTCTAACGAAATCATGGTTTGTTCTGTTACAATAACATATAAAATATGGATAACTATCTGCACTAAATCAATACGATCACATAGTTGAATGTCAAACTTTAGACACAGTAATATTATTTATATCACTAAATCATCGAGAAATATGGTAGCCAATCACTTGTTCATGAAACTAACTTTTAATTTTATACGTTTATTGCGATAACTTTACTTATTTCAAGTCAATTCCTTTGGATTTATTTATAACGAAAACAACACCAACTCACATTAGAACCGGGATCAAGAAAAAGAATTTGACAGAGTTGTCATTGTCTATGGTAACAATGTGTTGCCAGGCATAAAATTTATGAAGGACTTTTTTTGCAAAAAAAAAAAAGGTTTTTGTAAAAATATTTTAAATACAGTTTTTTACAGTGTTTACCTTTGTGGCGTAATTCAGTCAATTTAGGTAATCCATTAAAACTAAAATTTGGATGACGAGTTATTAATATAATTTCAAATAAGACATGTCGTAAATTTTCTTTATATTTAATGATTTAATGCTATACCCAAGGCATAAACTATTCTTAAAAATCTAATATTAAGGGCCGTTATTCACATTTCCAATCAAAATAAATAAAAAATCGTTGTTTCATATGTGGTACTCGATGTTACCAGTATAAGTAAACAAAAACCGTGATTGTGAATGTCACACTGCTTTTGAAAGTCAAACTTTTGTAAATGTCAGTTTACGACATTGACGTCAATCAGTCAGTTCGAAAAATGGCTTCTTTGAGGAGCCCGTCTTCGCCGTCCGACGGATATAAAAGGTTTAGTGATGATTTCGCAAACACCAGCATCAACAATTACGGCTCAAACGTCACAAGTAAACGAGAAGCTAATTTTTTTCTATGCACAGTAGCCGCAAGATATATGTACGCTTTTGTTTTTAACAATACATTCTGTAATGCATTTAACATTTTGTTTAATTTTCACCTTTAATTTCCGTAGGAGCATCCGTATGCCGGATAAAATCAATATCTGTCGTAATCTAAAACCTTATAAGGTTTAGTGACGCAGTGGATGACTCATAAACGCCTTTAACATCAACCTATGTAATATACTAAACAATATATTGGAGAACTCGACCTAATTCTTTGCGAACCGTTAGAACTGTCAATCAGCGATCTGCATGATCATAATCGACGGCTTTGCATGCTGCTAAAATTAGTACTCGCACTTAATTATTATTTTATAATCTGGATAGATATAGATTTTTAAGTACTTTTTTCTACTTTATACTGCTTCTAGCCGGCGTTATACAGATTGATGTAGGTCAGGACATCTCACATTGTAATTAATTTATTGCTCTCATTCATACTACATATAAGTTTTTTTTTTTAACAAATAATACACCTAACAACACTTTATGAAGAAATTATTGGAAGTAGTATTATCAACACTAAGTTATTTATTTTATTTTATATTTAGTACTCTATATTCTCCTTTCAAAATTAATAATATTTGTTTATTATTTTTACTTTATTATATGTGTCCATTTAGCCTGACATAACATACATAATGTAGGTTTGGTTGTACTATTCTGTCTGGTCCATTATCAATTTGATTAGAGAGTACTGATATGAGATAAGCTGCCAGGGGTGATCAACCTTTCTCAAGACTAAGAATATACAAGAAAATAAGTAAAATATGAATGAATTAAAACCATAGTTAAAAAAATATAATTGTAAATACCCCATTTAATGTCAGTATTGTGGAAACTTCGTATATCAAAATATTGCTGTCTCAGTTTTTATAGAACAAAAGAGAGGGATGAAAACATATTTTGCATGAGTTTGCAATAGGTTAAAAACTTGAATAGCCTGTGTTCTACAGCTATGTCAAAATTACTTACTACCATTGAGACATTCTGACAAATCTAAATTGTAGTATAATCCTTAGAAAGAATTTTATTCACGCTTTTATTTGAAATCCTGTATATTTATCTATAGATACATCAATGTAGTTGTTGATACATCTTATCAGTGACAGTACTCTGATGGTTTCCGAGTTCTGTAGTGTTTAAGAATCTAGACATTTTAATGTCTGTGCAAAAATGTACAATTTTGTTACACAATCACATAAAGTTTTGGATTATTTTAAGGATCAATGGTATCAAGTGAAATCATGTAAGTAGTCAATTATGTATTTATTTTAAAGCTTGTATTTTTTTTTATCTTAGTTACTCATTGTGTAAACTGGACTTTTTGTATGTAGTGATAGCAATTTAGGTTATAGTTTGGTATAAAACATGCATACAGTTTTTTTATTCTTTTCTTCTCGGCTTTCACACTTAAGTGTATTTAGCCACTGACAAGATGCATATAAGTAATAGACAAAAAATTGCAGATTATTAAATGGTGAGACCCTTGTAGATATTTTTAACTAAATCTACACTAAAAGAAGACTGAGTGTGGAATATTGGGTTATATTTAATTTTAATCACATTGAATTTTATTTAAGGACTAGCTTTCGCCTGCGACTAAGTCCGCGCGTAACGAAAAAACAAAAGCAAGTAGCCTATGTGTTCTTGCAGACTATCCTCTACATCTATGTAAAATTTTATCAAGATCTCTTAAGCCGTTTAGGCTACAAATTCTAACAAACATCCATCCATCTATCTAAACTATCGCATTAATAATATTAGTAAGATTATTATTTATTTAGTTTAAATTGTAAATGTTATTCTATGAGCTTTATAGTTGGAGTGCTTTGAGGAAAGAATAATTTTTGCAATACGCAATTGTTGAATAGTGTAGCAACATTTAAACAAACAAAGGGCAGTCATATGTCCTTTTTTATCTGTGATGTGTTTGTAATAAGAACAAGGTAAGGTTAACGATCTCGCGTCGAAACAACAGTATTCATGGTATACTTACGCATCATATTCGCTAAACTAAATTATTCCTATCAATTTTATGACAAAAAAAACTTATAACTAAGATTTCACCAGCCATATTGTCGTAATATTTTTAAATATTAAGACAGACCTCTTTTTAACATCGTACAACTTCCTATATAATCTACCATAACCCAGCAATACGAAATAAAACAGGTGTAGAATCCAGTATAATCTATAATAAAACTATATAGTCTATGGTTATTTTTTTTTAGTATGCAAATACGACGATGGAATAAGAGGTTCAGGGTTCTTTCGAGATAATACCCGTAATAATTCTTTGTATGTTTTGTTATTGAGAAATTTGCAATTCAACAAATCTGTTCTTGGTGTCTCATTGTGCAAATATCTTGTATGTACCTTGCTACACGAATGGGTATTGTATTTAAAGGAAAATCATTTGAAAGCAACTGACAAGGTTGCTGATTAGTTACGTAAATGCGGGCTGTAATCTTGAAATTAATAAACAATACTCGTTAAATAACTACCAATTCTTTCCAATTCTAATAAGATAAATAACGCGATTTTGCAAAGTATGAAAGATAACCGCAATATTTCTTAAATTCTATGTCATTTATTTAGGTCTAATTTTAATATAGAAACTTCCGACGCGATAATTATTATGTTAATCGATACGTTATTACCAAACATTTGTCTGTCTGTCTGTCAGCAAGTCGCGTTTGTTCCGTCAATCTCCAAAACGGCTGACCCGATTTCGTCTGGACTTTCACTGAAGGGTAGCTGACATAGACGGGCATATTATAGGCTACTTATTTATCTTAATATTGCATGGACGAAGTTGCGGGCTATAGCTAGTCAACAATAAGATTTTACAAATTAAATTATTTGACATAGTTAAACGTTTGTTAGATGCTATCAAAAAGCAATTACTCGAACTTATGACGGCACAATTAATAATACTATATACATTCTCGAAATTTACTTCAAGAATTTGTTGCAAGGAAATGTTTCATATTTCCGCAATTCCTCGTCATGCATTAAAATATTCATGATTCATGTTTAGCTTTGGTAAAAATATCAACTTCAAACCCGACTGAATTGTGATTATGAAGCGTGAACAACTTATTGTTTACAGCCGTGCTAAATTATTGTTTTATATCGTCACAAGCAACTCACACGAATCGGTTACGGCTTCACATGAGTTTTTAAAAAACATGTATTTAATTGTTATGGTCACGTTAGCGTTCTTGAAACCAGGCAGACTATAACATTCTTTTTAAAACAGACGTAATGCACGATTCTTAAAAAAAAAGGAAACTTTTGAATTTATTAAACAACAAACAATTCCTTTGAGTTTTACTTTAGTTGACTCCTACAGTGTTAGAAATACCTTATTACTAATCAGTATTAACTAAAATTCAAGCAGTCGGTTAAAAATTTAGTCAGCTTTAAGAAATATCTTTTGTCCTCTTTCAGCCTTGCCATTTTAATATTGATCGTGACCTTTTCTTTATTAATGTTGTCACCACTGACATGGAAAGTGGAGGGAAAAATTGGAACACGATAAAATTAATCCCGCCAAATTGCATTTTGTATTCCACTTTGACGTTACCAGTTTTCAAATGAAAACTCGGCATTTATTAAATTGCTACATCGACATCTGGCATCGCAAATACGTGAAGTTAATTAAACCATCATCAATTTTAACACTTTGCTTTAGTTTTTTATTGTTTTCCCATTGAATTTAGTAATTGGTCGCATATTTACTTCAACTAACTGTAAATTTTAACCTACTTTGTGATAAATACCGTTACCTGTTTATTTTAGTAAAAAAAATCATTCCGAATAATTGTCCTCAATAAAGGAAATAGCTTATACAAGAGCGAAGCCAATTAAAATGATGTCTCGTCTAATAAAGCCACGGCGACATGCGACCGGCGATTGCAACAAATGAAGCCAGAAGCCCTATCAGAATTCGTATTTCCTCCGACGGCAAAAATACGATCAATAATGTTGTAAGGAATTTTTGCAGTATCAAATTTAGTAGGCGCTAAAACATAAAGTTTATCGTTCGTTTTACTTCTACTGCTACCCTATGACTTATTTAGCTGTGAAACATGGATATATTCATAGATTCTGTTTATCTTCAAAAAGCGTAAAAGAAGAAATTACTACAGAATTAAGAAGAATTCGAATCCTAATCCAAGAATGCTTATTCACTAAATCAGCGTTTCATGGTTTAAAGTTTGTGCAATAAACGGTTAATTAAAATTATAGGGGCATAGCGATAATGCTATCTCGTAAATAAAACGATTATTAAATTTAATAGCATATAATTATACTGATATTAAAATAATGACGTCTCTGGTGGTTTTTTTTTTAAATAAATAAAGCAAAGACACGGCGTGAAGATAATCGATACTGATAAAAAACTTATGTTTTTACACGTGAAATGTCATGAAAATGCCATAAAATAAGTTAAAAAATCCCAGAGTTTTTAAAGCTATGATGATATCGAGAATTTCGTCTAAATTTCGTCGCTACCAAAAACCTTGACTCCAATTACGAAGGTACAAAAATGCAAAGTGACAAACAGTTCAAATGTTTACTGAGCTGATAAAATCTGTACCCACTTGTAATTAAACAAACGATACGGTTTGCAAATTCAATTTTATAATGCATTCGTTCAATATAAATTGGACTGAAAAATTAAACTGATTACCCATTATTGCATTAAAAGTAGTCTGATTGAAATGGACTTTACTAGGAAGATTATTTTTAACCGGACAAATAATTTGAATCAAAAGATTTTAAAATAAGGTTTGGATGAACGATTGATTTGTAGACCTTAGACTCGTTTCTCCTTTAAAAGATAACCTCTAAATATAAAAAGGATGAGCTCAGCTTTAAAATTGTATGTTTAAGTAGTTACGTTGCGAATGAGTTTATTTTTAAATTTTTGCTGACCGTACGCCTTATCTAATGCAGTATTCGCGGGAATATCTCTTATGCGTATGCTCCCGTGTGTGTAGACGTGTTTTCTATTAGATTAAGTATAAAATATACAATATTTTTACATTTAAATTTGAGTTATGATGCGACGTTTCGATAAACTCTTGGATTCAGTGAAGAACGCGGTACCGCAAAGAGTTTATTCGACGTTTACAGATTTGATTGGTGATTGTGATCATTTATTATCTTGTTGTTTTTAAATAGGTGATTTTATAGAACTAGCGAATATTGAGAAAGGTCCTTTTTAACTTAACAAAATTAAACCAAAGACTAATTTGAAATTGGATGTTATAAATAAGAGTAATATTGGTTCAATATTAACTTTGTTGCCAACTATAAACATCGCTGTCGTGTTCTACCATCTTTGGTTGGAAAGAAACGAACATATGCAATAAATTCGATGTTTGTTATAAGACACACGGGCGGGCACAGATGGCGCCGGCGAAGCGGGCTCGCTGGACATGGGCAGCCGGTCTTCTCTGCACACCGGCCTGCAGATGTCCGAAGACGAGCACTGGGAGATGAACTATCATGAGGCAGCTATATATTTAGAGGTTAGTTTGAGACATGAACAAGCAAACATGGCGCCACTTGATAGTCTATTTTTTTTAAAGATTTTATGGCCTTTGAAGAGTCTATTCAGCCAAGTTATTTTGGAACGCAAGAATAAAATCAATTAATAAAAACAAAGGACTCTACGTATGAATCATAATATTCCAGGAAGGCTTAAACAATGAGAAGTTCGACTCTCATCCATCCAGTCCTGAGGAGCTACCGGCGTATCTAAGGGTACACAACCCCTGGTACCACGGCTTAGACCTGCTCGCATCCCTCGTGCTCATCCTGCTAGCTTTCACTGAGGACCCAGCAGTACCTGCTTTTGAGGTAACTGTAACTGTAAACAAACTTTTTTATACAAGAAGGCAAAGAAGCAAGCGCCTTTTGAACTAAGTGAAGTGACCGCTGTCCATAGACAATTACATCAAGTTTAAAGGATTTTTGCTATTGGGATATTTAGATTAGAACATTATCACTTAATAATTGCTTATGTTTTAGTTACCAGTGTGGGCGCACGGCACTATAGAGCTACTAGCTCTGACCATAATTGGAGTGGAACTGCACCTTAAGCTAAAATGGATAGGCTGGAGCACCATACTCAAACATAAAAGGACTATGATTAAGGTAAGAAAATCTGTTACATATTTGACTTTACGGCGAAGAAGCGTTATAATTTTATGTGCTTCTGGAATGTTCTTTTATAAGCTCTTACTGTTTTACTTTCGCGATATTTTCATCTTGCTACTCTATTCTTGTGTCTATTCGTTATTAGAATTAAGAGAGTTGTGTGACAATTTAAATAACTGAAAATAGATCGATCCGGAGGACGGAAGTCTAATGCGTCCCAAATAAAGTGTGATAAGAACAGGACGATGTACCTATCTTCTTCACTCATTTATAATATCCGTACCAGCTTACAGACGCATCTACCATACATATATTTGTCTCTTTCTCACTCATCTTTGTTCGTATTTCAGGGTATAACGTTATTAATAATGGTGCTAGAAGCGGTGGTAGTTGTATGCAGACAGTCGTCTCACTTCCGCGTGACGCGAGCATTGCGTCCAATATTTCTGGTGGACACGCGGCACTGCGGCGGCGTGCGACGGTTCATTCGGCAGATTTTACAGTCGTTACCGCCTATATTGGATATGTTAGGTGAGTTTTACAACAAATAGTTTTACAAGTAGAAGTAGCAATATTACAACAGAAGTTTTACAAGTGGCAGTACCAATGTTACAAAATAAGTTTTACAAGTAGTAGTATCGATTTTACAATCGGGTTTTAAAGAAATCAGTAGCAATTTTACTGCTAGCAGTTTAACAGCAGAAAAAGATATTTTATACCAAGAAGTTTGAGGATACATGGTAGTACAGGCAATTAATAAATTTAATTTTACAACACGAAGTTTGACAATAAGCAGTTTTACAATACCAACACTACCGTAATTTTATCAAAGTGTTTAATCATTTTTTCAATTCCAGGTCTTTTAATGTTCTTCGTGGCGACATATTCGTTACTCGGATTCTATTTGTTTTCCGAACACATTGACAACGGCCACTTCAAAACTATTAGCGACTCCTTCGTCAGCATGTTCGTTCTATTAACAACTGCCAAGTAAGTCACCGAAAAAATTAATTAAGTTAGAATTTTAATGGCTTTTTAAATATTTTTACATTTAATTTTAATTTTTAGTTTCCCTGATGTAATGATGCCTTCGTATGCCAAGTCCAAATGGTACGCTGTCTTCTTTATCCTGTACATCATCACTGTATTATACGTGCTTATGAATTTGGTAAGTTATCGACTTTAATCATCACCTTTCTGCTTATCCTACTCCCGTAGGGGCGCAACATGTTTTTGCCCTCCACATAACTCTATCATACGTCATCTGTCATCACTGCCTTTTTGATCATGTCACCTTTTACGCAATACATCCATCTCTTTCTATGTCTACCTCTTCCAGTGTACCACACTCATAACTAACATCCTCCTTGTAACGTACGATTCTTCCCTTCTCATAACATGTCCATACCATGCTAACCTTTTACTCCTTACCTTCACTTTAATATAACCTAAAAATATTTTTTCTTTATTTCATTGTAATTTTGCATTCTAAGCGGTATAAATGTTTCAATGGTTGCGACGCCTACAAACCACGTAATTGGTTTGGCGGGAATGTGTTTTATAACCTAACATATATGTTATTGTATAATTTTGTAATATTTTTGAAATAGAGAATTTAAAAAATCATATGTACCTTACAGAGACATTTAAATATATGACAAAGTATAGTGAACATTTGCATATTTCAGATGTTAGCCGTAGTATACGAGACGTTCACTCGTATAGAAAGAGAGAAATGCCGCGCGTTGTTGTTGCACCGGCGCGTGGCCGCTCGCCGCGCCTTCCGCCTGCTGGTGTCGCGCCGCGCGCCGCGCGCCGTGCGCCTCAGGCACTTCGCCGGACTTATCCGACACTACGCACCACACTATAGTCAGTATACATGTGCCTGTTTGAAGCTTCATTTTTGTTCCTTTCCCTTTTAGGAAAGTGGTAGGAAGTCTAGATTTGACAGAGTTATACAGGAAGAGGAAATAACTTCTATCGATGCCTCATTCATAAGTAGATTAAAATGCATCTGAAATTACGGATGTCAATGGACAGCGGTCTAAAACTAAATGTGCTTGTGTTTGCCTTCGGAAAGGACATATACGATATTAGGAGCCACATTTGGCATTTTGGCCAAGTTAAAATGACAAACACGACAATATTAAACCTTAATGACATGATGTGAAAAACAATTAATAAAAAAATCTACTGTACTAGTTTAGAAAAACACGTGAGATTTTGATTTTAGTGTGTTGGCATTTGTTTTATATCATAAGGTGGCAAACGAGCAAACGGCCACCTGTATCCGCCAAACTGGCGAAGCGACCGCTGCCCATAGACATTGGCCACAACGAATGCGTTGCCTACCCTGAAGCGACGGACGATGAGACGCATATAAGAGGATGTTTCCCTTCCCTATGCGTTTCCTCTATCGACAAATCCACGTTCCCTTCCCATCCTTTTCTTAGGGACTTAAGTTGAAAAGTGTGAAAGTTAAAATTTAGTGTGTTGGTAACCTATCAAATTTTGTATTCTACAAAACTGTCAAATGTTTTTCCAGGCATTGTTATGTGTGTACATTTGCAGGCGGGCTGGACGTGTACCTGATGTTCAAGCAGCTGAGCCAGTCGGGCGGCGGCGGGCTGTCGCGCGCGGAGTTCGCCAACGTGTACGAGGTGTTCGCGCTGCGCTGGGCGCCGCAGTCGGGCCGCGCGCCCTGGTACGCCGCCTCCGCGCTCGAGCCGCTCGGCCGCGCCGCCGCCGCCGCGCTGCGCTGGCCATACTTTGAATATCTTATATGTGAGCACTTTTTTATTTTTTCCTTTATGGCTAAGTGTAAGTTCGACTTCTTATTTCATTAATGAAAACTCAAACGTCTGTTAGGATTTGTACATTTTCGAACTCTTATCACAGTCCCAAGTGTGTTTGAGTTTTTATCACAATCCCAAGTGAGATCGAGTTCTTACCAAAGTTCTAAATGTGTTCGAGTTCTTACCACAGTTTCAAGTGTGTTCGAGTTCTTACCACAGCCCCAAGTGTGTTCGAGTTCTTACCACAGCCCCAAGTGAGTTCGAGTTCTTACCAAAGTTCTAAGTGTGATCGAGTTCTTACCACAGTTCCAAGTGTGTTCGAGTTCTTACCACAGCCCCAAGTGTGTTCGAGTTCTTACCACAGTCCCAAATATGTTCGAGTTTTTACCACAGTACCAATTGTGATCGAGTTCTTACCACAGTCCCGAATGAGTTCGAGTTCTTACCACAGTCTTGAGTAAATTCGAGTTCTTGTCACAATGGCAGAAATATGAATGTGTAGATGCATGGCTGTTTATCGCGTAACTTCAGTACGCTACGTTAAATGTAGATGAAGGTGCAGGTACAGAATATAGTCTGAAAAAAAGCACGCTACTAAATAACGATTTTTAAATATAGTTTAATTTTTATGTTGTCGCAGATGCATTGATAGTTGGCAACGGCGTGTCGCTGGTGCTGCGCGTGTGCGAGGCGGCGGGCGACCTGCAGGACAGCGCGCGGCTGCTCTGCGCCTCCTGGGATACCTGGCTTTTCCTCACATGTAATATTTATTCAATTAAAATTTAGCGATAAAATATAATATCGTTTATACAACGTTTATCGAATAGGGTATGGGGGTATTTCTTTTAATATTACGAATTTACCATTGGGTCGATCGATCCGTGATTGATGGGTCCAATGGGAAAGGATTTGATGAGAAAGTAGATAGGTGAAGACATGTACGCAAAATATACTTTTTATGTACGTCTCCTGCATCGTCTATTAAGGGTAGGCAACGCAACGGCAGTTGCGGATGTCTATGGGCAGTCACTTCGCCATATTGGCGGATTCATATGACTGCCCATTAAAAAACATATTAATCGCGACTTTGAATTTTTTTATTTGATAGATGATGATTTGAATGGATGGATGGATATATGTTTGTTAGAGTTTATAGTATAAACTGCTGAACAGATCTCGATGAAGTTTGGCAAAGATGTAGCGGATAGTCTGGAAGAAAGTACAGGCTACATACTTTTCTTTTTTTTAATTACACGCATACGGAGTCGCTAGCGAAAGCTAGCATAGATGAAATAGCAATTAGTAGGGGTGATGTAAAAATTTATGCTATACTAGCTTTCGCCCGCTGCTCCGTCCGCGTGGTATTGCAAAAAAAGGAGCCTATGTGTTCTTCTAGACTGTCCTCTACATGTATGCCAAAATTGAGATCCGTTTAGCAGTTTCGGCTACAAACTCTAACAAACATCCAGCTATCTAAACTTTCACATCATACTAATACGAGTACTATGAATGCGAAAGTTTAAATGGATGGATGTTTGTTAGAGTTTGTAGCCTAAACGGCTGAACGGATTTCGATGAAATTTGGTATAGATTTAGAGGATAGTTTGGAAGAACACATAGGCTATTCACTTTTTTTTTTTAATCCACGCGGCCGGAGTCGCGGGCGAAAGCTAGTTTATAATATTAGTATGGTAATGTGTGTGGTCAGTGTTCCTGGTGGAGGCGTGCCTGCGCATGCTGGCGAGCGGGCTGGCCGCGTACCTGGAGAGCGGCTGGAACGTGTTCGACCTCAGCGTGACGCTGCTCGCCCTCATGGGCGCCGTGCTGCTCAGCATCGCGCCCAAACTATTCATTGTCGTTATATTCAGGCCGCTACGGTGAGTGTCCTTTTACTATACTCTGTCTAAATAAAATTCGTTTGATAAATGATATATTAAGTATGGAATTAGATTTGTATGCAGGTAAATGCAGATCTTAATAGACAATTCGTTGTGACGAAAGAAACACGCACAGCGAACAACTATGAACTATCGATATTCGGTTTATATAAAACTAGTTTTCGCCCGCGACTCCGTTCTCGCGGAATTAAAAAAAAAGGAAGTTGACTATCTGTTCTTCCAGACTAATATGTATATGCCAAATTTCATCGACATCCCTTTAGCCGTTTAGGCTACAAACTCTAAAAAATATCCATCCATCCATCTAAACTTTCGCATTTATAATATTAGTAAGATTTATCGAATTTAACTAAAATAATTATTAACTTATTAACTAATTTGGGGAAAATTTTAGTGTTGAATATAGTGTAGAGATGCGATGACAATAATAATAGTGAAATCCTGGATTATGTAAGACTATAGTAGTAGTAAAGAATGTATGGTGATACGAGCTGTTGCCCGCGAATTCGTCCGCGTGGTATTAGAAAACATACGAACTATATAAATTACAAAAAGCGACGTATCCCTTGGGAACCGGACACCTCGGGGATGAACCTCATTCTATGTGTACTCCAGACTTTGTTTTATATCTGTGCCAAATTTCAATAAGATATGTTGAACCGTTGCAGAATGATCGAGTGAACATTAAAAAACTAAATTAATGAATCCCACGGGAACCTTAACTATTCCCAGGATAAAAAGTAGCCTATGTGTTCTTCTAGACTATGCTCAAAACCTGTGCCAAATTTCATGGAGATCCGTTCAGCCGTTTAGGGTACAAACGCTAACAAACATCGATCCATCCATCTAAACTTTCGCATTTATAATATTAGTAAGATTTAGGGGACAATTCTTGTGTTGAATATAGTGTAGAGATGCGATGACAATAATAATATCGAAATTCTGTAGTAAAGACTGTAGTAGTAATAAAGAATGTATGGTAATATGTGTGTCCGTCACCGTCAGTCTGATGCGGCTGTACAAGCTGAAGAAGCGTTACCGCGACGTGTTCGGCACGCTGGTGCTGCTGTCGCCGCTGATGTCCTCGGCGGGCTGCGTCATGCTCGTCATGTACTACTTCTTTGCGATCATCGGCATGGAACTCTTCGCGGGATACGATCTCAAGAACTGCTGCGTGTATGTTTTTTCTTTTAAATCAACATCTTCAGACTCTTGGTCTGTACTCTTTGGTGCACTGTTTATAACTTTTTTTTCTTTTTTTTGTTGCGTAATCCTTCATCATCTCCCCTGCCTTATCCTACTCCCGTAGTGTCGGTGCACCGGGTTTTCGTCCTCCAAAGCACACTATCATCCGTCATCTCAGTCATCACTCCCTTCTTCATCTTATCACCTTTCACGCAATACATCCATCTCTTTCTAGGTCTACCTCTACCGGTGTACCTCCACATTCATAACTAACGTCCTTCTTGTTACATGCGATTAATCCCTTCTCATAACATGCCCATACCACTCTAACCTTTTACTCCTTATTTTCTCAACTTTCTTTTTCCTTGTTGCGTAATTCTTGTGCTACATTAATGAGTTTTTTATATATGTATGTGTTTTTGTGTCTTTTTATCCATTACTTTTAATGTATTTTGCATCTCCTTTTTTGGTATAATATTTTAAGTTATACTAAAAATGAGACGATATTTTCTTGAAAACAAGTCTCCGCAAGCAAATAAGGCAACACTGAGTGCTTATTTCCAGCTTATTGTTATTTCCAGTAACACAACGGTGGAGGACTTCTACAAGTACTCCGAGAACAGTTCGACGGCGCTGGGCTACTACTACCTGAACAACTTCGAGAACATCCTGACGAGCGGCGTGTCGCTGTTCGAGCTGACGGTCGTCAACAACTGGTTCATACTGATGAACGCGTACGCCACCGTCGCCGGACAGTTCAGCAGGCTCTACTTTATGGTATGTCTATACTTTTATACTAATATTATAAATACGAAAGATTTGTATTTTTATGTTTTTGTATGTATTGAAATAACTTAAAAATGTATTGGGCCGATTTCAAAAATTCTTACACTCTTAAAAAGCTACTTTATCGCTGAGTAACACAGGCTTTTTTTGTTTTCTTTTACATTTTTATATTTTATGTAGACGATGTCGCAAGCAACTATCTATACTAATACTATAAAGAGAAAATATTTGTATTTTCGTATGTATTTCATTCACGTAAAACCACTGGGGTGATTTTAAAAAATCTTTCACCGTTAGAAAGGTAATTTATCTGTGTGTAAAATAGGCTGTATTTTTTATTTTCAAGCAGACGAAGTCGCGAGAAATAACGGGTTTACTAAATTTTATCTCAAATCGACATTTAATTTATAAATCTTGTTTTTGAGGCTGCATGTGACAGATAAGTTAGTGAGATGATAGTCTATCTTTATTGTTGTTTTCTATTATTCATGAGATTTGCTAGTAAAGTAATATGTTTTCTTTGCAGGTATTCTATCTGTTTACGATGGTGGTGCTGACCATCGTGGTGGCGAGCGTGTTAGAGGCCTTTAGATTTAGGATACAGTACAAACGTAGTACTACTAAAAGAGATGGTATGTATAACCGCACCCAGAATCTGTACTATTATAATAAAGCGTAAACACACACTTCTTTGTTGCCTAAGATGTCAGCAATTACACCATATTTTGAATAATTATCTTTTTAATAAAAAGCCCTACACTTACGTTTTGCTTTAGGCTATATATTTCACGCCAATAAACTTAGGGGGTAAATATTTTGGATAAAAACCCTAACATGGGAGAGAGACCATAAGTTGCTGCCAACATAAAGAAAGCAAGCTTGTCATCATGTCATGTCATTTTGACATTTGTAATTGATAATTTGACAAATGTAAACAGCAAAATAAATTTTTTATAATTTCATGCGGATGAAGTCGCAGGGGAACAGCTAGTCTTTAAATATAAACTAAACCTGTCTCTTAATGAAGATTTCTATTAAACGAGCTATTCTCGTTTTATCCGCATGAAATTATAAAATCGTTATTTTATTGTTTAATTGCATAATGACAACGAAGGCCTTTGACATTGGATAACAATTACCGTTACCATAAACTTGCATCCTTGACGGTCCCGTTCCCCACATGAATGTTTTTTTCAATTTATTTACCCCCTAATTTTAATACAGCAAACATGTAGCCTAAAGCGTTTCGTAAGTGTAGGACTTTTTAATAATAAAGGAAAATTCATCCTATGTAACTAAGTAATGTGTGTTTCAACGGAGGATCCAGGGCCGGTCAAGAACCCCCCCCCCCTGAGGTGGTTGGTCAAGAGCTTGACAAAATTACTTGACCACGACTATGTGACCCCCCTCCCCGGCGCCAAAACTGGATCCTGCCTTGGTGTGTTTATGCTTTATTATATTAAGTATGGATAAAGATAGAAATTCCGAATGTGCTGTACGATGTTGAAAAATACAATTAATATATTTTTATTATGTTTTAAACACAACTAATGATTTCAGAGGAGAAGTTACTTCATGAAGAAGTGCATACAAACTGGGAGGAGGCGCAGCGGCTCGGCGTCAGCGGGGACCTGGCGGACGAGTTGAGGCCTTTCTTACCTCCAGGAGTAAGTTATTTATACTAATAATAGGGAAAATTCGTATTTTTATATGTAATGAATTTTAAAAACCAATTTCAAGATACTTTTACCATTATCTGAGTATTTTCTTACTAATATTATAAAAGCAAAAGTTAAAATGTATGTTTGAGTTTGCCGCCTAACTTTTTGAATGAGTCATAGATGTAGAACATAGTCTGGAAGCATATATAGGCTGCTTACTTTTGTTTTTTTTTTTTAAATCTATGCAAATGGAATTGGAAAAGCAAGGACAGGCTATAGTTTTTAAATGATTTTTAATTCCGTGCAAATATAAGAGAGAGCAACAACAAGTAACACTTTTAAAAATAATGCTTATAATGCGATATGGTTAATTTTTATTGTTTTTTTAATAATTTAAAATGTGTAGGTGGATGTAACGTTCATCGGTTCCCGGCCTCGTACGAAGGAGGTGCTGCAGCGGCGCATGTACCAAGCGGATATACAGAAATGGCTGTCGGAGGAAGACGAAAGCGAAGGTAAATATTTTATTTATTACTAATTAGCTTTTCCCTGTGTCTCCGTCCGCGTGCAATTAACAAATACAAAAGTGAGTAGCCTATGTGTTCCAGACTATCCTCTACATCTATGCCAAAATTCATCGACATCCGTTTAGGCTCCAACAAACATCCATCCATTCATCCATCTTTAATTTTAATTTATAGTTACTAATTAACAGTAAGTCTAATTTTTCCTGTAATTTATATGGCTTCTTTCTGTTGTTAAATATACCTGAAAGGGAAGGCATTGGCTCCTTCAGCACGGGATTTCCTAGTTAAGGGGCCAAAGCCATATTGATCCTATAAACAATGATTATTCAATAAATAATATTATTATTATTATTATAACTATCTAAACTTTGGCATTTATAATATTAGTTACATTGTATTGGAGTGTAAATTTTATTTATATGACATTATTTCCAGATTTGCCTCCATCTACGACAGTGACGTCGAGCGAGGACCCGCTGTCGCCGCCGCTGGCGCAGGCTGACGGCGACCGGCAGCTGCGCCCCGGCTACCAGTTGTAGGACTTGCTGCTGCTCGCCTTACGCCACAGACTGCTCCCGCTCTGGGAAGCTTACAATACTATGTGATAGTGATTAGTGCAAGTGAAGTGATTTTAGTGTATCTGTGACAATGTGACAGGTATGTTTACAATTTTGAGGTTATGTTTTCGTTTGAGCCAAATTGTCTTTGGTCTCAGCCCTTCTAGGTTACCCGATTCATGTTTTTTCGTAGAATATGGCTATAAAAGTATTTTTTAGTTGATCTTTGACTATTCCTTATTATGATTACTTAATTTTTTTATTGAACCGATTTATTAGCAAAACTAATTAAATCAATAAATTGTATAGATTAAGATGAAAATTATTCTCATCGAAATAATTGTAAATCACATGACTATATTAGTAAACAATTCTTACTAATGGATATTACCCATAAATCCATTTTAGTTATAAGGAATTGAGTCTGCAATAATCTGGTATTGACTACAGAAGGCCCTAATCACCTACAGCCTTACAAATAAACGCAGTATAAAGTAAAACTTAGGAATAAACTGAATATAACATCATCATCAACTTGCCCTTATCCCTTACAGAGGGTCGGCATAGTATATGCTGCTCTTCCATACATCTCTATCAGCCGTCATATCTGAAACCACACCTTGCTTAAGCATATCCTCTTTCACACAATCCATCCATACTTTCTTTGGTCTTCCTCTACCTTTGTAGCCATCCACATTCATTCCTCAATGCTACAGCACACTGTAATAAAGTTTTGGCTTCTGAATATAACATATAAGTAAATATTAGTACAAATTTTGGTCATACTCAGTTTTAAATTGTACCGCGTTTTTTTGTAAGGCTTGTATTTAATTTCACTTACGCGTACCGGGTCAAATAAGTTAATTGAACTATACTTAGAACTCACTAAATGTAGGTAAATATTAAAGAGGTAACTATAATTATAATGCTTTAGGCTTAGCTAAATTAACTATAACATCTGTGATAGAAATGTATAATAGCGAGGCTTGATCGAATTTCTTTTATTTAAAGCCGATGAGATTTAAGTCAACTTTTAAATTGATATTATAGTTTTGTTTTCATTTGCTAATGTTATTTAGAAAATGTAATTTATAACTTGATTTTTTAATTCATATACTATTTTCTCTTGTGGTTTTGCTTTTTTTTTAATATTTTTGACACTGGCAACCAATGATATTAACACCAATATTTCTTATAGGATAATGGTTTAATTTAGATGTAACATATATTGTATGTAATTGGCAAAGAGTAGATATTTATTCAATTTTAAAGATAAGGCAACACCTTTTTAGAATAATATCGACATATATTGGAATTGTAAATAAGACTTGAAGGGAAATGTTTTGACAAGAGAAAGTATATAGTTTAACCAAGAATACAAAGATCCTATGCTGTCGGCGATTCATACACCATATTAAAAAAAAAACTTTTTAATGTTTGGAATAAGTTCCATGTATTTCCGCAAAATTGTAAGGATTTTTATATTGCTGGTCAGACTGTAATATTTATATGTTGGCACCATTGTTCTCGTATGAAAATTATCCAATTTGAATTAATTATAGATGCTAAAACCACTGGCGTCAATGCCAATGGCGAAAATCAAGTAGGCACAAAACATCCTAATTACAGCCTACTCTCTGGACTATAGAGATGTAGGAACAATGTATTATGTATACTTTGGCTGAGTAAATTTTTTAAGAGTTTCTAGGGAAAAAAAACATACTGTACAATAGATGCTTGATTATTAGGAATATATATTGTTTTTCTCATAATATTCCAAATAGAATTCACTTGTTTTTTTGCTAAATGAAATAAAAATACTGGATCCAAAGTTAAATGTTGTAATAAGATATGTGTATTGTACATTTAGGGATAGATAAATGGTGCTTTTGCTTATTAGAAAACATGCCAAAAAAAATAGGAAAAACAATGTTAGGCAGATAACACCAAATTTGACTTTAAAATTTTAAAACTTTAGTTAACAAATTTGTTTATTTCTAATTGTATTAACTATGATATTGACTTTGTACTTTCATATTTTTTAATATTACCATAAATTATTTTGAATTTTTTTTAACCGTAAAATATGGTCTTTTCAAATTTATAACTGCAAATTAAATGTCGTAGATATTATTTAAACAATAAGTATAAAGTAACTATTCTGTACCAAATTCTCTAAATATAATTTGTCTATGTTTCAAGGTTATATAGCCTAAGCAACAATATAAAAATCTTTGCATGGGGGCGCTACAATCTTTATTAATGCATCTCATATGCGCAAATAAATTAGTGCCATATTTTTCCGCAATATGGCGAGGGTTTTTATATTAATGTTAAGTTATAATAATTTTGAATACACTCAAGTTGTTTGCAGTAACTGACTTTCCACTGCCAAGATACCTAAACAATTATCGTTTAACTTTTTTTGTTTCAATTTAAATAAGAGACAATATTATTGTACAAATGTTTCGGCAGAAACTCGGGATAAGACAGTATGTTGACATTTTTTCTTAATTTATTTGAGTTTTATAATAATTGACTACTTAAATATCTGTATAGTTAAGGTCTTAAAATGTATGTCGCCATTGTAATGAATATAGGAATGAAATTCTTGCTTTATACTTTCTGGGTTTCGTTTGGTAAAAATTATACAAAATATCAACGTAAGTTCTAGAAGTAATTAGTGATGTTTATTTGTATTTATTTGGCCCACTACCAATAAATATTCCGTTTGTTGAACTATAATTAAAATATTTTTATTTTTTAATAATTTTGCTACATTTACATTCCTTCATCATTCTTTGGTTGATACTAAATATTTTAAGCAGTTTTCATGCAAATGTTTTTTTACTATATCTCTCTTATATTGGTAAGTAAGAAGTGCCTTTAGTCCAATTTGCAGTTCTGTACAGATTGTTTTTTTTTATTTTTATGACAAAAGTAATTTTTGTTTTTTATTTATTAATTTTATTGTGATTATATTTTGAGATTTTATTTATTTTCGTTAAGTTATTTGTAACAGTATTAAATGATTTTAGGGCTTTATTAAATTAAAAATAATTTACTCATTTATCGAATTGTAGTTATCTAAGTATTGTGAAGATAATAAATTAAAAGGAATAAACTGAGTTTTATTGTTCATCCTAATTCCATTGATAACATCTTCAGACATTAAAAACATAGTTGGGTGAAATAAAAACAGTAAATACATAAAAGCTTTTATTACGATATTATGCGTTCATGTATATTATTATGCTTAAATACAACTTGTAAAGTCTAAGAAAATTACTAAAACCAACCTAAAAACTTTACGAATAACCTTATCACAAAAAAGGGAATGTTTAAGAAAATAAATTATTCGAGCCACAATCAATACCAAAAAAGCATAAAAAAAAAACATTTCATACTCCATCTGAAATGTCATTTTTGACAGTTACATTTTTAAATAGACAAAGGCATTACTTAATTCTGCCACTAGAAACGTAAAAAGTGTAAAAAAAGTAAATCGTAGTTTCATATTTTAACACAAACACCAGGACCACCGACCACAGTGTCTGTAACTTTGAAACCGTTTTCTTGAAGTTGAGTTTTCAAGGATGTTACTGCGGTTTCTTCTGTATATGGAGGTATCAAAACGATCGCGTTTCTGGAAAATATAAAGACGCTATTATTGAAACATAACCAATCTTACTTTTTACTGATATTATATATGCAAAAGTTTATTTGGATGGTTGTTAGAGTTGAACGGATCTCGATGAAATTTGTCATAGGTGAAGAGGATGGTCTGGAAGAACATAGGCTACTCATTTTTTTCTTAATTCCAAACAGACGGAGTAACTGGCGAAATCTAGTAATAAGTAAATGTAGTAATTATTTTAAAAATGTGTTGTTACCCTCCGCCGCCCGCGCCTGTGAGCTTGCAGGGCAGGTGCCGGCTGCGGGCGGCTCCGCGGATCTCCTCCAGCGCGGGATGAGACACGCCCAGCGACGCCAGCAGGCAGTGGTTCATCTCCCATAGCTCCTGCTCGGAATTAGTTAATTTTCTTTTTTTATTGCTTGATTAGACTTGGCCAGTAGCAGAAGCAATGTAGATTGTATGGCCAATGCCAGGTAGCGTTTACATCATGCCAGTCCAGTTATTGCACCGCGGATCAATGTTGTTTACCCATGGTGTTTTAAGCAGTTTTAGATATATCAGTAGTAAATTAAGATTATTACAGATTATGAAATTTTTGGTAAATATTTTATGAAATACGTACATTTAAATGTTTATAGATGGAGACGACCTCTTCTTGAGATTCCGTTTGTGATAAGTTGTTCAGCAGCTGAAAGAGAGGTATTAATAAAAAACCTTCAAAGTTGGTTTTCTTAGATTTATATCCTTTCCCTATCCTTTGTGATAAAATGCGGCTATAAGCGTGCGAGTCATATTTACGAGAACTAAAGTCACTTTGCAGATTTTTGCTCTGAAACTCATTGTACATTTCTGTATTCAATAAACATCGAAGTCTTCTTACCTGAGCTGCACTAATAGCTACATTATCCATAGCATCCATAATGTGGTCGACAGCGTTAGTGTTGGTTACCCGGAGCGCTGCCACAGCCTCGATCAGGCGGCTGGTCTCGCGCGCCACGCCGGAGTCCACGAGCAACACGCGCAGCTCGGGGCTCGCACACAGCGTGGGAACTTCGCCCTTTCTGAACGATACCAGCGCACCAAAAGTACACGTCGTGTTGTCCACGCCTGGGGGTGTGGGAGTATATTGCTAGTGTAAGCCGATGGGGTTGAGACATGCGTTAAGAAAAGAACGCGGTGTGCTTAAGTTATTGTTTGTTGCGATCGAAATAAAATAGAAATATGTCGAATTTCATATACGACGGCCATTATGGTTATTCTAGTTTTCTATTGAATTTTGAACATTTTGCGAATTTTTTAAGATAAAATGTCTGTCGTTTTGAATTCGTATAGTACAAACAGTCCCTGTATAGTTATATAAGTAGTTTAAATTTGATTAAAAATCATTAATTTTGTTGGATTTGATATTAACATATAATAATCTAATTATTTGATACAGTTTTCCTGTAAAAAGTATTTGTTACATCCCAAATTCTACGATTATACGACAAAAAGAGCAGGGTGATAGGCACTTATTGAGCTAGCGCGCTCTATCCTTCGGCCGCGTCTTCATTTAGGATAGGTGGAGTCGTGGTCAAGCGCTGGTTTATTTATGTTAAAAATTATTAAAGTATAAAACTTCGAAAACACTCACCAGAGGGCGTGCCATGCGTGATCCTCTCGCACTTATACGCCCAACCGGACACCAACTTCTTCTCATCTTCATTAAATTCAAGAACCTTGCCAATGGTCTTCATTTGCACCAGTTTCACAAACACACCGCAAAGACAAGTCGCAAATGACGCGGAGCTTCCCGTGCCAGCGCCAACAGTCAACTCCGTATTCATTTCTAACGAAAAATCCATCACATCCAAATTCGCTGTACCATAAATACCCGCCAAAGAGTACAAAAGTGCTCTCAATGAATTCTTCTGTGTATTATGAAGTTCCTCGAAACCGGGACGTATCTCGTTTAATAAGTTATTGATTTTATTCATATAAACATCGTGGTCCACCCTAACAGGTTGGCCCGGGAACAAATGCTCGGCGATTGGTTTTAACGGCAATATCTCGTTTAGTTGTACATTTGGGAATTTTACATGCATTTTAGGATTCTCTGTTGCCGGTAGTTCCTGGAAATGGTTATTAAAGTATTTTTTTTAATTCAAGGCATACATTTTAAAAATTAGGCTTTAGTGATTGAATGCAGTTTCAGTTTTCAAGGAGAGTAATAATAGAAAGGGAATAACACTTCTTCAGCTGATTCTATTAATTTCCTCTAATTTGATTTTTTTTTAAATACTCGTTATTTATTTACGAACACACGCGAGCATCTAACAGCCACAACAGCACACAACAGCCTTCAACTCTTTTTCGGCGATCGCGGACCCTTGCTTTATCAAAATGGAACTCCTGTGGACCACTGAGTTCCCCTTGACAAATTAGAATCATTGACCCATATCAAAGCTTCTTATTTTTGTTACGTTTCTACCATCAATTCAATTAACAATTCATAATTGTATGTCAGATACCGTTCGTTATTTTATTTTCTTTAATTGCTCACAAGTATACAAACATCTCTAGTATTATATAATCTATTGTAATCTGCATAAAAGACGAGGTCAAACGTGAAAAATGTCTTACACTGCGGAGTGATTTTAAAAATAAAATAAAAAAGTTACCTTGAGTACAACAGTAGATCTTAATCCCAAACTGACCGCTAAAGCAGTCTTGCCATACATCACCGAGTGTTCACCATGTAGAATTATTTTCCCGGGGGACGATACTTCAATTCCCTCCATTTTTTCTATCACAAGATTTTTTTACACTCGCAAGTCACGTGATCAGGTTTAAAGAAGGTTAAATTAAAACCACAGAGTTTATATCATGCTATTGTAATAAATAAATAGTTTTTACGACTGTTGTTTCCACTGTTCCACGGTTAGCGTCTTCTGCGTGAACGCGTGTATCGACTTCAACTCCTCTTGCAGCACTGAGTTAACCAGCCTGTGGAACGAATAGCGGTTATTTTTTTTTGTCGTAATTTTAATGCAGCCAGTAATAGTATAAATTCCATGCAACCAGTTTATCAGCATATTTATTATTTGAATAAAAAATCTAACATTTGGCTGAAATTTAAAAAAAATAGTTTATTGAATTCTAGATTTCTAGAAGCCATTTAGCACTTTTTTGAAAGCCATTCTATTAGGCTATAAAGATAATTAAGTCACAAATTAATAGCGCAAAATCTACAAAAGATACTGAAACAATTTATTTTGCATTGTGTTTATTATTACAAAGAGGCTTATTTAACCGTATCCAAATATTTATTTAAGACAATAAAAGTAATAATATCCGATTGTAATGAATTGATGTCCGGTCGATGTTTAACATAAGGTATCCACTGCTATTAAAAACAGATTCTTAAATACTAGCTGTTTCCCGCGACTCCATCTGTGCGAAATTAAAAAAATAACATCTTTAGTAGCCTACGTATTCTCCCAGAAGTTATTTCAGCGATCCGTTGAGACGTTCTAAAAATACGTAGTAAACAAACATCCATCCATCCATCTATATAAACTTTTGAATTTGTTTCATCAGAAGTAAGATTTTATTGCTTTATCTGTAAGTTATAATAAATTTAATATTTCTGATGAAATAAATAAAATGTCTAGATAGATCACTGATAAATAAATTTTTCATTTAAAAGAAAAATTATCATATGTATACAAAATCTACATAATACCACATAAAGTACGCATAAATATATACATAGTTATGCCACACAGTCATTACAATGCGACCTCAATAAATATTTTTTTTGTACGAGATATTTCTTAGTAGCTAAAAACTTGAGCGCTGACTCGAAATGTATCAATTGAATATTTTATTTATACTTCTATACTAATATTATAAAGAGGAAAGATTTGTATTTTTGTATGTATTAAAATAACTCAAAAACTGGTTTTAAAAATCCTTACATCATTAAAAAGCTACGTTATCAGTGAGTAACATACGCTATATTTTTTATTTCACGCGGGCGAAATCTGGAGCAACAGCTAGTACATGAAAATTTAGCAAGAGCGGCCACCTGAATTCGCCGAAATAGCGAAACTACAGCTGCTTCGAGACACTGCAAAAATACGCACATTGAACTAGACAATTTGAGTATCCACACTTGTGTGCAGCTTGCTGCACCGCATCGTTGCGGTAGCGCGACGCCGGCAGTGTGGCATAGTCGAAATCTCGTAGAACAAGACTTAGGGCTTGTCCCACCAAATTGTAAATTGTTTGATAACAATTCAACGTCTAAATTATGTGATGAAAATATCAGATTTTGATACCTTATCTGACAGTGACGTCATTTTTAAGCTATCTAAGCCTCTATCAGCTAGTGGTGGCCCTTAATAAAAATATAAAAACTTACCTATGACGCGCAAGAAGGGGCTTCCCTTGGAACTTGTCAGTGACGATTACAGCTGAAAATTTGGCGCCGCAGCCGTCGCTCTCGTCTGTTACTTCCTGTTAAAAAAAAAACATTTAGTAATTAATGTAATACTTCCATACCACTATGATTATTTGTAGAAAGTAAACTCCAGAGTCATGAGCAAATTGCCCGACAAAAAAATATTATCGTGCAAAATTATGAAGTCATCTTCTCTTTTCTTCTAGACAGAAATTGTAGTTTCAGTATTGTTTTTCAGTTTTTAATTTAACAGGAACTGCCGTAGCTATATCAGGCGTTATTAGTGCCCTGGACCAAAATTTTTACGTCGCCCCTTTTTCAACACTTGTAGGAGAGGTTTAAACAGGGCAAGACTGTGATTTGTAGACCTTTCGGGTCCATTTCTGTCCAGTGCCCTTGGCAGTCGACCACGTTATGAGGCCCTGATTAGTACTTTTTCCTGTAGTTGTATGTCAAGTAATTTTTAAAGTGACATGAAGTGTGTGAGTATAAAGTGAGATTGTGTTTTAAGGGAAGAAAAAGTCAAAAATGTTATTCAATAATTTTATTAAATCAATTAAAAGCAGACTAATGTATTCCATACAATTATTTCGCCTTTACCTTCTGCGGTAATGGCAAACATTTCGGCAAAATTAATTGTTGATAATTAAAATACAGAAAGAATAATAAAAAGTGAGAACATGAATACACAGAAATCAACAATGGATAGAGATCTGGAAACTTCGTCGGAGGCTTTACATAAATTAGGCATATAGTTAAAAATACCATACCAAGTAGAGAAAAGAAGAAATAGTGACTGACAATTTTTAAAAACATTGAATCTTTATTCCCATCTCTTTTTACAGTTCTATAAACTCTATTCGCATTTATAAATGTTAATATACCTGCTGTATTATCTGCCATTTTCAACGCTACACTATAAACAAACACATAAATCAATGTAGTTGTTACAAAAGGTAATAGAAGTCCATCTTTAAGGAATAAAGGAAGCATACTGAAGTTAGACACAAGTAAAAACCAGAAGCACATAAAAGGATCATCCGCAAGATGTAAGGCTACAGGAATAGCAACGAGTAAAATAGTTTTTTCATGAACTTGGAATGAAAACAAGAAAAAAGCTAATGATACATTTATAAGGGATAAAACAAACTTCTTTTTATTAATTCTAATGAACAAATCTAAACAAGACGGCATCACAGCTAGAGCTGTTGTGAGCAGACATATTTTTGCCATCATTTCATTCGTATAAATTGATTTTAACTTAATAAATACATTAATAAAACACCACACATTCGATACTTTGTCTTCAAACACACCTCGTTTCAGCGGAAACATTCTATACAAGACATGAGACACGGTATCCCACGAACTCAAGAAAGGATAGTATATTATACCAAAACTACAAACCACAACCACTGCTAACTTATTAAACTGACTTATAAAAGTAAAGATTCTTCTCCTGGAACCAACAGATATGAAACATTTCCTTAAAAGATAAAAGAAAAATGGCAAAGAATGATACAATTCCATCTGTTTGTAATTTATCGCCATCATAAAACATATAGTTGCTAGAATATCATTTTCTATAGCTAATATGCAAAATGTTGCGGCAAGGAACAAACCCAAGGATATACAGTTGTATTGAAAATGACCATGATCTATTAATATTAAACCTGGATACAGCAAGAGAATTGTAATAGCTACATCTACCCTTTTGAATACATTTTTGTCCCCCTTAGCCTTGATTCTCTGTGCTTCTATACAAAGACAAAATGCAGCTGGCACATAAATGTATAAATCACTTAAAAAAACAGTCCATCTCATAAATTCTTTATGATTCTCGTTTTCGTAGCCTCTTGAGGCGAAGAGTCGTACGGATTCCGGGTCCAGCCATTCTCCAACGTAAGCAAGAAGTAACATATGATATGCCGTAAGTGGAGGGTAGTCTAACCCCCAATATTCCAAATCGTTTTGAGTCGTGTTAATATACCACTTGGTTAGTGGCGTGTGCAGTGTTATCTCCTGCCAGTGTCTTTGAGCTTCGAAATCTCCGTACATCGGCGGAGATTTGTAGCCGGAATACGGGTACGCGGCGACACACCATCGAATCACCAACGCGAAAAGTATACCCGGTAATAAATAATCTTTTGAAATTCTAAACCTATCTGTGTTCTTTTTCATCGCGTCGTTAATAATAAAGCAATGCACAATTTTAAAAAAACACGTATGTGCGCTTAAACGATAATATATTTTTTATCGCGACGATCTTTCATTATGTTTTGACAGTTGGTGCTCTTTGGTTTGTACTTACAACGTGAACGGCGTCCAACTCCTTCGCCAGTTTCTCTTTAATGTATGCCTCGGTGTACACCATATTTTTTGTTTCGAAGATAAATGTTTAAAAAAAAGAAAATTTTCATTTACCTTCAGTTAATAAACAAAATATGCACTTTGTACAGGGATGTTGACACTTCTTGACAACCGGAAGCTGCGGATGTTTGGGGTTAACTAACAAAGAGCATATAAATAACTAACTTCACAGATAAAAATTACTTGGAATGGTTCTTGCTTGATAGTTTATGGTTTCTACAAAAAAAATTTTTTTTCGGCACCTGAAATAATGTCTTTTCATTGTTACTCTGACATTTAAATTTGTAATTTTTTGCAATAAGTATTTCACAAATAATTTGGCATATTCATTTAACAGATAAAATGGAAGGTGAATCACCGGCACTAAAAGCAAATTTAACAGAGTGGAGATTTAATCAATATCCAAAATATATTTTGCTTCCGATAGACGAAAATCATGAGCAAAATCGATCAAACTTGAAAAACATAATTTTTTCAGAGGTAAATCTTAGTCGTCTAGTTGCACAATGGACGAAGTCTTTTAAAGACTCGTTCTGTCTAAGAAGTACCGCATATATGTAGTACTGCAAATAATAGTAGTTTAAATACAATAAAAATTGTGCTACATTATATTTCAGGTAATCCCACGCCCACTTGAACGCAACATTCGTTTAGTTACTGCCTCCGAAGATGCTCTCACAAATATTTTAGACATGGACCCGGATATAACAAACAGGGAAGAATTTCTAGAATTTATAATTGGACGGAAATTACCGTATGGTGCTCTGCCTGTTGCTCACCGGTGACTATTCAGCTTCTATATCTTGTATTGTCTTGAATGTTGATGATAAAACAAATGAAATCTTCAATTTCCTAATGCCTTTTAATTGAACTTTTAATAATGTTTAATATATGATGTGTGTGTTATTTCAGATATGGAGGTCACCAGTACGGTCTATGGGTCGGTCAATTGGGAGACGGTAGAGCGCATATTTTGGGAGAATACGTAAATAGGTAAATATTTGTTTGAACGTACGAGAAAAGCGAGAACTTTATCTATTGTACCTGTCTTTTCCACGGAACCTTTAAAACTGTGCGTAATAATGAAGTTAAAATGTCTACCGATGTTCAGAAAAGGCGAGCGCTGGCAGATACAGTTAAAAGGCTCAGGTCAGACACCGTATGCTAGGACACATGATGGCCGATCCGTGCTGCGCTCGAGTATCCGGGAAATGGTAGCGAGCGAGGCATGTTACCACCTTGGAATACCTACCACAAGGGCCGCTGCTTTGGTTGGTAAGACAATTATCTTAAGATGCTATAAACTTTTAAAAAATACCCTTCTAAGGAAGCAATAAGTGTGATTACGACAGCACTAATTTAAATAACTATGTAAATTATACATTATGGTACTAGTATTTACCGTTAGATTGTCACTGCGCTGTCCGTAAAACCAGTTACGTTTAAAAGTTTTATCGCAAGTAGATAAGTAGAGTAGACGTTAAAATATTAAACAATATAAATGATTTGCTTTATAATCGTCAGTAAGCGATGACTTCGTGCTTCGCGACATGTATTACACTGGCTGTCCAAGACGCGAGCGAGCCGCCATCTTGCTGCGCCTGTCACCCAGCTGGTTCCGGTTCGGCTCTATGGAAATACTGGCCAAAACCGGTGAAATATCTGTACTAAGGCAATTTGCTGAATTTACAATAAAGGTAAGACCGATAGTACGACAACTTTTTATTGACGTAGTACTAATTCTAAAGTAATACTATCTAGGGAGTTGGGAACTCTGGCTGAATTTAGCGAGGCATAGATGCTCCCTCTACTCTTAGGTACTTTTAATTTTATGAACTTACATGCCAAATTATTACACTGTTTAAAACACTTTGCAACTACAAAATAATTAAAACCATGATTTTGTTTTCATGATCTCTTTTCAGGAATACTTTCCCGACATACACGGAACCGACGAAAATAGGTTTATTCGTTTATTTTCTGAAGTCGCACATAGGTCTTTGGATTTAGTAGCCAAGTGGCAAGGTAATGAAACCTTACATATGATTAGATAAATTTAGTCAGTTTGGTAAGCCCGTTAGATATATGAATAAAGTCGGTCTGGTTGCCTTTTGACATTCAAAACATTTCAGGTATGGGTTTCGCGCATGGTCTCTTGAACACAGACAATATGAGTTTACTTGGTCTAACACTGGATTACGGACCGTTTGGTTTTGTCGACTCGTATGATGGAGGGTTTGTACCTAACTGCTGTGATGGAGAAGGAAGATATGCCCTCGCTAAGCAACCTGATGTAATTAACCAGTAGTTTGGTTTAACAGTTGGACGTTGCTGGTTTTTATCATATTTATTTCCAGCAACAGAAACTTTGATTTAAATATTTACAGATCGTGGTTTGGAATATTGGACAATTCGCGAACTCCCTGAAGCCACTTTTGACAACTTCACAGCAAGTTCACTTATCTCATATATTGAAAACTCTAGACTCATACTGCAAGAATAAAATTTTGTATGTGTTTTTTAAATTACACGAATATATATTTTAGGGGCATATAATAGTAATCCTTGTGCGACTTGACATTATTGCAGAGAAACATTCTTAATGAAAATCGGTTTGAAAGAAGAACGTTGGGGCGACGAGCAGTTGGTTGAAAAACTTCTAGACATGATGCAGCAGACGGGAGCTGACTTTACGTCAACTTTTCGACAACTTTCTGAGGTGATATGGTATATGATATGATGATATGAGCTTAAAAAATAGTTAAAAGATAGGTTTCCACGGAGCTTTTACGGAGCCTGATTTCGCCCTATGTCTATGTCCGCCCGAATTGTGCATTAAAGAAGCAACGTTACTTATTTATTCGAGTTACTTCGATTCCGATCTTAATGAAGACATTTGTGATATAATGATGACCTATGAGTATATATTTTTAGTTGGAACCAAGTGAAATGGTGAGTGAAACGAAGCTGGAAGAGAAGTGGTCTCTGAAGCGACTGTCGATGCACTCTTCCTGGGGATGCTGGCTGGACCAGTATCGAGAGCGATTGGACAAAGAAGCCGGTTGGTCATATTACATCTCGAGTTTTAAATCGATTTACGTTTTACGGTGGAAAGTTGTAGAGGCCGCCGTTTCGATTAGCATTCTTATTGAAGCTTATAAATCTTTGCCACTAATCAATTAAAGGTAGGCAACGCATCTGCTACGTTCTAATTTGTAGCTTGTTGGAGATGACTAAGGCAGCGGTTACTTCGCTGTTTTAGTGATATTAGATATTGCCCATTGCTATCTTATGATGGAATGGATATAAAGTAAAGGGTTACATTGAATTTTTAAATACAATTGCAGTGGACGCAAGCTCTTTAGGAATGTTTGAGGATGAACGCCGACGTCGCATGTTAAGCGTCAACCCGGTATACGTTCCTCGCAACTGGTTGATTCACGAGGCTATCCTAGACGCCGAAATGGATAACTTTGATAAAGTAAGTGCCAGAAACTGAAGGATTTATATTGCCTAGAATGTTTTATATGTAAAAATGTATTGCCAGGTGCGATACCTCCTTGAAGTTATGCGTCGACCATACGAAGTGCAAGCGGAAGCGGAGAGGCGCGGTTTCTCCGCTCAGCCGCCTCAGTGGGCTTACGCTTTGAAAATCAGCTGTTCCAGCTGACGTTTTACGGCACAGATAAACTAATTTGGTGAAATTAATTATCAATAAAAAATACATCTTTTGTCTATTGATTTATTTGACAATTTCTTTTTTCATATTGTCAGCATTGTCAATAAATTCAGCAGGAAGTTAGCTGTGTTCATCATATATCTCTATTTTATACTCTTTGGTAGTGATTTTACCACATATATTCCTTTTCTACATAACATTTTTTATTGAGTACTACTATAGGTTACATATTATGTACACAGAACACATAACTATAATGAAGTTAATTATATCTTACAAAAATTTAATTCTTTTTCATAATAATCAACATAATTCTCCTTGCACTTAACACTTTCAGCGCCATCGAAGCCATACGATTTATTCGCAGTGGTATCGAAAGGGTTATTAAATATCCGCTGTTCGATAATTAAGACTCCTGTTTGTTATTTGCATCTTTATCATCTATTTGTTTAGGAATCTGTTCTATTAAATATTCGTTTTTGAGTCTATAACTATTTCGTATCAACAAGTAACTGACATGTTGAAATAATTTCTTAATCATTGCAATTCTATGTTCTCTACACATCCATGTGGAATCACATTTATTTAACATTGTCATAACACTATAGTTAATAATGTTCTTTATATGCAATACCGGTTGTACATCCAGTTCAAATGCTTTTAAAGCTTTTACAATAGTCACACAAAGATAATTACTGGGATAAGCCAATGGAACTCTCTCTTTCCACGATTTCTTCAGCAATGTGCATTTATCGATATAATTCACTTCAGGCGCATTTAAATCATTGTGACATTTTTCACAATTCTCATTTTTTTAAATTTAGTAAAGTAGTTGAAATATTTAGTAACACAGTTGCAGGTATTTTAAAAAAGGTCTTTCAGAGAGCAAAGCATATGTAGAAAAGAGACTGCATACGTATTGTAATATGCTTCTTTTTATTTACGACAATAATTAAACAAAAATACATTTTGTTATAATAACTATCAAAATTCAAGATGTCTATTTTAGAAATTTGACTTTGACAGACCGCGACGCGAGGTTTGTAAGCAAAAAAGTGACGTCATGAGGCGTTTTCGCGGTCTTTGGAGAAGTTGTTTTTAGTTAAGTGTTTTCGTAATGAAATGTTGCGTATATGATTTTATTATATTTTTTTTCATGTTTAGATACGGTTTATCTACATAATAAAAGCAATTCCAAAAATTAGGAAACGTCCCAATATTGCGTCGCAACAATGTTGTTGGAATTTGATGTGTCTTGCATATGTGGGGAACACAGAGTTATAATGAGTAAACGTTTGTTCCAATGCCTTAGTTGTTTGCTTATTAGTAACCATTGTCGACTTAAAAATCAATTTCTTGCGCATACGATAGACGCATTAAGACGTCCGAAAAAAAGAAAACAAGTTAGATGCTCCTATTATTAATTACTGTTTGAGCAATATAACTTTGCAAGTAATCAATATTGATTTGTAACGCAATTTAAGGTAGGATATAAGCTGATTTCGATCGTTGTAAATATGTATAAGTTAAGTAAAAATTTAAGCCGTAATAAAAATGTATTAGATTTATTCCTTTTTGTTCAAAAGTATTTAGAAAAACATGATTAACGTACATTAGCAAGGGTGTTTTTATAACACTTTTTAGGTGATTAGGAGAATGTCAGTCTGAGTATACTATTTTTATCCGCTTAATATTATTATTATAACATCACTTTACTCTCTTATTTTTATATATAATACATTTCACATGATTTTCTTAAAAAAATAACAAAATAAAACATATTATATAAAAAATAGAAGTCCACCGGCTGCGGAATCCGATGACTCAAGCAACCAGTGGTCAGGGCTGCAGAGACAGGAACCTCCTCACTAGTCGTGCGGTTTCTAAAATAACCGCCTTTTGAATAACCCCTTAATCCAACTGTCTAGCGAGAGCTTCTTGAGGTGTTGGTTATTATTATTATTATTATTTTAATAATAATATTAGTTGGCTGAAGCGTGTGTGTTGTATAGCTCGGAGATTTGTATGCCACCGTTGCTCGACTTGCGCCTCGGGTGGTGAAGTGTAAAAACAATAACTTTGGCTAAAGCTAAAGGCGAAAGCCATGCAACATCTGCTTCCCGGCTTTCACTCCTGGATACCTATTATCACTGCTTGAAACAGCACCAATGGGATTGGAATTGAGACAGAAGTAACGACCGCGCTAGTTAAAAGTGGTCGAAAGTTGCGGATACAATCACCCACTTTTTAATATTTGTAACGTTATACATTTACGAACGTTAACAAAACTGGTTCGAAAAGGCAAGAATCCATAGCTGTTAAGTAAAGTAAAGTAACATTACATTGTGAACTTGTTATATGTCATTGTCAAATTTGTACACAAATATTTTTTTGTGATGAAATCATAATATTTGTTTTATACTTTGATTCAAAGTTATTGATGTGTCACGTTCATAAATACCAATTGCTTTTTTTTAAAACGAGGATGAGTTGAAAGAAAAAAGAATTGCCTAATCATTGTTAATGTTTGTTTTTTAAGCAGTAATCAATTTGTAACGTCATTTTCCATATGAGAAGGATATTGTGCGTTTGTGTTTCTCTTCTAAATGATCATAGGTCAATCATGTTAGGCTCCGAAAAGGCATTAATTCGCGATTTCAAAAGTTGGAAATTTAGAAACCCCCCAAATTACGCCGAATTACCTATAAGTGAGGATCCGGAATATAATGTTCCTGTTGCTGTTAAAAATGCTGTATTTTCTAAGGTACGTGTTTTAATTTGTTTTTAAATAAATTTTGAGTATTACTTATGTGTTTTTAAATCTCGATTTTAATTCTTATAGGTACCAACAGAGCCCTTAATTGGCAAACTTCACTTAGTGTGTGCATCAGATGATGCAATGAAGCATATACTAGATTTGGATCCAGTTGTGGCGGAAACTGAGGAATTTGTGGACATGATAGCTGGCAAATATTTACCAGAAGGAGGTCTTACTGTTTGCCATAGGTATATAAATATACTTATGTATGGAAACCTAATACTTAAATAATACATTCAAGTTACATTTTTCTTAGTAAAATTTATGTGACAAATTTTGGGTATGTTGGATAGTAAAAACTACTAACATTATAAAGAGGAAAGATTTGTATTTTTGTATTGAATTGATTGATTTGTATTGAAACAACTCAAAAACTACTTGACCATTTTTCAAAAATTCTTGCACCATAAAAAGTCATGTTATCACTAACATAGGCTATGTTATTACTATTTAATTTTATACATGGGCAAAGTCAAAAGCAACAGCTAGTGTGATATAAAAGGCATGATCACTGGCACTAGGGTAAAGTGATCACCCAAAGTGCTGGACATAAAAGGGCACCATGGATGCCTTTTTCATATGGTTTTGTTTTACAGTAAGGGAAAATGGTAGAAATTTTAGTCCCTTTCCTGTCCTACCTTTTTCTATTAAGGAAAGGATTGGATAAGAAAGTGGATTTGATGGTGGAGAAGACACATAGGAAGGTAAAATATCCTCTTTATGTGCCTCTCCTGCATTGATTTAGGGTAGGCAATGCATTTGCAGTTGCGGATGTCTATGGGCAAGGGTCGCTATGCCAGTTTACGGATTTAGTTTGCCGCTTGATTGTTTGCCACCTTTTTATATAAAAAAAACTCGCGCCTATTGCAAGAAAAGCTTCAACCTCAACATGATTTGCAGATATGGTGGATATCAGTTTGGTTATTGGGCTGACCAGCTCGGGGATGGGAGAGCTCACATCCTAGGAGAGTATGTCAACAGGTAAACAATACTTTTAAATTTATCAATCAAGGATACTAATTGTCATTTGGAACAATTACATAACTTAAAAGCCTCATTAGATGACAAAAATATTTTTGACACTTAGAAATATAAAAACGTACTGATATTATAAATGCAGACAATGATTAGAGATGGATGGATGTTTGTTAGAAGTCTCCAGAATAGCTTAACAGATGTTAACGGAAAGAACACATTGGTTTCTTGCTTTTGTTTTTTTTTTAATTATGTGCGGCCAGAATCATAGGTAAAAGATATTTAATGAATAAGTAGATATGCGGCCTGTTAGTCTGCGGTCCTCCTTGAGGTTATGGTACTGAGTTTTGTTGTCTGATAATAAAAATTTACCAGGAATGGTGAATCCTGGCAGCCACAACTGAAAGGTTCAGGGGAGACGCCTTACTCTCGCTTTGGCGACGGGCGCGCGGTGCTGCGCTCCTCTATTAGGGAGATGATAGCCTCCGAAGCGTGTTACTACCTTGGCATCCCAACTACTAGAGCTGCGGCTTTGGTGGGTAAGACTATTCTATTCTACAGTAGACGAAGAGTATGTTTTTGCGATCAACCAAAGATAAGAGTTTTTTTTAATGTTATTTTTTTCGTACATCATTATTTATTCATCATTAATGAATAAGTCATTAAGTACACCAACAGATAAGTTATTACACACACGGTATTTAAGTGCCAATAGCCTTCAGGTCAATCCCGTCATTCACCTGTGAACCATATCCTTGCACAAGCCTAGAGCTTAGTTGGAATAGTTAAAGGAAATATTAGTAATAATAATAATTAACAAAAATGCACTAATATTTTCATATTTAAACATTCGTAACACATTTTTATAACTAACTAGCTTTCGCCCGCGACTCCGTCCGCGTAGCATTAAAAAGAACAAAACCAAGTAGCCTATGTGTTCTTCCAGACTATCCCCTACGTGTATGCCAAATTTCCTTGAGATCCGTTTCGCAGTTTAGGCTACAAACTCTAACCATCCATCCGTCTAAACTTTCACATTTATAATATTAGTATGAGTATTATAGTATGATTATGGTTATTTTACGGCTATTAGTGACGTCACGTAGCCGTAAAATAATTAGTAATATTTTCACATACAAAAAATAGTATCGCCAACAGTTAATGCAAAATTTTCTTAGTATTAAAACTGTATATAATTTTAGTGAGTGACGATCACAAAGTATGGCGGGACAAGAGCTACAGTGGGGCTGCGCGACAGGAGCGCGCCGCCGCGGTGCTGCGCCTCGCGCCCGCCTGGTACAGGCTGGGCTCCTTCGAGATACTGCTAAAGAGGAACGAGCCCCACACTATGCGGCAACTAGCTGACTTCGTTATTAAGGTATTTGAGTTTTAGCCAACAAACTTCGTTAGCGCAAATTTGATTACGGCATTTTGATATCGTGGAATTAAAAAAAATAAGCCTATAACATGCCTATCTATGTCAGCTAACCCCCAGTGAAAGTCCCGTCGGAATCGGCCCAGTAGTTTCGGAGATTACCCGGAACAAACTCAGATTGCGGACAGACAGACAAAATTAAATCTGATTTTTGTTATCAGCAACGCAAATACGTCTAACTTCCCGAAATCTGAATTTTTTCTGTTGATTACAAACATACACTCCAATTTTATTATATGTATAGAGGACTAGCTATTCCCATGTAGTTTCATCCACATGACATAAAAAGTGTTTCTATTGTTGCAAAATTGCATATGTCAAAATTCATTAACATTGAAGGCTTGTCTTTGGCTGAGAATCGATTATCAGTAACCATGGCAACCATGTGTCTTTGCTATTGGCAACACTGGTATTTTAGTCTTTATCCCTCGTGACGGTTTCTTTTAAACTCCAAAAAATAGGATAATAAATATTAAACGGTTTTAAAATGTTATTAATGTTGTTTTTGTTCCAGCACCATTTTCCAAATATCTCATCTGAGGATCCAGATAGATATGTTAAATGGTATTCGGAGGTGGCACATTCAAATCTAGACATGGTGGCAACTTGGCAAGGTATCTTAAATTATTGATAAACTATTCATTTATAACTACATGAAAAAAAAACTTTTACAAGAAAACATTAAAAAAAACTTTGCAATTTGGCACATAACTGCAAAAAATATTTATGTGTGAAGTCAACCTGCAGTGCAGAGTTTGACTTTGGTCTAATAACAACTGGATACCTATTTAACTATTAAATTTTTTAGTCTATAATTTAGCATGTATTGAAATAACTCAAAAACTAGTGAGCCTATTTCAAAAATTTTACCACCTAATCAAAGTTATGTTATCGCTGAGTAACATAAGATATTTTTTAATTTCACGCGGACAACGTCGCGAGCAACAACTAGTTTACGATAATCATATTGCTTTTTGGTACATTTACCCGATACTATGGTGAAGCAAAATATCGTGATGACAGTAAAAAAATATATGTGTGAAGTCAGCTCATAGTGTAGCGTTTGATTTTGGCCTCATCGCTAACATACTGGATTCCGTCTATCTATCCTGCTATGTTCTATTTAAATTTATAATCTTGTCCTTTATATTATCAATTATCTCCAACTTTGATGTTTGTTCGAAATAACAATTGGGCCCACTCATTAAAAAACAACTTAGGGCTTCGAGCCCTTTATTATAGTACTGTTCTCGTGCGGCTTAATCCGCTTGAAATTATGAAAATTTTATTTCATTGTTTACATTTGTCAAATTATCAATTACAAATGTCAAAATGACATGACATGATGACAAGCTTGCTTCCTTGATGTTGGCAGCAACTTATGATCTGTTACCTTTTTATACAATTTATTTATCAACTAAGTTTAATGGCGTTAAAATATATAGCCTAAAGCGTGACGCAAGTGTAGGGCTTTTTATTAAAAAGAGAATTATTAAAAAATTTGCTGTAATTGCTGACATCTTAGGCAACAAAGAAGTGTGTGTTTACGCTTTATTGTAATAGCATAGTATAGCTATATTATAGCATATTGTGTCCCCAGGTGTAGGGTTCACCCACGGAGTACTGAACACAGACAATGTGAGCGTGCTCGGCCTCACGATAGACTATGGCCCGTACGGCTTCATGCAGCACTACTACCGGCATTACGTGCCCAACACGTCTGATGATGCGGGACGGTATGCTTTTAATAAACAGCCAGAGGTAAATGTTAACAATATTTAATATGAAAACAAACTAGGGTTGTAACGGAACTCCGCTTCCGTATCCGCAAGTGCGAAAAACCGCAAGGATAGCTCTGCATCTGCTTCCGCTTCCGTTATTTCTTATGCGGAGTTATAACGGAGGTTTACGTCTTTACCGCGAGTGGGGCGATTATGTAACGTTTACGCAGCCACTGCGGACTTGCTAGGTCAACTAACTATATTTGTTATACATTATATTTGCATAATATACTGTACCTTGTAATTATGTACCAATCTGTATTTTGAATTAACGTATTTTTATTTCTTTAATAAATCGCAATTAATATATTACTTCTGACCTCCGCGTCCGTTAACCTCGGCTTCTGCAGAGATGAAGCCCTTCGCCACCGCATCCGCATCCGCTTCCGTTAAAATGGCCTCCGTTACAACCCTAAAAGCAACCATTTAAATGCATTGTAATTGTACATGTTACGTTTGTTGTCAAATATAGTAAATGATATGTTATCTTATAATATCTTCCTTTGTGACCTAATTTACTTTGTGAGATTTGGCAATATGTTTATTTTACTAATGTTATAAATGTGAAAGTTTAGATGGATGGATGTTTGTTAGAGTTTGTAGCCTAAACGACTAAACCAACCTTATTGAAATTTGTTATAGATGTCGAGAATAATCTGGCAGAACACATATGCTACAAACACTTTCTTTTAAATCTCATGCAGACGAAGTCATGGGTACTAGCTAGTTTTGTAATAAATTGTACTTAATTAAATTTTTCCAGATACTCGTGTGGAATTTAGAGAAGTTCGCGGAAGCGTTAGATCCAATACTGACAGATGACCAGAAGCAGAAAATAAAAGATATACATAAAACTCTTGGAGGTTATGTCAAGAATAAAATTGCGTAAGTATGACAAAACTAGCGAATCGCCCCAGCTCCGTCTGAATATTTTTTACGTACTCCAAAACAGCTAAATGGATATTGCTGGAATCCATAAATATAGAAATTTCATTCTTTACAGTATTTCTTCTTTATTTATTAATTACAGACAAACGTACGTAACCAAACTGGGGTTGTCAGAGTTACAAGAAGGTGATGAGAAGCTGGTGGAGGACTTGCTGCAGATGATGCAGCAGACGATGGCCGACTACACGCAGACGTTCAGACAAATGGCTGAGGTAATTGTTATATCTTCTTACTAATGTATGGATGAATGTTTGAAAAAAAAAATACGTAAACGAAAAAATAAACAGGCTATTTAATTTACTTTTTTTTAATGCCACGCGAACGAAATCACAAGCAAAAGCTTTTAATAATAAATTAATGTAAAAAAACATTATTAAATAATGTAATTTAATATATTAAAACGTAAAAACACCCTTATAGTGTTATGATATAATTTTTTTGATTTTTTTTATACCTTAATGTGGCAAACGAGCAAGCGGCCACCTGAATCCGCTAAAATAGCGAAGCGACCGCTGCCCATAGACATCTGCAATTGCAGATGCGTTGCCTACCCTGATGTTAAAAGTCCGTGTCTTGATTACAAAGTTAAAATTTTTAGTACATGAAAGTTATTGAATTTTTAAATATATTGTTTAATATGAAATTATAGTAGCCCCAGTGAAGGTAAGGAGTAAAAGGTTAGCATGGTATGGGCATTATGAGAAGGGATGAATCGCATGTTACAAGGAGGATGTTAGTTATGAGTGAGGTACACCGGTAGAGGTAGACATAGAAAGAGATGGATTGCGTTAAAGGTGACATGATCAAGAAGGGAGTGATGACAGATGACGTATGATAGAGTTATTTGGAGGACAAAGTCACTACAGGAGTAGGATAAGAAGGAAAATGATTGTTTAATGTGGAATTATCGTCATTTCCAGTTAGATCTATCCCAGTTGTCAGATGTGACGTCACTAGAGAGCAAGTGGTCTTTGGTCAAGATATCGAAATCCTCGCAGTGGGATAAATGGGTACATAGATACAGGGGGAGATTGGAACAAGAGAATGGTAGGTTTAAATTTATTATTTTATTTACCAGAATATCCTCTACATCTATACCAAATTTCATAGAAATCTGTCCAGCCATTTAGGCTACAAACTCTAACAAACATCCATCTAAACTTTCGCATTTATAATATTAGTATGTTTAATCTCAATTTAAGTTTTATAATAACTTAATGGTAAATTCAGAAAAGTAACAAAATAATCATGAATCCGCAATTATTAATATGAACCTTGTCTACCTATCTTAGTTTTTATTATACTAATATTATGAAGAGGAAAGATTTGTATTTTTGTATGTATTGAAATAACTCAAAAACTACTGGGCGAATTACGAAAATAATTTACCATTAAAATGCTACGTTTTCACTGATTGACTGTGTTTTTTTTAAATATTAATTTCACACGAACAAAGTCGCGAGTAACAGCTAGTGTGAAATGAGTCAAAAATTGACGGAAATAATAGAGTAGTCAAAAACGAGTTATAAAAGTGGTTATATCTATACTATTATAATAAAGCGTAAACACACACTTCTTTGTTGCCTAACATGTCAGCAATTACAGCATATTTTTGAATAATTCTCTTTTTAATAAAAAGCCACTTACTTCACGCTTTAGGCTACATATTTTCACGCTATTAAATTTATTACCTTCGGATGAAGACGCATGAGGACAGCTAGTTATATTTATAAAGATGGGAAAACTGGAGATATTCATGTAAAATAATTCAAAGTTTGTCTATGGATATTATTTTACAAATGTATTAAAATAATTATTTCCAGTAAATAATGAAGTAAGAAGAGACCGCATGTTAAAAGTGAACCCCCTGTATATACCCAGCAACTGGATATTACAAGAAGCGATAGCGGATGCTGAGAAAAATGACTTCGCAAAGGTGAGATTCTCACAGAAGCCGGAATACAGAGTTTAAAACTGTATAGAGTTGGCATAGTACACTTCATTTGAAACATTTTTCACATAATCTCATTAACGCTATTTAGTAATCCTCAAAATCACGTGTTAATATAATTAATTGGTAACAGTGGTAGTGCCCGCTTTAACATCTTAGCACTGCAGGGCCGGCTCCCCCCAGTAATACCACGACCACACAGAAGACAGGCGTCAAATGGAAGCAATTCCGTGTACAGTCTGATGAGTGTGGTGCCGGAGGCCTAATTTAAGTCCCTTTCTCTTTTCTTATAAAGAGAGGTTGGGAAGAGGAAGTGGATTTGACGGTGGAGGAGATGCATAGGAAGGGGAAATATCCTCTTTATGTGCGTCTCCTCCTCCGTCGGATAAGGGTAGGCAACGCATCTGCAATTGCGGATGTCTATGGGCAGTGGTCGCTTCGCCATTTTGGCGATTTCAGGTGGCCGCTTGCTCGTTTGCCACCTTATGTTATAAAAAAAAAAATAATAATTGTAAAATTGATTACCAATAGGTGTCATCTTACTATCTTACTTCTTACTAATATTATAAATGCGAAAGTTTAGATGGATGGATGTTTGTTAGAGTTTGTAGCCTAAACGGCTGAATGGATCTCCATGAAATTCGACATAGATGTAGAGCATAGTCTGGAAGAACACATAGGTTACTTTTTATCCCAAAAATAGTTACGGTTCCCGTGGGATTCTAAATTTAATAATATTGAAATGTTTATATTTTATTTCGAACACTGTTTAGTTTTTTTCATAAAAGATGGAGCTTATTATTATTTTGTAAAAAAAATATTGTCAATAGGACATGAGGTGGCAATAAACTTGACAACCGATTTTCCTTCAAAAAAATTTTGTTCACTGCCTCGTCTATATATTTCTTGAATATATGCCCGAATAACGTAAGGGTATTTTTTATAGATAAGTCGGTTAAGTTTATTTTTTTTTCAGGTACGACTTCTATTAAAAATATTTAAGAATCCATTTGAAATGAACGAGGAAGCCGAGAAGTTGGGATATTCATCACAACCTCCCAGCTGGGCGTATGGCATCAAACTGAGCTGTTCCAGCTAAAAGTTTCAAAAAATAATAGAAATCCATCGAAATTAATGAATTCTACCGTGATATCAGTAAATCTAAAATCATGTTATTTGTATTCAAATTTAATTACATCAGTAGACGTTTATTTTCAATTATTAATGTATATTACGAAAGTGCCATGTCATGTGTTTTCTTATGATTTTATTGTTTTTATATTGTTTGGTTTTTGTAATAAAAAAGATTTATTATATGTTGATAGTTTAAGATATAGAATTAAGAATAAATAATTGGACTATATCGCATTTTTTTTTACTATCATTATTTTTTTTTAATATTTCTTTATTAACAAATTTAACTCATCTGCAGATTATCTTACGAAATAAACAAAATGTTTAGCGACAAATTATATAACTTTACTAATTCTTTACCTTATCAATAACAAAAATAATACCACAATTGCGCCTTAAAATCAAAACACATTTTATACAAAAAATACAGAATACATCAGATTAGATTTATACAAAACTTAATTTCTTCTTAAAAAAAAAAGTGTACATATTTGTTTCATAATTTATCACATTATTTATAGCAAAAGTAATTTTTTTATGGAAACCAGCCAAAATAATCATTTGTAGTCTTCATCACCACTATCATCAGGTTCAGAGTAATCTTCATCTATTTCTATTTTCCGTCTCTTTTTCTCTTGTACATTCTCCTTATCTTCCGTCTCCACTTTAGCCTCGGCTTGTGCTGATCTATGATGGAACACAAACGATATACTCTTAGCAAGATCCCAGCATTGTTTTAAAACAATATCTGCTAAATTTTTCTTATCAGCACAATGGTACCAGTTAGACAGATCTGATGTACAGTCCGAGTTCTCCGGAGGTAATGTCACTTGTATGTTATTCACACATCTTCGGCATTTAAACTTGCTATGTGTGTCCGATAATGTGTTCTCTTCTAACCGGAACAGATCTTTCAAGTCTTCAGATGTGAAATGTCTTAATGACTCCTCATTTTGATCAACAACAGTATCACTGAGCGCTTTCTTGTGAGCTTGTCGTTGGAATATCTTTTCCTCAATAGTACCGGTTGCTAGTAAACGGTATATATAACACGGTTTCTTCTGTCCGTCGCGCCACACTCGAGCCATCGCCTGATCGTCGTTCGCTGGGTTCCAATCCGGATCAAACATGATCAAACGGTTCGCGCCAATTAGATTCAAACCACACCCACCGGCTTTGGAACTAAGCATAAATATCCACTCTTTTGAATCCTTATCATTAAAACTTTCAACAACTTTAGCTCTCTTCTTTATTGTCATTGAGCCATCAAGCCTTACATATTGATAACATCTTTTACGACATAATTTCTCAAATAGATCAAGAGTTTGCGTATAATTTGATACCAAGACAATTTTATCATCTGTGTTTGTTTTTAAATTAGCTAATATACAATCTAATATCATCAATTTGCCGGAGTATTCAGGTTTAACATCTTTTATATCATAATTAGCAGGTAATAAGTCTTTAGCTTTTTCAAAGCCTTCAGATCTCTCTACAATCTTATCGTACACTAAATCTGGGTGATTGCATAACTTCTTTAGTGTTGTTATACTTGATAGTGTTGTAAATGTGTTTTTATCACCGTTGCCTGCAAATTTGTTACGAATCGCATCAGAGTTTATAAAGTTCTTGTATATTTGAGTTTGGAGTGGAGTCATTTTGACACATATAACTTGTTCAAACTTAACCGGTAAGTATTTTGTTAGTAAGTTACTTGTTCTACGAATCATACATTTGTTGACTATTGATGTCAAAGTTTGCAGACATTCCTGCGCTCTTTCCCTTTCTTGAGCACTAGCTAAAGCATCCTGACCTTTGAGGATATGATTCTCATATTTCTTTTTGAATTCTTGTGCAGTTCCTAAAATACCTTCATTAACAAAATGTACTAAACTGAAGTATTCTGTCAGATCATTCTGTATAGGAGTACCTGAGATAAGGATTCTCCGTTTTGCTTTTAAACCCATCAAAGCTTGATAGGTTTGATTCTCACTGTTTTTCAATCTGTGGCCTTCATCACACAGTACCAAACCAACTTCTGAGGAGTGCAAAATATTTGTGTATATCCTAAAAGTTTCATAAGAGATTATTAAGACAGGTGTAGCTACTCTTCCAGCTGTGAATGTGTTCATAAATTGTTGAAGTTTGAGTGTAATATCAGCTTTACTACCACCATCCATTGGCAGGGCATTTATCCTTTGACCGAGCCATTTTCCTATCTCATTGTACCAGTTCTTAACTAAACTACTTGGACAAACAATGATTGCTTTAGTTATAGTTGGTTTGCAGTCAGGACCTTGTCTTAACAGAGTCCACAACAAAGTAATACATTGCAAAGTTTTTCCTAAACCCATTTCATCTGCCATTATGCATCCGTAAGCATTCTCTATCTGTACTCCAGTCACACAATCGTACATAAATTTAACTCCGTCCCTTTGATGTGGTCGTAAAATATTTCCTAACACAGGATCGACGACCACTGCGACTTTTATATCGTTTGCATTCATTTTCATCTTCTCGTGTTCAGGAATATATGGTGGTCGATACAATACCAACGCGTTGGGTTCATCAGGATCGTGTAAGGCACGTCGCACTTGAGTTCGTTTCAATCCTAAACTCTTACCACAATACGACGACACATAATTCGGAATGGGCACTTTAAAAGGCTTGTTTAAGATCTGCTTTATGAGAATCTCATGATCTGAAGCAGATAAAGACTGAGAAAGAGATTTTTGAGCGAGTGGTATTTTCGTACATTCCCGCTTTTTGCGTTTCGATGAATTAAGTAAAGGACTTTTGAACACACTATCGTTCGCCCCGATTTGGCTTGGAGCTAAACTTCGTCGCATATTGATAACTTTAAGTTAATAACATTATACAAATTGAAATATTGCACATTTATAAGATTATAAGGCCAATTTATTTGTTTTGAAATAACATTTGACTTTGACAGTATGACACGAAGAAACAAGTTCAAAAACGAATGACATTTCAAATCGTAATGTTACTACATACATCGCTCCAATTTTTTTCCATTACTGTGATTTTTTTTGCTTACTTACTTGTTTAGGACAACATTGTTTAATAATTTTCCTTATGTACCTATATTGAGTTTATTCTGTTGTGTCTACTATGACTTTTAATGAAAAATTGGGTGGGGCGGTAGTGCACTTGTCGAGGAGAGAACTCTTATAAGAGTTCCTACTCGCGGGGGATAATCGGTCAATAAAAAACACAGTATTTTTAAAAATAATTGTTTCACAAAAAAAAGTAACAAAACCTTTTCTTATTTTAAGATACAACACGCAAAAACAGGCGTTAGCGCGTCTTCGAAACGTAGATCACAGATATAATTTAAATTTAACATGTACTGGCAGCAAAAACATTTGTTACAGATAAAAAAGCTGATATTTTGCATCACACGATTTTGATTTGTATTAACAATGATACATCATTTTTTGGTAGTCAACATTACATGAGATTTTATAGATATTTTATAGTATCATAAAAGCAAGTTTTTTAATGTGTAGACTGACCAGTAATATAAACGCCCTCACCATAGTGCGGAAAAATGCGACACTAATTTCTCAGCACACATGTAAAAGATATAATAATTAAGCTGAGGGCTCCCAGGTCAGGAATTTTATATTCGTGGTTAGACTATAAGTATGATTAGCAAAAAATAATTTGACTCCATTTGTCAAGTATTTGTATTTTAAAGTCCTGAAATTATCATTCAAACAATTTTAAACTATAGATTTAATGTTGTTTGACAACATATGAATAAATTAATAAGAAAATAAATCACGAAATGGCTTATTCACAGCAATATTAAAAAAATAAGCATTTAAAAAACTTACAAAATTAATAATAGCACAACATGAAAAGAAAGTAAATCATTATTAGAGCGCACACCTTTGACTAAACTCTCGCACAACTGTTTAGTCTTGTTTGGATTTCTATGAGCTTATATGGAGATGCCCACACTACTCGATGCTTGTGCAACTAAACAGTTGGGGTTGCGAAACAATCGACAATCGCACAACAGTGGTGCGATAGTTTGGTCAGTAGTGCGCACGCTTTAATATGACAAATATTGATGTATCAGAAATATTTGTTTAATAAACTAACCAAGAATATAAAAAATCCTGGCTCATATCTTACATTTCTAAACAGAAAGAAAATAGTTCTAAATATTTCCGCAATATGGCGAGGGTTTTTATATTCTTGGTCTATAACTGGTATTAGCAGAGTGCTGCTTAAAAAATTCTTGTAGTTGTAAATTTTAGTTGTTTCTATTGCAGAAACATGTTTTGCAACAACACATTGCAACTGGTATGGGCTTTAATATAATTACGATTATCAAAATTAATAGAGGGATTATTACGAATATTAGTAAGAACACGCAATCGACAAAATTTGTATTAGATGAAGTACATCGCTAAATCTCATTACAAATTTTGTCGATTACGTTTCGAATACGTTCTCGCAACACTTAGATAAACATTCGTGATAGACCCTCTAGTCCAACTTTTCGAATTCCGTAATCATTTATTAAAACTAATGTAATGTCAGATTGTTATTTAATAATGGACCTTATTTTTTTGGCAGACGGTATACTTTAATATTAGTACCGTCGTACACGCAGTCCGTGCGCGATGGGTACACACTCTTCAAGTTACCTTCCGTGTCCACTATCTTTACCTGCGGGCAATTAAAAATTTTTTTATTAGCTACAACATCACAAGGCTTATTATTTTAATTAAAAGATAAAACAGTCAACTGCTAGTATATGGCCGACTACTAATGGACTATACTAAGGTTACTGGACCTTACTATATTCCATTTTAAACCAACTCTTTAATTAAATAAACAAACATAATACAAAAATTTAGATATTCACTTCAAAGACAACTATAAATAGACCAGGAAAGTCTTACAAAGGTACTCCACAAATTTACCAGAAACACAATTTAATCTATCTACTAATTGCATACAAACTTAGACTCTTGAAATCAAAAAATTAATTAAAACAATGTCTTTTGAAACTACCCACAAATCAAACAAACTAAGACATCATCCAAACTTACTAATGTTATAAATGTGAAAGTTTAGATGGGTGTTTGTTGAGAGTTTGTAGCCTATAATACTGAAGGGAAATCAATGAAATTTGGTATAAATGTAGAGGAGAGTCTGGAAGAAACCATAGGCTACTTGCTTTTATTTTTTTTAATTCCATGTGGACAGAGTCGCGGGTTCTAATCTTTTATAAATTATAATAATACATCAACTTTATTCTATGGCTCAAAATTGCAAGAACCCAGAGCTATAAAAAATATTAAACATTACCTGTTGGACAGAGAGTGTATGATAACCATCATCTTCTCCCTCGTCTCCGATGCCTAGCAACAGGCATTCCTGTAACAGCTTGTCCATGACAGTCTTACAGGACGTGAGAGACGCGTGTGACGTCACCTCTACCAACATTGTTTTTGTGCTACTTGACATCTGGAAAATGTCTTCATTTTATACTTGTGTTCTTAATGTCGATTCTAATGTTACAAATAAGGTACGTAATGAATAAACTCAGAAATTATTGGATTCATTTCGAAAATTCTTTTACCACTGTAAAGATACATTACCACTGAGAAATTAGGCTAGTTTTTACTACTAGAAAATAAAAATGGATTCTCATTGCATAAGCATCATAAAAATATTGTATTTTTATAAGAAAAAATAATATTCTTTGAGCATCAATCGCCTTATAAAGCTACAGACTAGAAATATTTTATAATAATTGTTGTACCTTTGTATCTTCAGAGTTGGTTATAGGCGGGAAACTGACCACTTTCCCACTGGCATCTTCTAGGCAAGGGTACTTTGGTTTGCCTTCTAATAAATATAAGTACCTGTAACAATTAGCACATTTTCGATGAAGAGTGACAAAAAGGTAACATTTACTGGTATTATCTGCATCAAGTTTCGATGATTAACTCCTTAGTAAACTTTCTAAACATTTGTAAATGGCCTAATACAGCTAAAAATATTTCCGCAGCAACTGAGCGGGCAAGATATTTGAAGAATCATCTCCCCTCGGTTTTTCTACTTAGAGGCATGACAGGTTTTCGTTCTCCAGATAACTCTATCTTCCATAATGTCATCATTCCTTTCTTGATTATGTCACCTTTCACGCAATCCATCCATCTCTTTCTAGATCTCTACCGGTGTACCCTTCCGCACTCAAAACAAACTACTCCTATAGGTATATTTTTTGCGAAAATGTATTTCACTTTAGCTTATACTAGCTTCCGCCTGCGACTCCGACCGCGTGTAATTAAAAAAAAACATTAAAAGACAAAGAAATACCCTATGTTACAGAAAAATTACTAATATTAGTATATATCTACTAATATTAGACAAAATAGTTTATGTGCAAGACAATAGATAATAGTTAACAGTTAATATTGTATAGTTTGTATAGTTCATATAGTTTGTTTAATGTAAATAGTTTAAATACAGTTCGGCTTAAGCCCCCACACATCATTACGCCCCCGTAGCGAACATAAGCAGGCGCTCGGGCGGCAGACAGGGGAAAATCATCTAATAGTTACAGAAGTGTGGAAACAGAAGCCCTCCCTCCTACAAGTGAAGTCACATCAAGTCTTATCTTTTACGCCACCGGCGATAGATGTGCATCCTGCACAGTTTAGCATACTGATTTCTTTATAATAATGTACTCACTTATGTATTCCAGTGTACACATTTCTTTTCTTTTCTTTCCTAAGAGCCTCCGCTTCTGCAGCTAGCTGCTGGAAAAGCTGTTCTCCGGTGTACTGCCTGGCTCTGGACAATGGTGTAAGCTTTAGTGCTTTAGGAGGCTTCGCTGTGTAGATAAGGTCTCCTGAAATATGTTTTTTCTATATTAGAACGTGGAAAAATACAAGATTCTAAAATAAACATAGTGAATGTAACAGTGCAAAGTTTTTAAATTTATGATAATTTAACTTAATTTAGTGCTTTTTGATTAAAAAAAAAGGGATATCTTTTATTTTCAATAATAGGTACAATTGTTATTATAAAAATTCTACTATTACTTTGATTTTATTTATAGTAATATTATGAAGAAAGATTTATATAAAAAGCTATGTTATCAGTAAGTAAATTAGGCTATCTTTTTTTATTAGTTTTTAATTTCACGCGGGAGATTTCACGAGCAACAGCTAGTTTGTACTATAAATCCATGAAATTATTGGGATTTCCAGTGGTATTTTGGTTTCATTATTATTGTGCAATATTGCAACCTACCCTAGTACTATAATGGCATTATACTTATAAAATATATGCTTAAAACTTACCAGGTGCTACCTTATTCATATCATGCGTAGCTATTGTCGCTACATTTCTTTTATCGCAGACCGTGTCATGTAATTTAGTCTGCAACTGTATGAATTTCTTAAACAACTCGTCCGTTAAATTGATATTATTAATAATACAGCAGAGTATGTATGGACGAATGTTTGCCACTTCCGATTCAATAATCTTAACTCGTACGGTATCATCTTCGACATGTAATATCTTCATTGAATGACAAAGATCTTCTACATCTTCAGGTTGCGGGTCTTCTTGCTTCTTCCCCTTTTTACCTTTACCTTTGCTTGATTGTTGCGTTTGTTCGGATTTCGGACAATGTTCACGGATGTAATCAAGTATTTGTTTTGTACGACACTGGTCAACTAGCTTCATGAGACGTTTGTCTGATAGTTTGTTACCTTTGAGATTCAGTTCTGAAACAAAGTGTTAGGTTAATATTGTAATTGAATATTACGTTTATATTTTTTTTTACGAAATACTGTTAATGTATTGCTCAACTCTGGAAAAATGTTAACACACAAGATGCACTGTATTTACTTAAATTTATTAAAAATGATAACGTAAAAAATTTACAACATGTTTGAAATTATGATGTAATTTGCAATAATCGATGTATATGTTTTAATTACATTTTTAATGCATCAATGCAGCCTTACCTTTTAATTTCCCTAAGTTAGCAAGTTCACCAGGTATCACTTTGATTTGATTGTCTCCCATATCAAAGTTTTTAAGTGCGGGCAATACTCTGGCCACATGGCTGGGTAATACTTCTATACAATTACCTTTCAGTTTTAAATCAGTTAGATGTGGCATATTCGCATTTTCTATATCTAAAAACGTCGACAATTTGTTGTTTGAGATATCTACAGATATCAAATTCGGAAACTCACCGAAACTAGGCATTGTATCAATCTGATTTGAACTCAAATTTATATTCATCAACTCTTTCATCTTGTTTAGGCTTTCAGGAATCTTCGTTATTTGGTTTCGAGACAAATCTAACATTTTCAGTTTCGGTAAAGAGGTTATGTTTTCATTAAAAACTTCCAGTTTATTACCAAACAAAAGAAGTGATTGAAGATTAACTAACAGTTTTATATCGTCAGGTATTGATGTAAGACATGTGTCGCTTATATTTAAAAGGTTCAAATTTGTTAATTGAAAGACAGATTTGTCCAAACCCTCTTCAGAAATCCGTTTCGAGATTGCAGCACCCGCCAATTTTATTTCGTGTCTATTTTCAGCTTTAGCAGTCGTTACCTCTAGCCACACACCCATGTTGATACACTGTTAATAATGTACACTTGTTAAAAACAGCAAAATCTAATTAGACAATTTTTAAAAGAAACCACGTCGTGTTGGCCAATTCAAAATTAAATGACGAAAAAAGGTGTTTTGAGTTTTAACTGTCATCATTTTATGTAAATTAAAAAAAATGACAAAGAGTAGTTTACATAGACAATTATTTACTCTGTGAACTTTGTAGTTTATGGTCTAAAGGCGTATACACAATTAAAAATTAATAATAAAGTCAAGAGAAGTTTGTACGTTATATTTGTAATCTTACTTACTTATAAATGCGAAAGTTTAGATGGATGGATGTTTGTTATAGTTTGTAGCCTAAACAGCGAACGGATGTTGATGAAATTTGGTATAGACTTAGAGGATAGTTTGGAAGGATACATAGGCTACTTGCTTTTGGTTTATTTTTAAACCACGCGAACGGAGTCGCGGGCGAAGGCTAGTTGCGTATAAATCTTTCAAATAAAATCGTCGTTATCTTGAAAGTTCGAGACGTGATCAATTTAAGTAAACAAGACTAGACGAAATAAATCTAATGCTTTTAATTACAAAGTTCTGTGAGGAAAAGAATATCTAAGCGTAAGTACTTTGTTTTCGCTACATTCTCTTGAACAAATAACTTGGTACTATTGAGAGTAGTTAAAGGAAACATTATTTTTGTAAACATTTAATACTTTAATTAAAAAGCATAATTACATTTCAATAATAATTTAGTTATTGAACAACTCCGATATAATAAGTGTCAAATATTACTAGTAAATTATTTTAGAATCTGAACCAGAAGAAATATTTGCTTGGTGCTTCTAAAGCTTCTGGTTCGGTTTCAGGTTCCGAAACCGTGGTGGGTTCTGGTTCACTAACGGTAGGTTCAGCTTCGGATACTGTGGTAGGTTCAGGTTCCGCGGTGGTGGTATCGATACCAACGGTCGTGGTGGTAGGTTCCACTTGCACGTCGAAATTCAATTCTGTCACCTCGCTTATCCAGTCATGGTAAGGACCGGTACGGATGAAACCTGTAGAGAAAATTGTGAATATTTTTTTTGAACAAATACGATAGTAGGCCTTTTGTGGCTGTAAAAGTCGTATTTATTTATTTATTCTTTCGTCGTATTCCAACTACAGAAGGCCGACAACGCAACTGTAGGCCGACGATAGGCGACAAGATAACCTTGGTGTTTGATGCTCGTTCCCCCTTTATTATAAAAAAAATGTGCATGCTAAAGCAAATTGCTCCTTAAACATATAAGTTAAACTTACCAGCAGGGAAGTCAGTGTGGCAACCCGTGCCAGAGACGAAAGATGATATACCGATCTGAGTAGGCTGGCCGTCCACGTCTTCTACTAGCAGAGGTCCGCCGCTGTCACCCTGTAACAACGTGTAACATTTAATCGCTCGATTCTTGAATCTCCTCCGTCTGTACTTGGAAATCCCTTTTTTTTAATATTCACCTGGCAAGTAGACTGGCTGGTAACGTTATAGCCGCTGGCGCAGATCGTAGAATCGATCACAATGCTGCCGTACAGACCGCGGCAGAACGAGTTCGACACACCACGTAAGAACACCCAATTCAGGTTCTCCGGAGACTCACCTTAGAAAAGACAGAAACCTTAGAAAAAACATTGAAAGAAGAGTACAAAATGTACTCTTCTTTCAATAAAAATCCTAAAAACAGTGAAAGTAATACCAAACAAATGAAACTATTGTGTTACTTTTCGGAATATGTCTTTTATTAATTCTTTTAAAATTCGATTCCTGCGATATGTGTTGGATGACATACCTAAAGTCCATGTACGTCCCCAACCGCTGGCTTGTAGCCTCACGTCACTGTAGTCCTTGTTAGCGTCGAACGAAGACTGCAGGCGTACTGGCTGGACACGGTCTGAAACAAACCCGAAAGATGTTACAAGAATTTATTAATATATCCTACAAAAATATTGCTTTACTGTCCTTTGGATCTTTACAAATCATGTGATTATTTTAAGTATTATCGATGTGTTAGAAGGGATGTGTACCGTATGGAATTTGAGATTACTCTACATAATTTAAATGTAATTAAAAGCATATAAAATTTATTACCTGTAAATTGCAAGACGCGGTTGAACTTTAGTAGACCGATATCGTGCGGTTGAACCACAGATTGCAAAGCTTCGATGTACTGCGGGTGATTGTAGTACGTTGTGGTCTCGAAGATGCCTTCAGGTCTCGTGAGGTTTAGAGTACCGGTACGGATGACTATTGTCACACGGCTATAAGATAAATTACAATGATTACTGGTGATTAATATTTAAAAAAAAATACGAACAAGAGAGAAATAGAGATAATCTAATTTTTTAAATACAATTTTCTTATTGGACAAAATGTTTAAAATGAATTATTACCTGTTGTATTCCTACAACTTCTCAAAATCATTCAGGCCGTTGAAAATTAAGGGGACTACAATACCAATGAAATGCATTGTAGTACAAAATATGCCTCGAAAACGTCACCTTCCTATCTACAAAGATTGGATAAATATTCGAAAAAATGTCCCCTTATCTTAATTTAATGAACATAACTAACTCTGGTATAGTTTATCTTTACACGATTCATTAACTTTATTTTAATTAATTAATTAGTTTATCAAGGGCATGATTATATGTCAGAATTATACAATATGCCACAAAATACATTGTTTTTAACACAATTTCATTCATATCAATAATTACAAAATCACATTTGTTAACACTAGGCATATACCACGGATAAATAATTTCAAATGTAATTTTTATCTATATCTGTTTCCTACAATTATCATAGATGTTAGGATTAAGTGATTATTATTGTAAATTAATCTATATTCGTTATCAATTAATTACTTTTGAGTATAATGAGGTAAACTTGCATTATTCACGGATACGACGGTATGGCGGGCTGGTGTCTTGTAGGGTTCTTTGTGGCTGTGCTTGGAAGCTCGGTAATGGTTCAATTAAATTTTTACAGAATAAAAATCTAGTTTTTACATCGAAAGAAGAATAAATAAGTCGTTATTTTATGTTTTCAGGTATTAGCTTACCCTAAGGTAACTTTTCCCGAAAATGCTCTGCGCAGTAAGTGATGACTTCATTTTTTTTTATTTATTTAGCTAGAGTAAATAGATGGTTAATTTTTTTTGAGACTGAATTTGTATTTTATTTTTCTCGTAGGTCAAAACCGTATTGTGTCAGGTTGGGAAGCAACTGAAGGTCAGTTCCCTTACCAGATCTCACTTCGGATGGTGAACCTGGATGGTAGAGTTAACGGTTGTGGTGGTACCATCATACACCAAGAATGGGGACTAACTGCAGCACATTGTACTGCCACGTAAGTCATCAATGGAGGATGTCCTTAATTCTTGTTATTTTATGATTTATGAGCAGTCTCCCTCAAATTTTGTTAGCGCCGATTAAAAAAACTGTGTTATTCGTCTCGTCAAACATCTTGTCATCTGTAACATACCCGTGTACATCATCTATTTTCCCATCAAAATCAAGTCAATATCGGTCCACCCGTCCTGCGAATAGAAAGGTGAAAAAAAATCAGACGGACAGACGAAAAAATAATGTTTGTTAGAGTTTAAATATAAGTGGCTGAACTGATCTCGATTAAATTTGGCTTAGACGTAGAGATGTCTGGAAGGACACATAGGCTACATACTTTTGTTTTTTTAAATCCACGCGAAAGCTAGTTTACAAATATTTCTTAAATACAACTTGCCGAAAATAACTGATAATTTTCTGACATGTAATCTTGCCCTCGATTAATTAAAATAACGTTAATGTCGTGTAAAGATAAAATATACCAGAGTTAGTTATGTTCATTAAATTAAGATAAGGGGACATTTTTTCGAATATTTATCCAATCTTTGTAGATAGGAAGGTGACGTTTTCGAGGCATATTTTGTACTACAATGCATTTCATTGGTATTGTAGTCCCCTTAATTTTCAACGGCCTGAATGATTTTGAGAAGTTGTAGGAATACAACAGGTAATAATTCATTTTAAACATTTTGTCCAATAAGAAAATTGTATTTAAAAAATTAGGTAATCTCTATTTCTCTCTTGTTCGTGTTTTTTTTTTTTAATATTAGTAACCAGTAATCATTGGTAATTTGTCTTATAGCCGTGTGACAATAGTCATCCGTACCGGTACTCTTAACCTCACGAGACCTGAAGGCATCTTTGAGACCACAACGTACTACAATCACCCGCAGTACATCGAGGCTTTGCAATCTGTGGTTCAACCGCACGATATCGGTCTACTAAAGTTCAACCGCGTCTTGCAATTTACAGGTAATAAATTTTATATGCTTTTAGTTACATTTAAATTATGTAGAGTACTCTCAAATTCCATACGGTACACAACCCTTCTAATACGTAGTTAATACTTAAATTAATCACATGATTTGTAAAGATCCAAAGGACAGTAAAGCAATATTTTTGTAGGATGTATTAATAAATTCTTGTAACATCTTTCGTGTTTGTTTCAGACCGTGTACAGCCAGTACGCCTGCAGTCTTCGTTCGACGCTAACAAGGACTACAGTGACGTGAGGCTACAAGCCAGCGGTTGGGGACGTACATGGACTTTAGGTATGTCATCCAACACAAATCGCAGGAATCGAATTTTAAAAGAATTAATAAAAGACTTGATGTTTGAAAGATAGTGGGCAATATGCCCATATTCCGAAAAGTAACACAATAATTTCATTTGTTTGGTATTACTTTCACTGTTATTTAGGATTTTTATTGAAAGAAGAGTACATTTTGTACTCTTCTTTCAATGTTTTTTCTAAGGTTTCTGTCTTTTCTAAGGTGAGTCTCCGGAGAACCTAAATTGGGTGTTCTTACGTGGTGTGTCGAACGCGTTCTGCCGCGGTCTGTACGGCAGCATTGTGATCGATTCTACGATCTGCGCCAGCGGCTATAACGTTACCAGCCAGTCTACTTGCCAGGTGAATATTAAAAAAAAAAGGATTTCCAAGTACAGACGGAGAAGTTTCAAGAATCGAGAAGAATCGATTAAATGTTACACATTGTTACAGGGTGATAGCGGCGGACCTCTGCTAGTAGAAGACGTGGACGGCCAGCCTACTCAGATCGGTATATCATCTTTCGTCTCTGGCACCGGTTGCCACACTGACTTCCCTGCTGGTAAGTTTAACTCATACGTCTAAGGAGCATTTTACTTTAGCATGCACATTTTTTTTATAATAAGGGCGGAATGAGCTTCAAACACCAAGATTATCAACGCCGCCTCTCGTCATTTGCATTTCCAGAGGAACTACGGATGCGTTGTCGGCCTTTTGTTTGTTGTTGCAATACGACGAAAGAATAAATAAATAGGTCTTTTACAGCCACAAAAGGCCTACTATCGTATTTGTTCAAAAAAAATATTCACAATTTTCTCTACAGGTTTCATCCGTACCGGTCCTTACCATGACTGGATAAGCGAAGTGACAGAATTGAATTTCGACGTGCAAGTGGAACCTACCACCACGACCATTGGTATCGATACCACCACCGCGGAACCTGTACCTACCACAGTATCCGAAGCTGAACCTACCACCGTTAGTGAACCAGAACCCACCACGGTTTCGGAACCTGAAACCGAACCAGAAGTTTTAGAAGCACCAAGCAAATATTTCTTCTGGTTCAGATTCTAAAATAATTTACTAGTAATATTTGACACTTATTATATCGGAGTTGTTCAATAACTAAATTATTATTGAAATGTAACTATGCTTTTTAATTAAAGTATTAAATGTTTACAAAAATAATGTTTCCTTAAACTACTCTCAGTAGTACCAACTTATGTGTTCAAGAGAATGTAGCGAAAACAAAGTACTTACGCTTAGATATTCTTTTCCTCACAGAACTTTGTAATTAAAAGCATTAGATTTATTTCGTCTAGTCTTGTTTACTTAAATTGATCACGTCTCGAACTTTCAAGATAACGACGATTTTATTTGAAAGATTTATACGCAACTAGCCTTCGCCCGCGACTCCGTTCGCGTGGTTTAAAAATAAACCAAAAGCAAGTAGCCTATGTATCCTTCCAAACTATCCTCTAAGTCTATACCAAATTTCATCAACATCCGTTCGCTGTTTAGGCTACAAACTATAACAAACATCCATCCATCTAAACTTTCGCATTTATAATATTAGTAAGATTACAAATATAACGTACAAACTTCTCTTGACATCATCCTAGCAAAATTTAAAAAAATCTAGTAATACCTAAGTAATAAAGATAATCAATAGTAGTTTTTGATTTTTTTTAATAATACCTTCAATTTTAAACATTAAACGGATGGATGTTTGTTAGAGTTTGTAGCCTAAACTGCTGAACAGATCTCGATGAAAATTTTCATAGATATAGAGGATAGTCTGGAAGAACACATAGACTACTTGCTTTTAATTTTTTAATTCCACGCGAACGGAGTCGCGGGCGAGAGCTACTACATATATAAACATGTCTATGTAAATGTCTCAAATATTTGTGAAGTCTCGACCTTCACAGAGGTACCCTTGAGATGTGGTTTAAGTGATTTGTTTACGTCGACTCCCACACGCTAGTCCTGTATAACATTAGTTTATGTGGGTAGCAGATTCAGATATTTTTTTGGTGACAAATGTCATCCGCATTGATACGCTTATACGACTCTACTAGCTGGATTCCTAAACAATAACTAAAAATTAGAAGTTATTACAATATTAGACACTATAAGGTTTATTATAATAGAGAAAAGCCATCTATAAATTAAAAAATAATCATTAAAAATGATAAATAACTCACTGAAAATTAATCAAAAAAAGTCCTAATGCAGATGCGCGACTACGTTTGAAAAGGAGGTTTATTTTCTAAATAAACAGGTGAATCAAGTAGTTGTAATGTTCTTATTAGAAGGAAACTCGTTAAATGAACTTCTATCAATATTTTATCAATAAATTACAGCCTCATTCACTTTTCTGCTACCCTACATCACACGTTCATTTAATTTCCTGTTACATCCTAATATATTAACTTAAAAAAAACCTATGTTTGAGATATTGTTAATGTTCAAATAGACAATAGAAAGATTGAATTATATCTTGCCTAGTGTTAGAAGTGTAATTCTCGTTAGGCCACAAAGAAATGTAAAAATAGGTTCCTATTGCACGACGTCGTATTGCAGTGGTTGGTCATCGCGCATGCGTGTTGGGGATGCAAGCAACGAAATAAAATTTCCTCAATAGTTTTTGACAGGAATTATTTACACACTAAAGTTAAGCAAAATCTAATTCTTATGTTGGTTAGTGTTTAACGAAAATAACTTCTAACCGGATGAATAATCTATATTCTTAAAACTAAACATCAATAGCAATTACCTATATTTCTGATAATCCTTAACTGTGATTTGGACAGATGCCAAGTAGTTCGTTCTATTCTCTTTACAATATTGATTTTGTTATGGCTCATAGTCACAGTATCGATTTAAGTACTATCACGCAGCGTATTAAATTACCCCATAAATGAGCAGAGGGGAAAATGTATAGCAACACTTAATAATATTTGGCGCGCGCGCGAATCGCTCCCTCAAATCATGATGGCGGCCGGTGGGACAGCGCGCCTCGCGTACACTTGAAACAGCAAATCGTAACCTTGTCATATTCCAGTGCTATATTATATTGGTGCCCCAATGATGTTATAGTGGTCAGTGTACGGCGGCCTTAGAGGGATTTATTTTGTGATTCAGTGCGTATTTATTGTGTTGCATGAGTGGTCCCGATGGGGTGCTGGGTAGTGCGCGGGATGACGGACGCCATTCGCCGGCCACCACCGAACAACTAACGTTAGTATTAAAAAAAATCACTAAATACAGAGTATATTAACTATGTTATAGTTCTTAACGGCCAGTAACACTGGCTATTACGAAAAATTAAAGACATCGAATTATTTTTTATTGAGCTTCTGGCTTCAATCGTTTAAGCATATTTTACGCGCAGAAAAGAATTAAAAATTAAATAGGGTTTTTCCACCGATAAATAATTAAAAAGTGACATTTAGTGTTCTAGTAAAGACGTCGATAAGCAACCCTGGGGCTGGTGTAAAGGGTAGTAATTACGTAGCGGGGAAAGCGTGTACCGCACCCTTAAAAATCTTTTGTTTCGTTGATTACTTTCCATTGTGATGTTAGGTGTTTCGTTTTGCACTTTTACGCAATTATGAATATTTAAGTGGTAATCTCCTAACGTACATAAAATGGTCTAGATAAATTCAAAGACTTAAGTAAAGGTGGATGAAGTAAAATTTATAACGTAATCTATCTACTGAAAAAGTCGAAAATCTCCCCAACTTCAAATCACTCTTCTAATCTTACTTTTAACAAATAAAAATAAGGGAGAACTAAGTAGTAATTGAAAACTTGTCTAAACGCCAATTCCAAAACAATTCCTTGGATATACAAGATTAACTTTTAATTCCTGGAAACCCTTTATCTTTATACCGCAGGTATTTTCGTAAATGAAAACCCGGAAAAAGCGTTCGTATATACGCAGATGTTAACTTTTATCTTGAATACCTTGGTCATCGAATAATAATTAAAAAAAAAATGATAAAGATGATCCAATTATTAACAATCAGTTTATAGTCTACATTGTAGGGTGAAGTTTGAATTAGTTTTTGTAATGAGTTCAGATACGAGAGCCACTCCTGGTCGCCCCATGGGCAATTTATGCCGGGTCACTCCGGGGTCAACCTCTGCAACTGACTGCATGTTACGTGGAAATAATTTGTTAAAAAGATTTTCTATGTGTTAATACCGGAAATAACTCCGAAGTCGAAATTTTATTTATTAGAAATATTTAATTTTAATAATTTTGGTTAAAAAACTATTACAGCCCTCACTGTATCTCATAACTTTTTACACTCAGGCCTCAGGAGTATTGAATTATTGAATACGAGTTGAAAGACACCTCGTTTGTCAAAATCGGTTTAGATCAGGACGACTTCGCCCGACTAAAATTAAAAAAAATAATAAAAAAATATTGCCTATATTACTCACCGTAAAATTACCTTTCTAATGGTGAAAGAATTTTTGAAATCGGCCAAGTAGTTTTCACGTGAATCGAATACATACAAAAATATAAATCTTTCCTCTTTATAATATTAGTAAAGACTAGTTGATCGCGACTACGTCCGCGGGAAATAAAAAATATAGCCTATGTTACTCACAGATAAATTACCTTTCTAATTGTGAAAGGATTTTTAAAATCGGCCCAGTAGTTTTTGCGTTACTTCAATACATACAAAAATACAAATCTTTCCTCTTTATAATGATAGTATAGAAATAGATATATATAAATATGAAAAATCTACACTCCTGAGTCACTAGGGTACAGCATTGATTGTTTTATAACTGATCAATGTAGAGGTAATGAGTAATAACAATGATTACAAGAATTCAGTTAGTAGTGGGCTGGTCGTGAGATTTTTATTAAATTCTCTCGTTGTGTCGTCTGTTGGCACGGCGCCAAATTACGTTCTGCCACGTCACAGTACACTGTACGCTGTGTTGACATATATTTGTATGTTATCTACATGACATAACAAACGGAACATAAGAAATCGGAAATTATCACCAATGATCTTCTATCTATATGATACATGTAATAAAATTGGAGTGTCTGTATGTAACATCAAAGGAACAATTTCAGATTTCGTGAAGTTGATTTATTTGCGTTACTGACAAAATCGCATTTAAAAAAGTGTTTGTATGTCTGGCCGCAAGCCTCGTTTGTTCCCGGTAATCTCCGAAACAACTGGGCTGATTTCGAAGTGACTTTCACTGGAGGGTAGCTGACATTGATAGGCATTTTACAGGCTTTTTTTTAATTTCGCGGTACTAAGTTTGCGGGCAATAATGTTTTAAGGAGAAAATAGTCGTATATGTCAAGGACTTTTAATATGTATTTGAGGGTCTAGGATAAGACGGATTGCATGAAAGGTGTAATTGAAGGAAGAGACGATAGAAATAATCAGCAGGAAGAAAATCTAGTGCGTCGATTCCGACATTCACTGGCGACTTGCAAAGTTATAAAAGAAAATAATCGATAGAATCTTACTAATGAATGCGAAAGTTTAGATGGATGGATGTTTGTTATTATTTATAGCATAAACTGCGAAACAGTTCCCGATTAAATTTGGCATAGATGTAGATGATAGTCTGGAAGAATACATAGGCTAGTTACTTAGTAATTTCCGCTCGGAGTGAAGGGCAAAAGCTAGTGAGAAATAAATCATATTCTTGAGAGTCATGTACGTAAGGTGCTCGACATCAAAAAGGTCCTTAATTTGTCTGGCCTCTAATTAATTTGTATGTTTTCAACTGTCTGGCTGATTTATTCCTTTTTAATCAACATATAGAAGGCGTCTCATGAATCACAGAGCTTCATTGTTACGCAGAGTATTTGACCGAATTTTTATTTTAATTCTACAAACCTGTGAGGATTTTGTTTTAAATTCAGTAACCTTGTTTGTAATTAATTTGTGTGGAATCGTAACTGAAAATTAGTTGAAGCACGAACGAAAAGATAACGAAATGGATAAAATTTGAATAGAAAATACATTAATTAGTGTAGGACTAGACGCCTTATTTGGTCTAATTAACTGTGGGTTTACACTGTTCCAGCTGTTTCATAAATAATAAAAAATATCAATACAGATGGCATAATAATAATTAAGATAAAAATCAGTTGCTAAATACTTAATTTAAAAATCACACTTATGTTATAGATTAAATAAATGACAAACTTCCAGTGAAAATAAGCGCCACAGACTATAAATAGGTAATTAATCAAATATAATTTTAGTGACACGTAGGTGGGGTAGCGGTGGCCGCCAATGCTCGTGTATATTTATTAATAACATCGACGAAATTATTAAAAAGATAATGTTATGATTTATGGTTATAAGTAGATAGATGTTTCCGGCGACCGTTTTATCCGTTTCATGCATTACGAAATACGCAGTTAAAGTTATTTAGTTATACTATAAAGAGTTTATACCTCACTCCTATTAAAAGTTTTGTAACGTATGAATTACATTCCTTTGGTTATTTTTTCTGTTCGAATGTTATTTAATATATCGTAGTTTGAAGGAGAACAAACAAGGTCAAAACCTGAAAATATAAAAAGTTCGTTTACTAAGAACTCTGAACATTTTTATTGAAGCGGTCCGCGGTCATATTTTATTCTGTCGTTTCAAGGGCTCGGTGTACCCAAAGAGCATGATCTGAAGATAATCTTAAGGCAGGCTTTTATAGTACCTGGTTTTACAGACTGACCAATATACAATAACCGCTTGTATACAGACTCTTTATCGATATTTGTGCTTGTTGGTATCCGTTCAGAGTCACGCACCGTGGAAACTCATCTTTATACTAGACACGTTTGGTTCATAAAAAGTCTGCGGTAAGAGCTGTAACGTGTTTTTTATGTTTAACCTCTAAGTTAGTACGTATAAAGTCTATATTTGTCAGAGTCTAGACTTGACTGAGATAGGCTGCGTCTTATTTCTTCATTCATTATTTATAAGATCCCGTCCGTAGAACTTATTGTAATATACTTCTAATTTATTAAGAAACTTTTCGATGTAATTATAACTTTCTTTCTATATTCTAATTGGAATAAACTTATAATTAGTAACATTTTTAATGGTATTTTAATGTCCATCCAAATTCCGCCTATCACTAACGACATATCCACAAATAATCACAACAGCCAAAACATTGTCCTGTGTCGTTCAAAAATAACTTTATGATGGCTTAAAGCGAAACTTATTTCTTAACCTCCTTTCTACGTATTCAACTGTAACTTTAAAAGCAAAGAGTGCGGACTAGGTTAGGATGGCGGGCTACATGCCAAGCAACCTACATCGCAGCACGCCTGACGCCGCCCCGTCTACAAGTTTTAAGGTCACAATGCCTGGGATGTGAAAAACAGTATTTGAAACGATTTTCACGAAATTTAAAAATAACTTCTTTCTCTTTTATTCGACTAACTTTTAGTTCCCACTCTAAATATTAGAATAAATTTCGTCGATAAGCCTGCTACCGTTCTGACAGTTTCAGAGAAGACGAGAGAGACTGAAGAGTCAATCTGTTCAGTTAAAATTGTCAGAATTAAGCGTATCTAGCAAGATTAAATAAAGGAGAAAGGCGGGGTAGTTTATAGGACAAGACGTAGAAAGAGATGGATGGATTGCATGAATGGTGACATGATCAGGGAGTAATGACTGAGATGACAGATGATAGAGTTATTTGGAGAATTAAAACCCGTTGCGCCGACTCTACTGGAGTAGGGTAAGGTAGAGGAGATGAAATATGAAAGACAGGGGGTAATTTTCATGATTTTAAAGTGTAAATTGCCCTTTGATTTGCTTTTTTATGGTATTTTTTGACAGTGGTACTGCCCGCTTTAACATCTTAGCACGAATGGGCCGGCACGCCCGGTGTAATACTGTTAATTATTGGGAGTAGTAAAAGGATAGCTTGCTTAGCACAGACTGTTTATTCAACCAGCTGTCATATTGACGGCGGGCGCAGCCACCAGTTCGGAAACAATACACAACAAATATCACAACCACACAGAAGACAGGCGTGAAGTGGAAGTAATTCCGTGTTTCGTCTGATTATTGTGGTGCCGGAGGCCTAATTTAAGTCCCTTAAGTGGAAAGGAGACCACCTTTTTCTCATAAGGATTTCTCATTTGGAAGGAGATGCATAGGAAGGGGAAATATCCTCATTATGTGCGTCTCCTCCTCCGTCGGATAAGGGTAGGCAACGCATCTGCAATTGCGGATGTCTATGGGCAGCGGTCGCTTCGTCATTTTGGCGGATTCGGGTGGCCGCTTGCTCGTTTGCCACCTTATGTTATAAAAAAAAAATTCTGGTATATCAGAATATAGTTATGTTGCAGTATACTTTATTAATTACTAGAAAGTATAATGTAAAGTTATTGATTGCATAAATGTACGAGGTAGCTAATACCGCGAATAAATCAACAGATAATCGTCGCGCTCCAGGGTGTGTCTATGAGATTACCGCGTTTTTAAATGAACTTGCTAGATAATTAAAAGTTAATCGGAGTAGTTCTGACGCACACGGATAATTAAGTGGTCTCTAAAGAGTTGCTAAGTCTACCGCTGTCCTGGGCAAGATTTCTACGACGCTCCTTAACTGTAATAAAAAAAACCTATAGGAAAAAGGCATAAATCAACCAAGACGCCCTTTTTTGACGACCTAGGTGATCGTCCTACCTCGCTCTATCCTGAAGACTCTAATGGGACTGAGTGAGGGAGAAAGTAGGAAGTAATAATCGACAATCACACAAATGTTGTGCGATTCGCTCGCAATCAATTCAACTGTTTAGTTGCACAACTAAAAAATCTTTCAAAAAGTCTTTGCTAATTTCGGCCACACCTTTCCAATCGAAAATAGATTTTATTTCTGTCCCTAATTGTAAGGAATCGATATCGTTTAGTTGTCCATTATCCTAAATGCAAAGCGAACGTCCCACCTCGACCTTTACAGCATTGATTTTATGAGGCAGCAGTAAACCGCTTACGTCACAACTTAATGGTAATTTCACACGAGGACAGAAGCAGTAGCCAGTACTGCATGAATAGCCTCTGCTGTTGTAATATCACAACTACACAGAAGACAAGTGATGTGGAAGTATTTCCGCGTTCTGTTATATTACTGTATGGCCAATTCTATATAAAAAGGCGAGGATGAGAAGGGAAAGCAATGTAAAAATGTATGTAGGTACTTTTTTTATAAAAGGATCCGTTAATATATTTAATAGCAGTATGTAATTCATCGTTTGCCCTGCGTCACTGTTCCGCCCTCGTGTGAAACTAGCATTACTCTCATAGCACTAATCGTGACGGCCCTAAAGTAATGTAGTAAATTAGTAGTTTAGAATTTGATTGCGGACAATGAACTTTGTTAAAGTATTACGGTTGGCATACCGCGGTACTAAGAATCTGTAATTAACTTTGACCGTGACTGACGTACGAAAAGTTAACCTTTATTAAAAAAAACTTTACATAAGATGTCTACGATAAGCTGGAGTTTTAACTTATAAAATTTAAATAGAACAGAGCCTAATTTTTTAATTAAGCATTAATTTATGTAATTATTAATCATTCATATACGAAATATAACAAACGACATACTGCAGTTGCATGTTAAAAGTCCAAAAGAATGCCATTGAGTGGCATGAGCGCCTGTTCATGTTTTGTTTGGACGCCATTTTGAAATGGAATAGATATCAATAACTATCTACTCTCTGTACCTCGGGTAGCTTGGAAAGTTTCCAGTTTCAATACATTTTGTGTTTATGTAACTTCTTTTTTGTTTTTAAAATTATTTTTAATCATACAATTTGTACAGTAAACACTTTTGTGACATGTCACAAACATTTCTCGTTTTCATAACTATAATATTAAATAAAAACAGCTAAAATATTGCTGATTTAGTTAAGTACGTAACTATATTTCTTAACTAATTAAAAGCAAGTATTACTCCACAAATTGCAAGACAAAACTTAGTATAACTAAAAACATAAAAACGCTTTGTAAATTAAATTCGATCGGTTATGCCGTAGCCCCCTTGGCGCCACACCTGCGCCCCTGACTTCCTGCCGACACGCCCTCTGGTGGTCAACGCAAGGATTCCCCTACGATATCCTTTCATACACGAAGGTGACACCATGACGTAGCTTGTTAAGAATCAGGGTTACTCAACCTTTTTTCAATACAGTAACAGTAAACGATTCGCGGGTTGAGAATTTATATGCGATGTATGTAGTATTAGCTTTTGAATTACCTATAGTTTTTTATTAAACCAAAATTATCCCGTCAAATTTTAATCCGTCATTCTGTTCACCCCTCGTAGTGCGTGTTACGTGATATTAACTTTATAGGGTAACTTTTCGATCGATTTAATTATCGAAAGACCCCTTGTCCAATTGTTATACATATGTGAGCAAATCATAGTTGAAAATTCATTCGTTATAATAACATCTAGATAATTGTGAGGCACGTCGCGTGTCCGTCTGTCACTTACCTCTATTATAATCAAACTTGTGTGATTTGCATTCGAGTCATACAAATGTCCTGCGCATTTACATTTTGAGGTTATGTTAATATTTGCTTTGATTGCAAAGGTAGAATATTCTATGGATCTCTTTATAACGTTTACGTTATTAAAAATTAATAATTAAAAACAATGGCAGAGGGCGTCTGAGACGATCTTGTAATATAATAAACATAATAACTAAAGCGTAAACACACTATTTCGTGGTGTAAGATGTCAACAACCACAGCATTTTTTTGAATAATTTTTTATTTGATTAAAAGCCCTACACTTACGACACGCTTTAGGATATATATTTTCACGCTATTAAACTTGGGGTTAAATAAATTGGAAAAACACCTTCATTTGGGAAAGGGACCATAAACTACAAGCTGCCAACATTAAGAAAGCAAGGTTATTGTAGTTTTAATTTTTTTTATAATTTTATGCCGATGAAGCTGCACGGGAACAGCTAGTTAAATAATAAAACAATTAACATATCTTATGTTTGTTTAGGAAATGCGTGGTGTCAGAGCCGGAGTGCGTGGCGATAGGTAGCAGACTGCGCGGCGCGATGGGCACGCGGCCGCCGGCGCGCTTCTGGCCGCAACTGTGGGCCACCGTGCTGCGCAGTCTGTTGCTCAAGAAGCGTGATACCAGGAAAACCCTCGCTGTGAGTATTTATGGGCGCAAATATGCAGGGGAACGTAATTCAAGCGGAACCGCATTTGCTTTTCTGAGTACGCATTTTATATATCAATATCTCCACCACATAAAAGACAAGAATCAAGGAGATGTTATACCACGTTCTTGAGTGCATGTGTTGGAAACCAGTTCAGATTTTCTTCTATATGAGAAGGGGAATTCCTATTTTTAAATATTTACTTCTCTGTTCTTCAACGATATCTGATTTTTTTTATAACATAAGGTGGCAAACGAGCAAGCGGCCACCTCAATCCGCCAAAATGGCGAAGCGACCGCTGCCCATAGACATCCGCAATTGCAGATGCGTTGCCTACTCTTATCCGACGGAGGAGGAGACGCACATAAAGAGGATATTTCCCCTTCCTATGCATATCCTCCACCGTCAAATCCACTTCCTCTTCCCATCCTCTTCTTGTAAGAAAAGGATGGTAAAGAGAAAGGGACTAAAATTAGGCCTCCAGCACCACACTCATCAGACGAAACACGGAATTGCTTCCATTTCACGCCTGTCTTCTGTGTGGTCGTGGTATTACTGGGGGCGTGCCGGCCCTGCAGTGCTAAGGTGTTAAAGCGGGCACTACCACTGCAAATAATTTGCAATCTATACTAATATTATAAAGAGAAAAAATTTGTATTTATTGAAGTAATTCAAAAACTACTAGGCCGATTTCTAAAATTCTTACACAATTAAAAACCTACGTTATCAGTGAATAACATAGGTTAAGTTTTTTATTATTTTTTTAATGTTACAGCTAGTGTTTTATGTACATAGTTAGACATTTTCATTGACCTTGGTTCATATTAAATGAAACCCCTACAAAGGTTTTTACGATTGATATGCAAATGATATAAACTTAATCAGATTACTTTAATGTTATTGAATGCTGGAATCCAATTAAAGATTACAGACATTAGATGACGCAGGCAAATATCTTACTAAGTAATACATACGTAAATTTAACCTTTTCTTAAGACGCTCTCCTCTCCATCCTCTGATGGGAAGGAATAGTGAATTTGACGGTGGAGGAGACGCAGAAGAAGGGGAAATGCCCTCCGTCAATTAAGGGCAAGCAACGCATCCGCAATTGCGGATGTTTATGGGCAGCGGTCGCTTTCCATTTCGGTGGATTCAGGTGGCCTCTCGTTCGTTTGGCACCTTATAGTTATTATAAAAAAAATACCTTGTTACGCCAATAATCAGTGTTCAATTATTGTCTTCTAGTACTACATGAAAGGCATAGCCACTAATTCATTTTCAAATGGTAGGAGGTGCTGGTGCCCCTGTACTGCCTTGGCGTCCTAATCTTCCTCAAGATGCTGGTGCCGAATCCTAACTTCCCGGAGGTCAGCAAGCCGGGCCGCCTGCTCAGAATCCACCACGACATCCTCCCAGAAAACCGTTCCGTCGCAGTCGTCGCTGATTGGGCAACGGCTAATGGGACTGTTGTAAGATAACTAACACTAAAAGCTAGTGTACACCTTTGACTAAGCTGTCGCACAACTGTTGTGCGATTGTAGATTGTTTCGCAGAGAATTCAACAGTTTAGTTGCACAATTAAAAATGGAGTAGCGTGCGTACCTGAAAGCAAGACTAAACAGTTGTACGATAGTTTAGTTTCAGGTGTGGGCACGTTTCAGCTACTGTACTGACGATGGTCGCTAAACCATTATGTAGACTTTTTAATGAAAATCTCCACCAGGGGTACATAAACATTTTGGAAGACCTATTTAAACTGTTTAAATAAAATTGTTTTCGTTCACAAATCGTTACTGTTTCGTAGTTACCGGTATTTAGTATATGGCTTCTAACAACGGGATAATGGCTTTCCCGTTCTTTAATCTAAACTTAGCGATATTATAGGGTTTCCTGGAAGAGATCAACAACCTGCTGGCAGAGTCCGACCAGTACCCTATCAACTGGGTGCGCTACAACAACACCACGGAACTGAACGACGCTTACCATCTGAACGCGAGGCACTTCCCCATCGCCATCATCTTTCACACGGACCCCAGTACCTTCGGGGAACCGCTCAGGTATAGTAAATCCCTCTCGCCTAAAGTCGTCTCCCTATCATGTCCACTTTCATCCAACATTTTCATTCCCGTCCTTTCATTAAGACAAAAAGTATTCCAGCACACACGCTCATCAGAAGAAACGCGGAAAATGCTTCCTATTGACCCCTGTATTCTGTGATCGAAGATGTTTATTATTGTTAAAAAAAAATATTATTTTTTCAAAACTAACTAATATTTAACAATTTGTATTGAAATCTCTCTAGATACACAATTCGTACGAATCCCTCGCACGCCGGCACGCCGTCTACCCGTACTCTGTACACGTCTCCAGTGAAGTGCCGCGAAAGACCAGCGGTTAAAGACTGGTCTTCTGACTGGTCTCGTGGTGGCCAGCTCATTCCATTATCGGAGATGCACAGCGAGGACACCTGCCCTGTGCTGCAGTATTACTACTCAGGATTCCTAGCGATGCAGTCGATCATCGATTATGTTAAAATCAAGGTATACTAAGAGCGGGAGTATACCTGTGACTAAAGTATCGCACAACAATTATGCGATTGTCGATTGTTTCGCAGCCTCAACTGTTTAGTTGCACAACTGAAGTAGTGTGAGCACCTCCATAATCTCATAAGAATCAAAGCAGTTGCGTAAGTTTAGTTTCAGGTGTTTACAGACTCATAATCGTTTAGTCGTTAAGTTGTCTCCGTAGATTGAAACAAAATAACTCCATTAATAAAGGAAAATGTCGCTAAAATGAGTGTTTTTCAATTATCAAGAACGGTTTTATAGTGACAGTATTGGTGCATAGACTAGATTCCTAAACCTTAAAATGTGTGTTGTAGTATTTTTAATACTCTACTATCTATTTCTAGCTGGACACTGGCTCTCCTCTGCCACCTCCTAGGGTGGACCTGCGTCAGTTCCCGAAGCGGCAGCACACCGGCGACTGGCTGGTGATCTTCCGCGTCATCATGCCCATGTACATGGTGATGACGCTCTCGCAGTTCATCACCTACCTCCTCATGTTCGTGGTGGGGGAGAAGGAGAAGAAGATAAGAGAAGGAATGAGAATCATGGGATTAAAGGATTCTGTTTATTGGTAAATATGGAACTTGTTAGAATATAGCGTTTTAGGATGATCTTGACTTGATGATGTCTTTTAGCAGATTAAAATCTGACATACATATGTCCTCAAGAAGACAGAGTATCTTTAGAAGAATCCCCCTACGCAATAAATACCAGTTAGAATAAGGTTTTATCCAAGTTCCTTCTACAAAGAATTTGATTGGTTCAATGTTTGGTGTATTTTTCAGGGGTTCCTGGTTCCTCATCTACGCCGTCTTTGTTACAATACTGTCAATAGTTAGTACAGTTCTGCTATTTACTTTGGGGGTGAGTTTAATCTACTTATATTGATAATATACACAAAAGAACAAGATAATCCGTTAAAAATTAACTTGGCACGTAGGAAACTAGAGCAATCTATTGTCTGACGTGCCATATCAAACGTACACAGAATTTAATATTAAAAATGATTTGACAGGTGTTCCAGCATTCGTCTTACATCCTCATCTTCCTCCTGATGCTGCTATTTGGCTTTACGATAATCACATTTGCGTTTATGTTGACTCCATTCTTTGACAGTGCCAGGGTAAATATACATAAAACATTAAATGCAATTTTTAACATATCGTGCAGTCTATAAAAAGCTTTTGTTTGCAGACTGCGGGTATAATGGGAAGTTTCGCGGTGAACCTGATGAGCTGGCTGTACTTCATCCAGGTGTTTGTGTCTAACGCGGACTCGCTCGCCTTCTGGTTCGTCTCACTTATCAGTTCCAGTTGTTACGCTCTGGCTATGGATAAGGTAAGGTTTTTAATAGAATGCCTACCATTAATTTTAATCTCAAAGAATTCCATAATTGACTATACTACTAGCGCCATCTGTTGGCAAACGGAAACTTTCATGTGTACATGTTTTTATTTTTATAATTCGAAATATGTATGAATTTATTACATACTTGAAATACTAACGTCTTTATATTATTTTTAAAATTTAAATAAAAAACTATAGTGTAAACTATACTATAAAAAAAAATCTAAATTACTTAAAAAAATAAAGTAGGTAAAATTTGTTTAAAAAAAATTATATGCATAAAATTAAATTAAAAATATATTGTGTACTAACAGCAAAAAAAAACATCGACAAAAAGTATCGCCCGAACAGGGACTTGAACCCTGGACCCTTGGATTAAAAGTCCAATGCTCTACCGACTGAGCTATCCGGGCTGTGAAGAAGTTACTGAAAATAGTGTACAAATAATATGAGTGACATTTCATTTCACACAGGCGTTTACATTTAATAAATAAAACTTATTATAAGTTACATTGAAAAAAATTAACACCTGTTTCTTCCAAAACACACGTAAAAACATATTTTAAACATTTTTCAAAGGTATAACAATATATTTTTTTAACAAACTGAATCATTCAATTTTAAAAGTGCTATTAAAATCATTCATTCGTTCCGTTCACTGCAGGCGCTAGTCCTAGATATGGCGGGTGTAGGTGTGACATGGGACAACTTGTGGAGTGGTCAGGGAGTGCCGTTTGGGGGAAGTCTTATCATGATGGCAGTTGACACCGTGCTGTACGGACTGATTGCATATTGGTTGGACGCTGTTATACCTAGTAAGTAATACTCGAACAATCAACATTATAGATAATGAGATCTTAATTCGATTATGAAATATATGGAATTCGACAAAAATCAATGTCGCCTACCTCATGATTATAGGAAAATTGTAGTAATAGCCGCCTGAATTTAAATTTACCTGTCGATTTTAAGAGCAGGCGCACAAATTAGACCAAACTATCGCACAATTGTTGTGCGATTGTCGATTATTTCGCAGCCTCAACTGTTTAGTTGCTCAACTAAAAATCGAGTAGTTTACCTCCGTATAAGCTTATAGAAATCAAAGCGCGACTAAACAGTCATGCGATAGTTTAGTCAAAGGTGTTTACGAGCTCTTATATTACACTCTACGAACAACTAGTGAAGAAAGGTTCTACTAAGTAGTATAACATTTAAAATTCTTAACTTTTCCCAGGTGAGTATGGTATCAAACAGAAACCATGGTTCTGCTTACTCCCGTCGTACTGGGGAGGTGGACGACGCGGCAGAGTCTCTGCTGTTCATTTCCATTCTAACGGCGAGGCTGCACATAATAAGGACATCGAACCTGTTTCCAGGTGAGGAAAGGAAGGAGAAAAAAAATAGTTGAAAACGTTTTGGGATTGAAATCAATATTCGATCTGCAACCATTGTTGCTAACTCGAAATACAATCGGAAAAATGTTAGCTTTCGACCGCGATTATGTTCGCGTGGAATTAAAAAACTTTAGTATCCTATGTTATCTTTCTATGTACATTTCCAAATTTCGCTGAGATACATTACGCAGTTTAGGCTGTAAACTCCAACAAACAACCATCACATCCATCAATCTAAACTTCCGCAATTACAATTAGTAAGATTGTCAAGACGATCGAATAATTTTTATACGTACTTCGTTTCGTATAAAATAAATAAAATTATTTAACAATAACTTTGACTTTTAGGGTCATGGTTGCAAGTAGTCAATATTGAAAACTACAGTTTTTTTCCGCTAGTGAACTTCTAAAATAACTTTTTACCTTTCAGAGAGCTCCTAGATAAAGAAGCGATCAGAATTGTGGGTCTCCAGAAGAGTTTCCGTCACTGCCGCAAGCCGGAGATCAAGGCCATTGACGGCATCGACTTGAGCATCTACGAGGGTCAGATCACAGCAGTGCTGGGTCACAATGGCGCTGGGAAGTCCACACTCTTCAACATCCTGACTGGATTGACCGCACCTACGGCTGGCACCGCCTACGTGTATGGATTGGACGTGAGGTGTGGTAAATTTTATCATTTTATTATAAAAATATTATAAATGCGAAAGTTTAAATGGATGGATGGATGTTTGTTAGTGTTTGTAGCCTAAACGGTTGAACGGATTTCAATGAAATTTGGTATATATGTAGAGGACAGTCTGAAAGGGCACATAGGCTACTTTTGTTCTTTTTAATTCCACACTGACGGAGTCGCAGGCGAAAGCTTGTTTACTAATAATTTACCATTAAATTAAATGTTCTTTTTGAATTCTAGGGACCCTAACGACATGCACGAGATCCGTCAGATGATTGGCGTGTGTCCGCAGCAAGACGTCCTCTTCGACCTTCTCTCTGTTAAAGAACATCTAGAATTCTTCGCCGCGGTTAAGGTAACTTTATACAAAAAACCTGATAACTACTTAATATAGTTTCAGTGGTAGTGCCCGCTTTAACAATTAGCACTGCAGGGCCAGCTCGTACAGTGTAATACCACGACCACACAGAAGACAGCCGTCAAATGGAAGCAATTCCGTGTTTCGTCTGATGAGTGTGGTGCCGGAGGCCTGATTTAACTCCTTTTCTCTTTATCAGACTTTTCTTATATGAAGAGTGTGGGAACGGGAAGTGTATTGGACAGTGGGGGAGATGCATAGGAAGGAGAAATATCCTCCTTATGTGCGTCTCCTCCTCCGTCGGATAAGGGTAGGCAACGCATCTGCAATTGCGGATGTCTATGGGCAGCGGTCGCTTCGTCATTTTGGCGGATTCAGGTGGCCGCTTGCTCGTTTGCCATCTTATGTTATAAAAAAAATATAGTGTTTTCTTAGATTATTGAGCTGTTTTAGAGCGCTTGCACGTATTTGACTAAACAATCGCACAACTTTTTAATCTCGCTTTGATTCCCCTGAGCATATATTGCAACTGAACAGTTGAATTGGCTGCGAAACATACGACAATCGCACAACAGTTATGCGATAGTTTAGTCAATGTTGTAAGCCCGCACATGTACTTACATCTATCTTGAAATTAAATAATCCTTTCGTTCCGTTCGTTTAACATTCGGAAGAAAAAAACTGTACTTCTGGTAATTGGATCATTTTGTCGTATTATCTTCTTTCTTTCCCTGGCCAGGGTATACCGAGTAAGCGTCTAGCAGGGGAGGTCCACAAGGCGATGTCGGAGGTGGGTCTGCTGGAGCAGGCGGAGGTCTTCTCTAAGCACCTCTCCGGAGGTCAGAAGAGGAAGTTGAGCATCGCCATCGCTTTTATTGGAGATCCTAAGGTACGATGTGCAAAATATAGCAACTCTGCTTAGCTGCGGTATTTATAATTCTTACTTGTTAGGTAATATTATAAATACGAAAGTTAAGATGGATGATTGTTAGAACACATGTGCTATATACTTTTATTTTTTTTTAAATTCCATGTGGATGGGGTCGCTGGCGTATACTATTATTTTTTTAGGAATAGATTTTTGTCTATTTCCTTTAACCATTCCAACTAGATTTGACTTGTGGTAGGATATGGTTCACGACAATAGTCGAATTCGAACCTTCGACCGCAAGATCGGTACTCCATACCCCTAACCATTAGGCTATGTGCGCTTAAGTCACTAAAAAGAAAGGTAGAAGAATGCGTAAATGACGTAGTTTCATATTTAGATAATAATCCTGGACGAGCCGACGGCGGGCGTGGACCCGGTGTCGCGGCGGCAGACCTGGCGCATCTTGCAGCGCGCGCGCCGCGGCCGCGTGCTGCTGCTCACCACACACTTCATGGATGAAGCCGACATCCTCGGAGACAGGAAGGCCGTCATCAGCAAGGGCAGGGTGAGGACATTACCTTAGAAGTTACATAAATGCACAGCTTGCTGTAAAACAGGTTTCAACCAAGGTGGGACAGTCCTCAAAAAATTGAGAATTTTGTGGAACAATTTTACATTTTCTCATTTTACATATGACAAGCTTTTTTATCCAGCATAAGGAATAACTGTCTTTTTTGGTACTTATTGTATTTTTATATTTGTTTCTAGGTCCGGTGTGCAGGAACGTCGTTGTTTTTGAAGAACAAATTCGGTATCGGCTACCATCTCACACTGGTGCTGGACGGTATGTTACTTATCTAATTAAAAGCTTGTTTAACAATTTTGAACATTTCAGTCATGATTGTTACAACTTTGTTAGTACGACTGACCTAAAATGATCTTATGGCGTCTGCTAGTTTTTAGAGTTACCAGTTGGAAAAAAAAATCCCAGTTTCTCTCGGAATTCTGTTGACAATTGCCATATGATATTCCTTGTAGGTGCCTGTCGCGAGCACCAGATAACGCGGCTGGTGCGGGGCCACGTGCCCCGCGCGGAAAAGGCGCGCCGCCACGGCCGCGAGCTCTCCTACATCCTGCCGCACTACGCCGTGCATCTCTTCCCGCCGCTCTTCCATGCTATAGAGCATGAGATCAAGGAAAAGACGAACAGACTAGGTAATACTAACACATAAACACATAAACCATCATCTCCTACTTCCATGGTGTCAGCGCAACAGGTATGCCTCCTCCAGATAACTCTATCATCCGTTATCTATCATCACTCTCTTCTTGATCATGTCACTTTACACGCAATCCAACCTTCTCTTTCTAAGTCTACAACTGCCGGTGTACCATACTCGTAATTAACGCTCACCTTGTAACATGCGATTCATCCAACCTCATAACCTGCCCCCATGCTTACCTTTTACTCCTTACCTTCTGTACCACTGGTTCTACACTCAAACTTCAGTTTTCAGTCCTAAATTCTATTCCATTTTCAGGTATAACAAGCTACGGTGTGTCAATGACGACGTTAGAGGAGGTATTCCTCAGTCTGGAGGGAGAGAACGCGGAGGAGACGGAGGCGGTGGAGGGAGTCTCCTCCGTGAAGTTGGTGCGGGCGAGAGCGTTATCCAGAAGCCTCTCACTTCAAAGCAAGACTTTAAGTTATCAGGTATTGTGAAATGCTGTCTCTGTTTTATCAAACAGAATGATAGAGATGTAAATACTATGTACTATTGACAGGAATTAAACGACAAAGAACAGCAGAAGACCACATCTCTGCCGACCCCACCGCACACCGCTTCGCATGCGCTACACTCCACCACACATGGAGTAGAAACTGTTAAGGTAAAAGAAAAGTAAAGCCTTACTAATATTTTAAATGCGAAAGTTTAGATGAATGGATGGACCTTACGTTGTGAAACCTCCATTCCCTTCCCGTTACTTTCTTAAAAGAAGCAAAGGAAAGTCTTGTTAGTATTTTTAATGCTGTCTTTGTCAGGTGCCAGTGGAGACGCCAGCGTCAGCGCTGGGCGAGCCAGTAAAGACGAGCCCGTCCTGCTGGCGCACCTTCTGCGCTCTCGTGTACATCCGCACCGTGCGCATGATACGGGACCCGTACAAGTTATACGTCATGATATTCATGCCTATAAGTTAGTACTAATTCTATGACCTCACTTAGAATGTACCTTTATTTAAAAACTTAAATCTACCCCATTTTGGTCAAATTCTCTACTACTGTTCCAAACTGCTTGATAATCTTCTTTACCTCTTTTTCTTTATCTTTTCAGTTTCCTGCGCCCTCGGTCTCTACATAAAGTCACGGCAGATAGTATTTTTTCGAATGCAACCTTTAAAATTAGACCCTAATGCATATCTAAATAAGACTCCAATCGCATTGAACAGCGAACAGGACAATTTAAAAGAACTTCTCGACTTCCGAGAGTCGTTGGAGACTTTAGGTGCATACCCTATAGTGGACTTCGATGGAAACTTCTCGAGTCTTCTGGATATGGAGAACTTCGGTGCATTCAGTTTAATAGATAGTGTTATACCGTACGGGAAAATAATGACGTATTTTAATAGCACCTACACACACAGTCTGCCTATTATTGTTAATTTATTGGATAACAGCATTTACAGGTGAGGTTTTTTAGAAACTGTCAAATTATATTATTTATAACACGGCTAAAACTCACGTGGGAACTTTCGGTGTAGGCACCGACCAGAAGGACCCCCTACGGGTTTAAAACTTTTCGGTGCCTACACCGAAAGTTCCCACGTGAGTTTTAGCCGTGTTATAAATAATATAGTATAATGTCTCACGAAAGTTTTAATAAGTTAACTGTCAAATTACTTGATTTTTGACCGACTTCCCAAAAGAAGGAGGTAACTACTTAATTCGTCTATATGTTTTAATAACTATGAGGTTGCAAACTAGCAAGCGGCCACCTAAATTCACCAAAAAAGGGAAGCGACCGCCCATAAACATCCGCATTTGCAAATGCGTTCCCTAATCGAAGGAAACGCACACAAAGAGGATATTTCCTTTTCATATGCGTCTCCTCCACCTTTAAATCTGCTTTTATTTCCTATCCATTACTTATAAGAAATGACCGCTGATAGAGATGTATGGAAGAGCAGCACATACTATGCCGACCCTTCGTAAGGGATAAGGGCAAGTTGATGATGATGATGACTTTGTAAAAAATAGGTGGGATCGGAAAGAGACTAAAATTAGGTTTTTTTAATGTCTATTACAGGTGCGTTTTTATTTCCTACCCAATTTACTTACTGAACTAGCGCGTGCCATCCTTCGACCACATCTTCACTTTGGTCTAGGTGGGATCGTGGCTAGTTTATACGTGATAAAAAATAAAAAAAAACATAAAAGCTTGAAAAAGTGAGCGCCAGCAATTGGTCAAGTTTTTGTTATAACCAAAAATTAAAATTACAGTTCTTTTTTCTTTCGATTCATTTTCCAGGGTGTTAATGTCAGCATCCAACCAGCTCTCTAGCTTCAAGCCAATCGAGGTGCTGACACATCCGTTCCAGCAGACAGAACAGCAGGAGGAGTTCAACCTTGGCAACATGGTCTGCGCCATCTTTATGGGCATGATATTCGGCCTCGTGCCAGTCACTCTCGCTGTGGATATTGTCTATGATAGAGAAGTAAGGATCGTTATTACTAAATTTTGCTCGCGAATTTGCTCGCGTGAAATTAAAAATACAAATTATAGCCTATGTTACTCGCAGAGAAATTACCTTTCTATAGGTGAAAGAAATTTAAAATTGGCCCAATAGTTTTTGCTTGAATCGAATACATACAGAAGTCCAATAATACAAATCTTGCCTCTTTATAATATTAGTATGGATTCAGATTTCATTTCATATTTAGACCTTTGACTTAACTATCGCACAACTGCTTTGCGATTGTCAATTGTTTCACAGCCACAAGATAATGTAATCTCCATAAAAGCTCATAGGAATCAAAGCGCGACTACAGTTGTGCGAGAGTTTAGTCTAAGTAAAGCGCTCTTAACTTAGAAATAAGATAAACTAATCCAATGTCTGTATTGTTTCAGATAAAAGCTAAGAACCAGTTGCGTGTGAACGGGCTGTCGATGAGCATGTACTTCCTCACTTACTTCACCGTCCTCATCTTCATCATGATCCTCACCAGCGCCGGCGTACTCGTGCTGGTGAGTTCTGATATTGTGGAATTTATTTAGTTAAACATTTGAATACATTTCCAAACCACTTCCAAAGTTTAAAGTAGTAAGTTTTATTCTTCATATTTGCAGTGATATTTTAGTTTACTTACTCAGAAATTTTAATTGATTGTTAAGTAAGATTTCATTCGAGAAATCCTCACTAAGTGACTTAACGTAACCAATAATGGTTAACTTTGACAGCAACAATAGTTTAAGTTTCTTTTTACTTTTTAACAGATACACTAGCTTTCACCCGCGACTCCGATCGCATGGAATTGAAAAAAAAAGTAAGGATTGTATGTGTTCTCCCAGACTATCCTCTACATCTATGCCTTTTATCGATATCCGTTCAGCAGTTTATCGACAAACTAACAAACATCCATCCCTCACTTTCCTTTTTATAACAGTAAAAATTAATGTCTATTTCCAGGTAATCATCAACGATATACCAAGTCTGACAAACGGACCGGCTATCACGATGCTGACCGGTCTACTGCTGTTGTACAGCCCGTCCGCCATCTTGTTCAACACGTGTCTGTCATACGTGTTCGACAAAATGGACTCCGCGCAGAGTATAATGCCCAATATTACAACATGGATTGGTGTTATACCGTTCGTCTTAGTCGCTGTACTCGATACTTTTAAATGGGGTGAGTTTTGCAATATTTTTATACCATAAAGTGTGAACCGTCAAAGCGACCGCTACCCTACGTCTGTCATTAAAAAAAAATAAAAATTAATTTTCCCCTTGGGCCGGGGACTGGTGTCAAAACTAGGGTGACGCCCTGTGTCACCAGGCCCCCGCCCCACAGATAGTGAATCTTACAATAACAAACTTAAAAATAAACAGATATATAGTACTTAGTAATTGCAAATATGTTGTATGCCCATGTAACAGAGACGTAAATAAAGAGGATATTTCCCTTTCTTATGCGTCTTCTCCACTGTCAAATTCACTTTCCCTTCCCATTATTTCCTTATAAGAAAAGAGTAGAAAGGAAATGGAACTAAAATTAGGTCTAAGTTTGTAGTGTTGAAATCAAGTATGAAATTTTTGTCCCTTTTTTCAGGTAGCGACATCGCTTTCTATCTTCACCTGGTATTTAGTTTTCTAGACGTGATGTATATACCTTACGCCATTATCTATTATGTGGATAGGTGAGTTATCACTTAACTATTACCTGTCCCATTATTTACTAAATAAATTTGTGTTCTATCTGATATATCAGAACGTATAGAGGAAGTTTGAAAGTTTTGCCAGTGGTGGAGAAATTGAGAAGCAAAAGGTTAGAGTATGGACATATGCGACGAGATGTTGAAGACATAAACCAGAAAGTGTTTAGACTGAATGTAGCTACAAAGGTAGAGGAAGACTGAAGAAAGTATGGATGTGAAAGTGTGAGAGAGGATATGCTTAAAGGAGTGGATTCAGATATGACGGCTGATAGAGATGTATGGAAGAACACTGTTCCGACTCTCCGTAGGGACAAGGGCAAGTTGATGATGGTCTGATATTTGCTATATTTCCCAGGGTATACCTGACGTGCAATCTGCGCGGTTTATGCACGGAGCCAGAGCTATGGAGTTACTTCACCGCGGAGGTGTGGGTGCTGGTGGCCGCCATGTTGGTGCACGTGCCGGTGTGCGGCGCCGCGCTGCTCGCCGCTGACAGACTCAAGTCCGGTGGACGGATATGTCCGGTACACTCATTTCTTTTCATTTCCACACATTTGTCATTCATTTAAATACGTCAGTTCTGAGTATCTCATGTTCCAATTCAGATTCGAAGAAATTCACCACAACTCAACATTTATTAGCTAAAACTTCATAACTTGTCTGGTGAAACAGTTTGTTTCACATATAACTAAGATTTTACCGTTATTTTTCAATATTACTTCGATAATGTAACAATATTTCGTTCTCATAAATAACTCAAAAAATTAAATATTTTTACGACCGCCATCAATAGAATTTTACGTTTTTCTGGTCACTTAGGTGTTGAATAAAAATAAGATATATTTTTGACTGGTTTTGTGTATCCAGAAGGGTAGTCCTGCTCTGCGCGCGCAGGAGGCGGAGAGCGAGGCGGGCGGCGAGGCGGGCGAGGACGAGGACGTGCGGCGCGAGCGGCGCCGCGTCGCCGGCTTCCTGCAGCGCCCGCACCACCACGCGCCCGCGCTCCTCGTACACGTCAGTATACAGTCTACACTACCTGCTGCTGGCAACATCCAAATTTAAAAATAAGAAAAATATAGCTTTTTAATGGTGAAAGAATTTTTGAAATCGGCGAATTTTTGAAATTTATAATTTATTACACCTTATAAAAAATACAAATCTTACCTTTTTATAACATTAGTATAGATGTATACACCATGACAATTGTACACTTCTATTCAAATAGCTTGGCAGCTCAAGCTCTTCTGGATAAAAAACCCTTCCACTCAATTTTTTACGACCAGAAAGCATCTAAAATTGGGTTGTATACTCTTTGGTTTAATACCATATTTATACATTCATTCGTTCTGTTCATTCATCACATGTATTAGGCTCACCTCACTCCAGTCGATCGACTCGCTCAATATGGTCATTCACTACATCCTTCCAAATGCTCATATAAATCAATCTTCATTCACTCATGTGAGTGTAATATAAATGTAAGCGTCTGGTAACAGAATCTCCGCAAAGAATACAAGCTGCGAGGGTCGTCTTCCCGCGGGCTGTGCGGCGGCGAGGAGGCGCTGCGCAAGGCGGCGCTGGCGCGGCTCAGCCTGGCCGTGCACGGCGGAGAGGTGTTCGGCCTGCTGGGACACAACGGCGCCGGGAAGACCACCACCATGAAGATCATCACCGCCGAGGAGAGGTTCACCTGTGGCACGGTTAGACTTGCGTATTACAACAAATGTTTCAAGGGATTATCTGGTAACACATACGCAGTTCCTCTGGTGTTGCAGATGTCTTTGGGCGTCAATGAGCAATTCAGTGTTCCTGCTGCTCGTTTGCTCTGTTTTCTTATAAAAACCTAGCAAGAAAATTTTACTAATATTATAAACGTAAAAGTTTAGATGGATGGATTGTTAGAGTTTGTAGCTTAAATGGCAGAACGGAATTCGATGAATTTTGGTATAGATGTAGAGGATAGTCTGGAAGAACACATAGGCTACACTTTTGTTTTTTTTTTTGAATTCCCCGCGTACGGAGTTTATAAAAGCTAGTTTGCCATAAAGTGTTAATAAGTTGCAAATTTTCTTGCCATTTCCCCTGGTCAAATGTTTAGTCCGTGTTTCAGGTGATGCTTGGCGGAAAGAACATCGAGGAGGCGCAGTCGTCCGCCTTCCAGATGCTGGGCTACTGTCCGCAGCACGACGCGCTCTGGAAGAACGTCACCATCAGAGAGCACATCGAGTGTTACGCGGCCATACGCGGCGTCAGCAAGGCAGACACGCCTAGGTATACTGTTACTAGGCACCCTAATCTACTAATCCTTGGCGATTACTATCCATACTTTTGGATTCGGCTATTTTTTGCGGCCGGCCGCCGGCCTGTCGCCAACTGCTTGGGTTTATGTGTTTAATTTTATCTTTTTAATTTTGTTTTCAGGATAGTGGACGCGTACCTAAACGGTCTGCAGATAATGGAGCACGCGGGCAAGAACGCGGAGGACTGCTCCGGCGGCACGCGGCGCAAGCTCTCCTTCGCGTTAGCGATGGTTGGAGACCCGCGTGTCGTGCTGCTCGACGAGCCCTCCACCGGCATGGACCCGCGCAGCAAGCGCTTCCTCTGGGACACCATACTCGCCAGCTTTCAGGTAATAGATGGCGTTAGTGTAACAGTTATCAACTATCGGCTAACAGATGGCGTTAGTGTAACACAGTTGTCAACTACCTGCAATAGATGGCATTAGTGTGACAGAAGTCAGCTATCCGCTAACAGATGGGGGTAGTGGTTCACGTTTAGCTTTTACGCGATAGATGGCGTTAGTCATTTCCTCGTCAGCTACTGGATAATAGATGGTGTTAGTGTGACCAACAAGCAAGCTTTCTGTTAATAGATGGCGTTAGTGTAATAGAAGATCAGTATTTTGTAAATTCTTTATTTCACTTTATTTTCAGGGTAAAAAAGGTGCTATTCTGACAACACATTCCATGGAAGAGGCTGACGCTTTATGTTCAAGAGTGGGCATTATGGTGAAAGGAAGCTTAAGGTATACTTAATTTGAAACAGAAGTAAACTTTCGTTATCTAGTAAAAAAATAACGTTTCAAATATATTTTAGGTGTATTGGTTCGACACAACATCTAAAGAATTTGTATGGCGCCGGCTACACGTTAGAAATGAAAATTGGTCAAAACAATCAAAAAGTGGTAAGAAAAAAACGTTAGCATTAATTTCAGAGGTTTAACGTGGAATAGTTAATTATTTATTTTAGATAAATAACTAATAATAGTTCTGATGGTGTTTACATACTTTGTTAGATTAAGCAACGAGAGAAATATTAACGACTAACCTCCACTAGATGGCACTACAAGTAGAATAATTTCAAATGAAATTGTTTATGTTAGTACATAAACGAAGAAGTTTTCTACTCAATCATTTAAATAATTAACAATTCATTCCAGATGCTGGATTCAGATCTGTCAATGACGTCATCGCCACTAAGATCTGATGAAAATTCACCATCGTTAGGAGAAGCAGATGAAGGTAAAAATTGTTATTTGTTAATTTCTTCTCATGGCACCATTTATTTTTTCCAGAAATATAGGAATAAGCCCAAAACTGTGAACTAAAAATATTACATCGCTTATGATTAAAAAAGTAAAATTAGAAGCATCTTTTTACATCTCCACGGTCTAATATTTTTTTTTAGTTTAAGGCGTTTAATAACTAGAGTTTACTTCGTTCTTTAAATTTACAGGTGGATCGGGTGGGGGCTCAGTGACAGCGGAAGCGGACGCGGAGGCGGAAGGCGAGGCGGAGGCGGTCGACATCAGCATACACACGCCGCTGGTGGCCGGCACTCCGCCCTTGCCTAGGCAACAACATCATAGGTATACTAATGTTATGAAAGAGAAATATTTATATTATTGATTTTTGTATGTATTGAAATAACTCGTATACTAGAGGGCCGATTTTATAAATTCTTACCCCTATTAAAAGCTACGTTATCGCTGAGTAACATAGGCTATTTTACTTTTATTTAATTCCATGTGTACGACGTCGCGAGCAACAGCTAGTAATATGTAAGACAAAATTGTAACCATATTGACTAGTTTAAAAAAATCTGAAAAATTCACAGAGAACGAAAAAGAAACCACAACAATTCTGTCCTCTGCCAAATTCTAGTTAAATATAAAATTATTGATGCGAATGCATTAAAAAAACACTCATCATCCACTTGCCCTTAACCCTTACGGAGGGTCGGCACAGTAAATTTATTAAAAAAAAACACTCGACAGCAAAAATTTACAAACTGAATTTTCTTCAACGTGATGTTTACACGTGTGGTTTACATTGCACAATAAAACAAGTAATTACAACTTTGAATTAGCAAATAAATCAAGATATTGTTGTCAAAATAGATTATAACTACGTCCTCTTTATCGTTAGAGTAAACATTTTCCGCTGTTTGTGAATGAGATATAACGTAATGGTAACTTTATATAATGCCGACAATTGAATTTTGTGACGTTTTAAGTCTAAAATACAGAAATTGGTAACTTCCTCCTTTTTAGGAGTCGACTAAAATAAAAAAAAATATTAATTTTTCCATTGGGCAGACGACTGGTGTCCAAACTAGGGTAGCATCCTGTGTAATGAGGCTAAAAAGTAGGAATGGCGTTAATAGCGCTTTAACAACGCAGTGATTATGTATTGGATTTCTAGAGACTTTTTACAGTAAAGAATACATCCAAACCTTTAAACCCAAGTCGTGCAAGCTTAAACATGTCCAAATACTGAAAGTTTAGTCTAGATCTTTTGGTTTTTTGAGAGAGTACCGCTTCACACATACACCTCAACATACGAAACAAGCTGTTTAAGTCGAATTCATTACCTCTCTTGTGTACCACCACAATAATGCGAATGATTTTTGAACATTTTTTCAGTCCAGCGTAATTATAACCGGTCATTAAAATAGCGACGAGCGGGGTACAGTGGACTAAAATCTCAGTTTACACAGATATTCAGTAAATACAGAATGCAGTTTATAAAGATATTCGATAAAGACAAAATTGTACCAATAAGGAATATTATCAACCACAACAACACATGAAAATGTCTATGTTGGCCAGGATATTAGCCCGCTGTGCACTGCTTGTCGCAAGTTAAGGGTAGGTTGGTTCTTCTTGATATACGAAACGTATATTTTGGTATCAGGTCGGAGTCTAGCGGGGGCGGTGCGGGGGCGGAGGCGGTGGTGGCGCTGGTGGCGCAGCTGTTCCCCGCCGCCGTGCTAGAGGAGAACTTCGCTGAGCGCCTCGTCTTCTCCGTGCCTCAATCCTCTGTATCCAGTCTCGCGAGATGCTTCCAGCAGATAGAAGATGGTAAGCAATATAAAACTATCAACGAGATAAAATCTTACTCTTACTAATATTATAAATGCGAATGATTTAGATGGATGGATGTTTGTTAGAGTTTGTTTGTATTTCGATAAAAATTTGGCAACGATGTAGAAGGTAATCTGAGAAAACACATAGGCTATCAGCTTTTTTTTTTAATCGCACGCGGACGGAGTTGCGGGCAATAGCTTGTGTGCTAATAAAATCGAGTTGATATCCAAGTAATTACCAAACCAAGACCTGTCCTACCAATTTGTAAATTGTGTTAATACAATCCAACATGTAAAATGTGTGATGGAAATATCGGATTTTGTTCCCTTATCTGACAGATTTAAGCTATCAGTTATTTTTAAGCTATCTGAGCCTCTATCAGCCAGTGGTGGGACAGGCCCTAAATATAATTTGTTTTCTTTACTAACGTAAACTTATAGAATTCATGTTAGCTATTCTATCTATTGTTTTTTTTTCAGCAAAAGAAAAACTGAACATAGTAGAATATAGTTTCAGCCAGACGACGCTGGAGCAGGTGTTTTTGAAGTTTGCACAAACCGAGAACGTCGAATCTTCAGACCAGGAGCATTGATTAAACTCCTTCATTGTTTTATATTATAAGCGAAGCGCCACTTGGAAAACTTTGGTTATCTGTCAAACTTGTCAACTGTCACTTTTAGGTTAGAATTTTTAATGTTTCGGAAGTTTATTTAGAAAATAAACTATGAAAGTTTTTCTTAAACATTAGTTTATCCCGCTAGTAATTTTAAATTTCCAATCAAAGGTTACTAAGTGGTGATTAAAAAGTTAATTGTGCTTTTAAAACTGTAATATAAAGAATCGCTTCTAATATGTTCTGTAGTTTATTTCGTTGAGTTGTCTAAACGCTTTTTGTATGAAGTTTCCAGTTGATGAGAGAATATTATGTAGGTGTTGTAGAATATAAAATGATACACCGTGTTGTGGCGAAAATCTTTATTGGCCTATATTAAAATATAGACTGTTGAATTCATGGTAAAAATAAAAAATCTTTTTTGTAATTTTTGAAATATGTTATAGCAACACCATAAATCGTTAGCTCTATGAAAATCATAGATTAAAATAATACGGTGTTTAAGATGGCGCCACATGCACGGAGTATGCGTAGGCGTTGACTGTGTGAATTGTTTTATAATTTCATACTTTTAGTAGCGAGTTTTATATACGGATTAGACTTTGGTATACATTTTACATTTGTTTATAAAAGTACACGTACTTAACTTCTAGATAACGCAATAAGTACAGTCGCCTTCGACTTCGCCGAGGATATTTCCTCTTCCTATGCATCTCCTCCATCGTCAAATCCGCTTCCCCTTCCCATCCTCGCATAAGAAAAGGGTAGTAAAGAGAAAGGGACTTAAATTTGACTTAATCGTTTAAATGTGCATCGAAAAGACTCCTATTAGAAAAAATAGTTTCAGTTATTTTAAAAATTCCATAACTCCACCTAATTCTTTAAAATACGTGTATTTTATAATAAACAAATGTAAAACATAGTATCGTTATATTTAAGGTAATATTAACACTTCGGTATGTGGTTAATATGGTGCCTGGTTTTTTTATATTTCCCAATGTTTTATTTTATTTATTACTCATCAAATCATTACAAATATCAATAATTTATAGGTTATAAAATAGACATAACCTACAGATATCTACTCTATAATCTATAGATTATATATCCATGTATTAAAGTGATTTTGAAGGATATTTGACATTTGCTGCGTAGATAATTATTTGTTTATTTATTTCCAATCTTGTGATTTATTTCTAGTCACATTTATATAATGTAGGTAATTATTTTACATTTAAGATATGTGTGTTTTATTATGAAAATAACTTATACAATAGATCGGAAAATTGTGACGGGAATAAACTTTTTCATAGATAATAATACTAAATGCCTAAAGTACGCTACAGTTGTTATAGATTTTATACATACTAAGGTTAAAAAACTACCTAAAAATAATGTGTAATTGTATCAGATTGTTTTTTAAAAGCTAGTTTTGCTTTTTGTGAAACTTTTTTACGTAAACATAAAAACAAATAAACATAACAATTACGCTATTAATTTCTTATCCTTGTAATTTTTAGAAATTGAAGCAAAGGCTGTAATTTCCAAGCCTATCTATTTAAACAGATCAATGGTAAAAACCCGTAATATCAAAATATACGTATCTCCTATCAGCTTTAAGTTACAGTATTTTAAATTAGTTTATTTATTTAGTCAATTTTGTGTGTGGAGTTTTGAAGCTACTAGACGCGATAAGTAACTAGGGAATATTTAAAATAATGCGAATATAAAATGACATTTGACAACTGACATACTTGTCAAGAATTTGTAAAGCGTCGGTTTCCATTGTTAAAGTTTTGTAATTTTGACTGCAAATCCAAAAATAAACAAAGATGTATCGCTAAATGCGTTGTTTCTAGTTGGTTCTATCAGAATATATTTAAAATCTACATGGACATAGAAAATGACATAAAGAGGGCGCTAGTGGTCTGAATTTAGTTTAAATTATGTCTGTCGGATCAAATAACTCGTCGATCTGTAAGCTATTTTATAATAATGTAAACAGTTCCATTTTACATAACGTCTGTTCTTTAATTTATCTAAATGACGTATCTCTATCAAACAGACCGACGAAAGAACAAAGAAAACATGCATTTTATATTTACTTAAAATATTTGTATATTTTTTATCTAAACGGAAATTGGATTGTTTTTCTCTAATAACGTTCAGGTTAAAAATTGTAGGGTTGTAACGGAATTTTAACGTTGCGGATGCGGAATTATAATTTCTTGCGGAAGTTCCGCACTTGCGGATGCGAAAGCGGAGTTCCATTACAGCCCTAAAAATGTGTATGCTTTCTTGGGATATTTTTTTAAATGTTATGTATAATTAAGTACATAACAAAAGGACAGTATTTGGAATAAAACTATGTAAGTTACCTATTTATCCAAGTTATTTTACTTATTTCTAGGATGTGACATAAAATATTTCTTAATCCAAACGATTCAAATAATACATTTTTCATACACAATGAAAATATTTGACTGTAACATAGTTTTGTATCCGATATGTGTTTTTATTTGTTTTTTTTAGTAAATTTTAGTCAATTAATTTAGTACCGAAATAAAACATTCAACACGTCTTTTGGTATTTTATTTTGATAATGATTTCCAATTCCAAAATCCGAGATAATCCAAAGTATACTCGTAGTTAATTTTGTTTCTATGCAATTAATGCACATGGCGATTTTCAAGGTTCAATAAATCTACACTACTATCTAATTTACTAACCTCGTCTTAACAGATAATATGCTAGTAATATATCGTAATCACTCTTATATTGTTATAAAATTAATTTTATAAGTTATGGCATTGTTGAAAGCAACCAAAGAGTTATGCTCGCAATGTTTATTGTTTGATAATTTGAGCAAACACATCTGTCGGCGAAACTGCCTTATCAAATTATAAAGTATTTTCCCTCTAACGAGATTTCTATATGATACAATATTTAGATTTACCTGATAATTATTTTAATTAAAATTGTATGAAACGTATTTTTTAATAACAATCTTAAGCTGCAGATGCATTAGATGCTGCGGATTTCTAAATTGTAATACAGTCGAAATATTTAGTTAGTGCTGCGTAGTCTAAAATTTTGCTACAGTTCATCTGAATTTGCAAGAGCGTCGTAAGACCTGTCATGATTCGGATCTGAATGTTGGGCAGTAAAAGGAAAGGATGGCAGAAATGCGAATGTTTAGATAGATGTGTGGGGTAACACAAATGGATAAGTTACGAAATGAGAATTAGAGGAAGTTTGAGAGTAGCCCCGTAGTAGAGAAGGTAAGGAGCAAAAGGTTAGCATGGTATGGGCATGTTATGAGGAGGGATGAATCGCATGTTACAAGGAGAACGTTAGTTATGAGTGTGGTACACCGGTAGAGGTAGACGTAGAAAGAGATGGATGGATTGCGTGAAAAGTGACATGATCAAACAGGGAGTGATGACTGAGATGACGTATGATAGAGTTATGTGGAGGACAAAAACCTGTTGCGTCTATGAGAGTAGGATAAGGAGGAAGACGATGAGTTCATCTGAAAGTCAACTTATGCCTATAGATGCACATGTTGTACTGAGCGACAAAGAACCAAATAGCATTATTAAAATCGCACATAATAAAGCAATTTGAGATTGAACATTGATTTAAAAACAATGTTTAGTTCTTGTCAACTTGCGTGTTTTCGCCACTTTAATTGTTGAATTGCTAACGCATCGCAACCTACTTAACACATCTATGTCAGAACACAGAACAATAGCTTTTGTTGTTATTTCATAAATTCCAACTAATATATAACAAAACAGCAATTAGCAAGGTGATTGGAGAGGTTACATTGAATTAAAATAGTTTATAAATAAACATATAGGAGGATTTTATAACACCTTGTTAAGGTTGACAGAGTTCTTCGCATTAGGGCGCTATTGGACCCTTTGATTAGAACGTTCCTACGTCTATTACTACGTTTAACTTGCTTTGGACGGGATATGAACGAAGTCTGGGACTTAATCTATAGAGAAAACTCTGTTTCATATTTTCATGTCCTTCAAAACTGCGCATCGAATTGACAAACACAATAATATCTAGCCATTCTGACTGAGTATTATAAATAATATGTGTATAATTGCAGACGACCTATACGTCAATTAAGCATTACCTAAACAAGGTATTATTTTCAAATTATTCGCATGTTTCAAGGAATCGACAATTCGTGATGTTCTTACGATCGTGGTAAGAGATCGTGCGTTATAAATTAGCTGAACCATCAGTTTTCGTCTGTCAGATTTTGCAATTCAAAATTAACCTTAAATTCAAATTTGTTTCAAAACGTAGTCAATAGATGTCGCTATTTTGTCTGAGCTTTAGTCAATCGGTTTTACTTTTTAAATTTTTAAATATGAGGGTTTAGATGGATGGATGTTTGTTAGAGTTTTTAGTTTTATAAAGTTTTTAGCCTATACGGCTGAAGGAATTTCGATGAAATTTGGCATAGATGTAGAGAATAGTCTGGATAAACACAAAGGCTACTTACTTTTGTTTTTATTTTTAATCTACGCGGCCGGAGTCGCCAGCAAAAGTCAGTTCACTAATAAATATAGTTAGGTTAATTAAAATTTAGGTTAAAATTTTGACATGTAACGCAAAAAAACTATCATAAAACATTATTTTTACTTTATAAATGTTACTTGGTATTTACTAAGAGATGAATTGTGTGAAAAGGTGACTTTTTAAGCAACAATAAAAATACTGTGCCAAAGGAAAGAAGGTTTCTTATATTTGTACAGACAAATAGATTTAATATTACAATACGGAGTCGGTTCAAGGCATAACGAAAGGACTCCGAGTGGATTTCGCAACACGATTGAATAGACGCCGTTTAAAGTTAACATTGGGGCAATAACTGACAATAAAGCTCCATAATTAAACTAAATAATAACATGAATAGGAATTTAACTATATTAAAGAAGGTTTAAAACTATTTCTTTACTGCAATTGTTCAACGGCGGATCCAGGGGGGGCGGCTGTCATGGGGATCATGACCCCCTCTGAGCTGGTTGTTCAAGAGCTTGACAAAATATATTTACATATTTTATCAAGCTCTTGACTTGACCACGACTATGTGACTTCCTGGCGCCAAAACTGGATCCGCCATTGCACTTATTATGGAGGTTGATTGTTAGTCTACCAAAAATATATGCTACCATTAGTTTGAGAAATAGCCGATAAATAAAATAACAATACAGAACAAACAACTAATAAAATATTTCTTTCAAAAAGGGTTAACGGTCAAGGTAAAACAAATCATGTGACACAACTAAATTTAAGACCAATCGATTAATTTGTTAATTTCAACATCTCGCCTTGAATTAATTCTATTTCATTTTAAAACTAGCTGTTTCCGTGCGACTTTATCCGCATATAATTATGAAAAATTTAATTTTATGGTTTAGATGTCAAATTATCAATTGCAAATGACAAAATTAAATGACGTGATAACAAACCATGGCAACTTTGCTTCCTAAATGTTGTCAGTTTGTAGTTTATGGTCCCTTTCCCACATGAAGGATTTTTACCAATTTATTTATTCCCCAAGTTGAATTGCGTAAAAATATTCAAAAATATGTTGTGATTGCTGACATCCTGCGCCACAAAGCAGTGTGTGTTTACACTTTATCATAATAGTCTAGATAGATATGTATAATAAAAAGAAGTTATTAATATAAATTATTATTCCGGAAGACATATATTCATATTTTTGATTTTCGCAACACACTAGTAAATTAATGAACACTACATTTTTATAATAAAAATTAAGCGATATTCACTAATTATGTTCTACTTCTGAATAATGTTTTTTTTTTCAACGTTTTCAGCCAGTTTAGGATAGTCACAGTTGTAAACATAAACACGGGTTTAAACTGCTATAAGAATGATTATTATAAATAAGTTTGAAAGGAACATACGTATATCTGTTTGTTGCATTGATTCTATTTCATATTAGATATTCAGGACAATGAAAGACAATTTTTTGTCGCAAAGCTCTTTAATAAACGAACAAACATATCACGCGTGTATGTTTAATTTGGTCCAAAATTAAGCAAATGTCTGTCAATCATCTTATTAATAGGATTACCAAATGAGTAAAATTAAATTGGGACTTTCTTTTACGAAATAGCATTAATTTAAACCTGTAATTTACAGAATTGATTTCAAATTAAACCGATCATAAAAACGCAACAATTGAATCGAAATGTCGTTTCATTCCATACATAAAATCTAAAACTCCAAGACACGGTCATACTCCTATAAATAAAACCCAGGACGATCCATAACTTATATTATGTCACCCTACACACCGTTCCAACAGAAGTAATTCCAATCCGCATTCGCAAAGCGGTGCGGACGCCGAACACGCGGTCGCGTAACGCGCGTTTCTCTACACGTAATATACGACAAACAAAAAACATGTTTAATAAATATAGTTTCCTAAGGAAGTAATTAATAATGAATTAATGTGCAAGTGTTAATGTGAAATATTGAACAAGGAACAGATTTGCGTTTGTACGTAAGTATTTTATTCTAAAATAAAATAAATACTGTGATAATATTACCCCAAAATTAGGGTTTTAGCCCCTCTACGGAGTTTTACATAGATTAAAAAAATAACTCGGTAAAAGAATAAAAATCAAAACAGAAATAACATATGATGATATAAATATTTAAAAGTAAGTAAATATTTAAAACTAAACATCGCCGACCTATTATCTTCCAGCCAAAGATTATTGATTTATCTCGAACTATTTTCTTCTTATCTATGGTATTTTTAATTAACTTTTTTAATCAATCTGCTTCAACTATCCAAGAACATAATAGTAATAAAAAAATGTACTCCCATACAAAATGGCAATTCTTGCATCGATTTTAGTCATGTTACGCTTTGTCTAAAGTTGGCGCCATTCACTGCTGGTTCAGCAGTTACTATAAAACTACGAAATGTAATTGACGGCTTTGAAATAATTTACTTTGTAGATTACTTGCGGTCATATATAAGCGAAATATCTTTGTATACTAACGCACAAACAGAGACCTTTTCCCGACAAATCCCTTCGCTTGATTTTCGTTCAAACGAAACGGATCATTAAAGTTCCGTTATTTAATTAATTTATGTATTAAATTTATATAAAATACGCGTAGTTTCAAGGTCACGTTTCCTAGGGTCGTAGTAATGTTGAACCATCACAAAACTCGTCTCTAACGGTGCCAACGTCCGTTCACTTCAGTCTGGCGAGTGTTAGCCCTGCTTGTAACTCGTTCAACCCGTTTCTATGCATCTTCATATAATAAATGACTGGTTGTAAAGCTATTTTTAATACGTTCAAGCGATAGTCCATGTATTTTAATAGTTATTAACGCTAATTACAAAAAGTAAGCCATTAAAACCTATTCTTCACTTTTCAAATATAGAGAAATTTGTCAAAACTATCATGCTATCAGACAATTTAACAAAGTACTCAGATTCGACAGAAAATTATATCATATAGCGGTACACCTTAGCCACAACTATTTAAAATGATACTATAAACGTATATCTTTCAGGCAAATGTTACGCTCATAATAATGACCTATTTTACATAACTTGAATAAAAACCTGTAAAAATATATTAGACTCCCGGCACAAATATCGCACTAATTTGAATAAACTATCATTACTTGATAAACGAGTTCATTCCATGAACGAAATACTTTTAGTTTTTAGTGCTTTTTTTTGTTCCTATTAAAACAGTAAGTAAAAAATAGTATATAATATAAAGTAGTATTGTAACAAACATTTACTGCAACCAGTAGTTTTTACGTACAAAAC